CCTATCCTCTCCTATCCTCTCCTATCCTCTCCTATCCTCTCCTATCCTCTCCTATCCTCTCCTATCCTCTCCTATCCTCTCCTATCCTCTCCTATCCAAGCCTATCCTCTCCTATCCAAGCCTATCCTCTCCTATCCAAGCCTATCCTCTCCTATCCAAGCCTATCCTATCCTCTCCTAGCCCCGGCTGGCTCAAGGTGAACGAACACACGAACCTACACAGTCGAATCTTGGGGTGGACTTTGACGAATCAAAAGAAAGGAGAAACGGAAATGGAAACAAATCATTTCTTCTTCGTTCCTGCCGTTCATCATGACCCATCATCTTGGTCGGATATCGATCTCTAAGATAACTCAGTTGACTGACTCATTCTTCTGGTAGAAACACGCCAAAAAGTCTTAAGTCTTGATCTCGACGGGCAATCGCAATCCTCTCGGACTTGGAACATGTATCTTTCATAGAGAATCCCACAATCAAGCCATCAAGCCATTTGCCTGCCATGGCAACCTTCACTCGCTCGGTCTAACTGCCTAACTGCCTGCCTGCCTACCTGCCTGCCTGCCTGCCTGGCCACGTAAATCCCCTTCTTTAGATCTTAAGCAATCTCAACAGGAACGTTGCCTTCTGCACCTCTTGCACCTCCTCGGTGATGATGTCGTCCTTGTCCTTGCCTCCATTCGTCACCGGTCCGTCAAACTCGGTGACGACGTGTTTGTCGACGGGCCGCCTCAGTGCCTTCTCGATGTATTGGCCCTGCTCTTCAAACACCTTCTCGATGCCGATGTGGTCGGGGTCCTCCTGCACGCGGTACTCCATCTTGACGTCGTCGGTGGGTTTCAAGTTGGCCTTCTTGCGCAACTGTTGCACGCGGTTGATGATTTCGCGCGCGAGGCCTTCCTGCGCCAGTTCCGGGTAGATGGCCACGTCGAGAATGGTCAGCACGTCATTGTCGGTGTTTGTCTCTTGGTCCTTGGAATTCTCGTCTTCCTTGAGAGCCCGGCGGACCACGAGGTCGCCCTCGACCAACTCGATGCCGGCCACGGTGATCTTCTTGTCCGTGAGATACGCCTTGCAGTCATGGGTCGTCACGTCCGGCAGAGCTTTCTTGACCTTCTGCACGTCCTTCTTCAATTTCTTGCCCAGCACCGGCCAGTCTGCCGTCACGCTGTATTGCACATTGTATTTCTCCTCGTCGGATGACAAGACCAAGTCTCGCACGTTCAACTCTTCCGTGATGTATCCCTCCAACGACTTTACATCGTCGAGATACTGCTGATCCTTGTGGATCACCACCAGCGTCTTCAATGGCGTCTTCAGGCCGATCGACTTCCGCTCCCGCGACTGTCGAGCAAGCTCAATGACCTTTTGCATTCGCGCGACGCGTCGCTCTACAACCGGGTCAAACAGTTCTTGGCGGACTTCGGGGAACGACAGGAAGTGAACACTGCGCATGTCTTGGCTGTGCATGGATTTCGGAATGTAAGGCAGAAGTTTCGTGTAGATAAGGTCGGCAATAAACGGCGTGAAAGGAGCCAGTCCCCGGACGAGGGTGAACAAAACGTCAAACAAGGAGTTGAGGGCATGCAGGGTGTCGTCCAACCCCAGCTCGCCCTTCAGTCGCTTTCGGTTGAATCGGATGTACCAATTCGTGGTCTCGTCGATCAAATTGAGCAGGCCAGGCACCACGGTGTACAGACGATACGCGGCCATTTCCTCGTTGATGTACTTGAGCAAACTCTGACAGCTGGCCAAGATCCATTTGTCCATGACGTTGGTGTTTGTGGCTTCGGCCTTGGGGTCGAAGACGTAGTCGATGCCTTCCACCTTCTTCAACAGCTCTACTTGGGCATCGAAGAACTTGTAGCTGTTCCACAGCGGCAGAAGCACTTTTGCCACGATCTCCTTGACCCCGGCCTCTTTGAACCTCAAGGACTCGGCCCGCACGACAGGCGAGTTGATCATATACAGACGAAGAGCGTCGGCACCATATTTGTCGATGACGGTGGTCGGATCCGGGTAGTTCTTTAGACGCTTCGACATCTTCTTGCCGTCTTCCGCAAGCACAATGCCGTTGACAACACAGTTCTTGAATGGCAGGATCTTCTTCAGATGGATCCCGAGAATGACCAGAGTGTAGAACCAGCCTCGAGTCTGATCAAGACCTTCGGCGATGAAGTCGCCTGGAAACGTCCGGTCAAAGAGATCCCGGTTTTCGAAGGGATAATGCGACTGGGCGTACGGCATACTTCCCGACTCGAACCAACAATCAAAGACCTCCTCCACGCGGCGGAGAGTCCCGTTCCCCTTCTGGCTGGGAATAGTAATGTGGTCGACACTGTCTCGGTGGAGATCAGTGATCTCACCTTCGTAGCCACTCAGCTTCTTCAGCTCCTCAATGCTACCGATGGCAATGACTTCGGAGTAGTCCTCGCTGGCCCAGAGGGGAATGGGCGTGCCCCAGTAGCGATTTCTCGAAATGTTCCAGTCACGGGCATTTTTGATCCAGTCAGCGAACCGCTTCTCCTTGACGAAATTCGGCACCCAATGTGAAGCGGCAATGCCCTCCAGCATCTGAGGAATGATACTTGGCACCTTGTCGTTCCCTGCAATGTTGACAAACCATCCAGACACGGCGCGATAGATCAAAGGTGTGTCGGACCGCCAACAGAAAGGATACTGATGGGTCAACTGGCTTTCCCGGACTAGTCTTCCCGTCCCCTTCAGGTATTTGATAACGTGTTTGTCTGCTTCCTTGACATACTGACCGGCAAAGTCCGTCACCTCTTTGGTGATGCGGCCTGTTTCATCCACCGGATTTGGCGGAAGTCTGTCGTGGCTGATGATACCGCTCTCCAAACAGACGCGGAAGTCTTCTTCACCGAAAGCAGGCGCCTGGGAAACGATACCGGTACCGTCTTCGCCCGTCACGTACGCGGCATTCAAGACCCGGAAAGCGCGGTCCTTGAACTCATCGTAGAAGTAGTTGAAGAGGGGCACATACTGCTTTCCCTTGAGATCCGAACCCTTGATCCGGTCTAGGATCTTGAACTTGGCCTTCTTCGGGTCTTTGTACAGTGTCCGCAGAAGCTGCTCTAGCAGGATGTATTGCTGTCCGGATTCATCGTCCAGGATCTTGACGTAGTCGAAATCGGCGTTCACGGCCAGAGCAAGGTTGGCGGGAAGAGTCCAGGGTGTGGTCGTCCACGCCAGCAAGCTGGTCTTGGGATCATCCACCAGCGGAAACGCAACGACCACGGTGGGATCTTGGGCCTCCTTGTAGTTGGACTGCGCCTCATGCTGACTCAGAGGTGTGCTCAAGGCGGTGGAGAATGGCATGACTCTGTAACTGCGGTACACCTGGCCCTGGTCAAACAACTGCTTGAACACCCACCAGACCGATTCCATAAAGGTCGGGTCCATGGTCTTGTAGTCGTTATCGAAATCGATCCACCGCCCGAGTCGGTCAATGGTCTCCCTCCACTCGGACGCATATCTCATGACAATGGCCTTGCATTCTGCGTTGTATTTTGCGATCCCCATCTCTTTCACCGCCGCGGGGCCGGAGATGTTGAACTTCTTGTCAATCTCGTACTCAATCGGCAAGCCGTGGGTATCCCAGCCAAATCTCCGCTCCACATGGTACCCTTTCATAGTCCAGTACCTCGGGATGATGTCTTTGATGGTGGACGCCAGCAGGTGGCCATAATGGGGGAGTCCGGTGGCGAAGGGTGGACCGTCGTAGAAAGTGTAAGGCTTGTTGCCCTTGGACAGCCGCAGTTGGGTTTGAAAAGCGTCAATCTCTCGCCAGCGCTTGAGGGTGGCAGCCTCTTCTGCGGAGAAGTCGACCGCCATGGTTGCACTGTGGGATGAATGACTGACTGCTGGGCGGAAGAGACGCTTTTTGACCGCGATCGACTGACTCACTCGCTTCGCTGGGTGTGTGACTTGGACTGTAGAGTCACCGCCGCGACCAGTCGTGGGATTGGTAGTAATAGTAGTGGTACTATTCACCGTAGGAAATGGAAATCTTGGCAGGTACCAGTCACGTGCCACGGCCCTGCCCACGAGGCTAGATCACGTGCCATAGCCCACAGCCCTGCCCGCGAGGCTACCATGACACCTGTATGTGTATGCACGGACTCTTTGTCACACTCATCTTTAGAAATGCATGGAAAAGCAAAAGATCTCGTTCGGGCGGCAAACAAGTGAGTCCATTGGGTCTAGTCAGGCTGCCACTAGAGCTGAACAGTTGCGCCTCCTCATATTGCTACTATACAGGGTATCTATCGCTCCGGGTTCTACATGGTCGACTTTTGGTGGGATATATACGCCTCCCATACCAAGCTACGCTATGCTATGCTGACAGAAATGGCCACTACCGGCCATATCTGGTTGAAGGTGGCCAACGTCTCTGCCCAAGCTTTTACGAAATTCAATCAACGTCCTCATCCGCCTCATCACTGACACCGTCTGTGGCATCACCGTCCCCGCCCTCGTCTTCGCCATCAGCCGCGTCGTCTTCTTCGTCTTCGTCTTCCGAGACTTCCTGGCCCAAGTCCTTGAGCTTCTTTTTGTCGGCGGTTCTCTTTGCCTCAAGATCGCCGAACACAACCAACAAATCGTCCAGCTCGGTCTGGACGTCTTTCCGTGCAGCCTTTTCTCTCTCCAGTTCCTCACCAAGATGTGCGGCGTGCCCTTCGGCATCCTGAGCGCGGCTCTCTGCCCGAACAAGCCGCGCCTCCAAGCTCTCCGTCTTGGCTTTGTATTCTTCATGCGCAGTCTCGAGGTCCTGGACGTGGTCGGCTTGCAACTTTTTCAGCGTTGTCTCTAGCTCGGCTAGGGATCGCTTTAGATCTGCAATCTCCGCTGCCTCCCTCTCACGGGCTTGTTGGGCTTTGGTATCGACCTCGTTCAGTTCTCGCCGGTGTTGGTCGGCCAAGGCAGCTTTGTCTCGGGAAGCCTCCTGCTCGCATAGTTTCAGGCGCTGTTCGAAACGCTGAATCTCCGCCTCATTCTGCTTTCGAAGACTTTCTACGGTGGAGATATGTTCGCTTCGCCTTCTGTTCAGCTCGTCATCGTGGTTTCTGACCAGGACACTCCGTTCCCGCACGAACTCTTGCTGTAACTTCTTCATTTCCTCCTCGTGATTGTCATGCAGACTCTGGTTGATCTGCTTGATTCTAGACAGTTCCACCGCGGCCGACTCGCGAGTGCGGCGGTGGTCGAGTTCTTCCTGTTCAAGCTTTCTCTTGAATTGGAGCAATTCGGCATTGGCAGCCTCCAGAGCCTTCTTGTGTTCATCAACTTCGGCTTTCAAACTGTCCACCAAGTCTCGATCAATCCCCCTTTGCACCCCGTTGCTTGCAATCGAGATTTCGAACTTTGGATCTCGATCAATGGCCCGCAAGAATCGACTGAAGTTATCCTTCAGAAAGGCAATGAACGTCTTGTCAAAGAAGACCTCGGGTAGGCCACCGTTACCCGTCTGCGGCAGGACCTCGAAGTCACGGACAAATACATTTTCTCGGAGTTTTGTCAGTCGATCCACGTAGGTCTCTCGGCCAAGACTATTCAGCAAAAGCCCATGGAGCGTGGTTCTCGGGATAGGTGAATCCTTGGTCGAGAATTCGTAGATGATACCCAGTAGAAAGGCGCATAGACCTGCCACAAGTGGCATGGAGCTGTTGGCGATTTTGACCGCCGCCACGAGCCCCGATACATTGCTTCCCTCGCCCAGGAGGTCGTTGACCGCTTCCGGGTCTTCGAAGAGCCAGATACACAAGAGCATGAGGTACCCTAGGAGGGCACGCTCATCCTCGACATGCTGGACGCCCGCCACCACATTGCTGGTGATACTCTGGATGAAAGTGACCACTTCTTCGCCGTTTTCGGCGTCACCTTCCGTCACCTCCAGGGCCATGTCTTTGGTTTCAGGAGTGTCATAAAGGAGATGCAGTACTAATACGGCAGCAATCCACTGCTGGTAGGGGTCGGAGTTGTTGCGAGCTGCCGGGGGTTCAAGAAGCACGGTGAGCATGTTGGGGATGGCATCATCACCGGCTCTATGGCCATCGATTGCCCTGCGGAGAACATGAGCTTTGATGCCTGAGTGGCCCTCAACAAATGCCTCCATACAAGAGCTTGCTGCTAGGCGGACATCAAAGAGCGCGAGCGGCGAAGTCTCCAATGCAAGCTCCAGGAGCGCCTCGATCACGTTTCGTTCCTGATAGTGTGCCCTGCTAGACTGTGGCTGTTTGTCGGGGGCTGATCGAGTAGCGTGCCCGTTGGTCGACGGACTGTCCGGCTGCTTGATTTGCACAGGAAGGTCGCCGAAGCGTTCCTGAAGGACATGATTCCCTCGGATGATGTCTCCGCATGCCTGAAGAGATTTGGCACGAATGCCAGTACTGAAGGCCGGATGAAAAGCGACTCGTAACACGTCCTGCAGCACACCGGTCTGCCAAAAGGCCTGTTGATTCACCGGGGTTCCCTGTGCGCCTGGGGCCAGAAACAATTGAATGAGTCCCAGCAAACCCCATAGGTTCATGTCCCGTTGCGGCTTCATCCAATCTGAAACACCATCTCCGGAATCCTCTTGCTCGACCACGGCCGACAGTAGTTTCCGGACCTTGATGATGCCGCCAATCTCCCTGAAGTATGACTGATTCGATGTGTTCAAGTTGAGTAGGTTCGCCAGCAGAGACAAGCAGTCCTGTACGGTGGTGGAACCGTGGGTCAGGCCGCCGTCGCCCTCGATCAGTGCAAAGACGCGATCGAAGGCATTCTCAAAAGCCACGACCTTCTGCAGCTCGGCCGAGGTCGGGGTCAAGGCGACCAAGAGAACCAGGGCCTCATTTCGAACGGCCTCTCGTTTGTCGTCCAGAACACTGGTGACGCGTGAAACGCCGAGCGGGGCGGAGAAGATGGCTTCTTGCGTGCGCTGCGGCCGTGCGGTCGAGATATGAGACAGAATCTGGAGGACGTAGAGTCGCAGATAGAACTCGCCCGATTCCAGCAGGTCCAGCAGCGCGGTTATATTGTCTTGCCGCTGCGTGAATTCATCCGCCAACCACAAAGCAATGTCATCCGAAGCCTCTGGCGACTTTTCGTCCGGCTCAAAGAGCATCAACAGCGTCTCCAACACCACCTTGATTGTGTCCGAGTCGTCTCCATCTCGTCGGAGCCCCGCAATCAGATCTCTCAACGCACCCGAGGCGACGGAGGCAGGATAGAGCTTGGCGAAGCTGCGCAGACCCAAGATGGCCGCCCGGCGGTCTTCCAGCAAAGTCGCACTCGATAGCCGGTTGCTCAGGGTCTGGATGGTGTCGGTAGCGGTTTGTCGGGCGGGAGCTTGGGCTTCCAGTATTCGCATCATTGTGATCGTGAGGCAGTGTTGGTCATTGCGGAGAGAGAAGGCGGGTTAAGACTCGTATCCCTTGATCTTGATCCATCGCTATAGGTCATGACATGTTGACAGAGACAGAAAGAACTTGGAACTTTTCACGGTGTTGACGCGGGCATACCAGGTCGATCCCTTCCAGTCTAACCTAGGTACGAAGTCGAACACTTCCAGTATAACCTAAGGTAGGTACGGAGGGCATTGCGTCCTGCGGTGCCAACTGTCCGCAACTGAACTGATGCATGCCAAGAGGAGGTTAAACTGCGTTCACGTTTGGGGAAAGATGGTGACGCCGCCCTAGGAGCTCAGCCTTAGGAGCCCTTAACCCTAAGTAACCCTAACCCTAACCCTAACCCTAGTATGGCATATGGCATATGTATGCGCACCCTCAGCCTCGCCGTGTCAACTAGACTAGATTGAGTGCTTGACTCTCCGCTCTTCCATTTCCATTTCCATTCCCCTTAGCCAAGCATATCTACGGCAGATTCTGTATCACTATCATTGTTTTAGCCCATCAGTGTTTCCCAGCCGTTTTCCAGAACGACTTCCAGCCAGAAGACTCTTCTGCCCGAGTCGAGCTCTTTCCATAACTCCTTGACAATATCCAGCGTCGTATTCATCGGCTGGACCGAGAGATAACGAACGCACCCATTGAGTCGTGACCACAAGAACCGGCGCCAGTATGCCACCGAATCTGAATGCGGCTCCTCTCCATTCGTTTCCCTCCCGTCCGGGGCCGATGCCGACGCCGATGTCGATGCCGATTCCGATTCCGATTCCCCATCCTTTGGAAGTCGCAGCTCGTTCGCCGCCATGACCAGGATGAGTGGCATAATCGTACGCGTTCCAGACTCGGTCGACGTCTCAGCAATCGACTTCAAAATCTTGGTGGCAAGCGCGAAAAGAAATTGGTCCACGGAGTTCTCGGGGGCGTTGGCGGAAGTGTCGGAGGGCGAGGGCAAGCAGATGGGATAATCTCCCTCGGGAAGAGCAGAGAGAGGACTGGCACTGTCGCCACTCTGATCCTGTACGGACGACAGCCGCATCCTCAACAGTGAAGGAAACGCTCGGTATACTTGGAGCAGCGCTGCGCAACGATATGCTTCGGCGATATGTAACAAGTCGGCCACGGGCGTACGCGTATCGTTGGTGCATTCCACGTTTTTGAGCAACAAGGTTTCGTATGTAAGGAGAGCCTCCTCGACCTCCTCGACCTCTTTGAGCGCCTGGGGCCGGCAGGCTGACCAGTGATCCCACTTGTCGGTGTTGGAATCGATCGACTTCCCCATTGTTTGGAGCTCCAGGGTCCGCCTGCGTACCAGGTGGCCTACCTTGGCGAAGAGCACAAATATCTCGGGCGTGGCGCCTGTGATAGGATGTGGCTTGATTTTCGACACGCCGCCAGTTTGCGGTCGGGCACTTCGGTTGGACAGCAGGGTTGATGTGGAAATTGAACCTGAAGAGTTGAGGTCCCCGAAATGGTAGGATTCCAAGCATTCGATCACGCCACTCCCATCTTCCATGACGAAGGAGGCCAGCATCTCCCAGTATATCAGCATCGGAATAATGAAGTCGATCTGGGCCGAAGGGCCGCGGGCGATTTGCTTTGACAGCCACGGAGCACAAAGGGTTCTTGCTCCTGCAAAGTGCTCGCTGCCGGTTGCATAGCGGTCATGCCACGGCTGGCTCCAAGTCAGCATCTTGATCACTCACCAAAGGCGACGGACAGCAATCACGATCACGATCACGCTCACTCCACTCACCTGGGTCACGCCGAGCAGAATGACCGAGATCATCAAGTCCTCGCTCACCTCGGCGAGATTGGCGACGCTGTCTGATATTGATCGGACCGCGGCGTTTTGCAGCTCGAGTCCCTCCCGATGCCGGGAGGGTTGGAGTTGTGACAGGTGCGCTGCTGACATTGCCTGGATGCAATTGGAGAGCGCGGGCGAGCTCCGGATCATGTTGGCTATTTCGAATCTGAACGGGTTGGAAGGCGAATCGAAACAGGAGAGCAGAGGACAGACATTGCTGAAATAGTACTCGACGAGGAAAGTCGTCGTGTCTTGCACGCTCGGTCGGATCGATGGATGGTTGCGGGGTGGATCAGGATCGTTGCCCAAGTCATTGTCGTATCCATGCTTGGAATAGGGGACCATTTCTTGGATGTCGGTTGATTGCGCCTGGAATGGTTGGTCTCTTGGGCTGGAACCGTGGCCATGGTCTTCCTTCGCATCCGCCGTCGGCGACGCGAGTAAGAACAGATCTCGATCGAGCGGTTGCTGTTGTTGCTCCTGTTCCTCTACATCGAGCACACCGAGCAAGACGGACCAGAGCCCTGATTCGAGGCCGGAAGGCACCTGGCCTGGCTCGGTCTCAGCTGCATCTGCAAGGGGTAGGTGGCCCGGAGATTTGGTCCTGTTCTTCGGGGTCGTAATCACCTTCAACCCGGAGCCCGAGAGTTCGCGGTGTTGGACCCAGTGCAAGCCGCGTTTATATCCTGGGCATTCCAGTCCTCGCCGTCGGCACTGGTGGCAGGACGGTTGACCCTCGTCACATTTGACCTTTTGAGATCTCGGGTGTTTAGTGCGGCGCTCGCTCACAAGAAACATGGAAACAGTTGGGAGTTGGGAATTGGGAGTTGGGAGTGTAGTGGACGTACCCTGCGCTCCTTGCATCGCTTACAGCCACTGCGGGACTTGCGTTGCCTGGGGGTCAACTCTCGGAAAGGCGATGGCATTCGTCACGACTACTTGGGATTTCGATTTCGGTTTCGACTTCGACTTCGACTTCGACTTCAACAAGAGTCAGATAGTGGGTTAGCAGTCAAGGTGTTGGGAGAGTAGAGATGAGGAATCGCGGCTCGGGATCCGGAAGGAGGTCGAACGAACAAGCATTCCCGTCCCAGTGTTTGGTGGGCAGAACCCAGAGGGAGATACCATGTGGCTTATCAACGAAAGCCTTAGGACTACCCCTCTATAGGCCGGTACAGTACTCCGTGCATAGTACTCGATACGCGGTAGAGATAAGGCCCAAGACGGGTTAGCTGCTGGAGCAGCCCCTAAGCCCATTGGTTGTGGCCGAGAGACAAATGTGGGACCTGGCCAAAGGGCTCCGGGCCTTCCACCGCCGGTTTGGTGGCCGGTAACGGTCGACGGTCAACGGTCGACGGTCAACCAGTGTCCAAACCAACATTTAATCGTCTTTTATTAACTAGTATTGCTTCGACTACATATATATGATGTGCTACTTAGGACCACTCTAATCATGGCGCAGGTAGCCCGAACCCAACCGGGTCACCGGTCACGGCTCAGGGGCTCTTAGGCCGAGAATGGTTTATGAAATGGTGCAGGACATTCGAGGTGAGTTTTGCGACGTTGTTGTCATAGCAGTTCCAGGCCATGGTCCAAATCCAGTTGATGGAACCGACGGAGAAGACGAAGCCACCGCCGCGGGTGTGGAAGAAGACCATGTCACTTCTGACCTTGGGGTTGTTGGCGCCGTTGGTGGTCTGGACGCCGAAGCCGATTTCCTCGGTGAACAGATTATACAGGGCGGACTGGGGCAAGGAGGTGGCCAGGACGACGGCGTCGGGGGGCGACCCCAGGGCAACTTCGTAGCGGTCGATCTCGTCGCCACTGGCGCCGCCGCCAAAGTCGCCGATGAGATCGTGGTCGGCTATGCCGGCCCACATCCAGGCCAGGTCGGGATGCAAACTCGCAGCGGTGCGGCGGTAGGGCACGCCGGAGCCCAGGCCGCTGCCGGCGGAGCCGACACCGACGGTGAGGTTGGGCCCGTGGCCGCGGGCGCGCCACAGGCCGCCGAACTCGCCGGTCAGCGAGTGGTGGTATTCGCCGGGCGGGTTTTCAAAGGCGCGCACGCCCTGGATGCCGCGGCGCACCTCGATGCGGTGCGGCCGGGCCGGGTCGCACGCCGTGACCCAGTAGAAGCCGTTGCCGCCCAGATACATCAGACTGCCGCCGCGGTCGGCGAAGGCGTCGAAGCACTGCAGGTGCCGCATGCTCGTGTACTCCGGGTGGGCGCCCGAGATCAGCGTGTCGATGCCCTCCAGCGCCGCCATGCCGAACTCCTCGAGGTCGTGGTCCGTGATCAGCTCGTACGCGACGCCCTGCCGCTCCAGGAAATCCAGCATGAACAGGTCGTTGCTGAAGTCGCGCGGCCGGTCGAACGCCCAGTGCACGAACCCGGTGCGCACGTTCATCAGCGGCCGCTTGCTGCTGACATACACCGACCCGTAGCCGTCGACGTGCTTGTCGTACAGCGACCGCCCGACGTCGCGCCGCGCCGCCAGCCGTTCGAACAGCTCCGTCTTGTTCCACGCCACCTTGTCCCACATGCTCGGCCCGCTCCAGTCCCACATGTGCTCGTTGGCGTACGCCAGGTAGCTGTACGTGCTGGCCAGGAACGCCACTTTGGCCGTTGTTGTCGTCGTCGTCGCCGGAGCCTGCCCGGGCCGCCGTCGCACAAAGAACGTCACGTGGTCCGTCACCCCGTCGTCCGTCGTGCACTCGACCGCATAGGCGCCGCTGCGCAGGTCGGCCGGCAGTTTGAGGGTGAAATCGGTCGCCCATGCCGCGTCGTCCAGGCTGTCCTCGTGGAAATGGATCGCCCCGTACCCGTACGACGCCTGCGTCCAGTCGAACAGCGTCGCGTCCCAGTCGTGGCCCTTGACCGCGCGGATCGGCGCGTTGACGAGAACCCCGTGCCGGCCGTGGCCCGACACGTCGACGATGGAATCCGACGGGATTTCTTGCGAAAAGTCGTACTGGACAATCACCCGCGACCCCGACGTCAACCTCGGCGAGTCCAGCCGCCCGTTGAAACAATTTCCCATCACCCCGCCGCCGATCCAGCCGGTGGCCAAATAGAGCGTCTGGGGACCACTACCACTCCGACTGCTCAGAGCGGCTGGCGACTGAAGCCGTTGCGTGTGGGACACGGGAGACCCGATCTTGGCCACTCCACATGCCACCGGCACCGGTGCGTATTGTAGTACCACCACGCTGTCCGTGTCCGTGGCCGGCGTGAAGCTGAAGGTGACGGTGACTCGGGCCCAAACCTTGAGCTGGGGAGCCAGCTCGGTCACGAGGCTGACCACGGAGGTGCCGTCCCCCACTCGGAGTTCCAGCACGTTCTGTGGGTTGATGAGCAGCGCGAACCCGGTCTTGTTCTCCTCGTCCAGAGTCGACACGAGCACTTGGTTGTGTCCGGCGTCGAGGAGCGTGGGGAACATGTACACGCTGAACTCGAGACCCGGGCCCAAATCCTGAAAGGCCTCGACGCCCAGGTCTGCTTTCGCATACGATCCCACATGGCAGACTTGGTGGCGGCCCGGATGGCGTTCTTCCTTGACCGATGAAATGTATTCATGACGCTTTGGGGCGTAATTGGGATCCTCGTGGCCTGCCCCTCAAGAGTAGAGTCAAGAGTCAGCCGGAATCCAAGACTAGTGATTAGTATGTAAATTAAAGATAGGAAAGATGTTTTGATTGTCTGGGCGCCTGATGAATGAATAGGTACAGCAGCAGGTGAGTGTGAATATGAGTGTGAGTCTCAGGGACAGTACCGGATAGGACAGGACAGGACAGGACAGGACAGGACAGGACAGGATAGGATCCGTACCTTGAATGAGGCGCATCAACCGATGCGAATACCATGGCTGATTGGTCGACACCTTCACTTCCAGTTGGTCGCCTGGTGACACAATCCAGGGAACCGTGTAGCCGAGGATCTCGGTCTTTATGGTGGTGGTGGTGGCTTCTGCTTCTGTCATGGTTATGGTACAGTATCCAAGCCGAGTCTATAGATACGGTATATCTACGCTGACACTGTCAAACGGCCAGGCCAGGCCAGCACGACAGGCGAACTTGGAATGAGAATGGGAAGCTATGATATGTAGCGAGTACGGACAGCAATAATTACTAGGTACGTACTTGATCTAGGCTTCTTGTCCTTATCTGCTTCCCGGTGATGGATGGGTATAGCCTGAAGATGGGTCCACATGCCTTGGGCCCACGTCTAGATAGGAATGGTAGTGCGAAGGCGACTGCTCGATATCGATATCAGACACTGGAAAGCTCGCTCGATGAGGGCCCAGGATGTCTTGATACAGAAGGTACACAATACACAGTACACAGTACATAGTCCATGGTACACAATCGTTTACAGATTGGTCATCTCGATTAACCCGAACCCTAACCCTAACCCTAACCCTAGGACCAGGACTAGACAAATTGTTTGAAAGACGCCTCCTAGAAGCCATGTGCAATTGAACTGTACAGTATGCCTATGCCTATCTATGCCTACTCCTACCGCAATCAATAGTAATCCGTCTTGGTGACGGGGCCCTTCTGTGCCGGTCCCGGCCCCTCCAACGCAGTCATGGGATGCCCAGTCTGAATCCAGCCCAAGAAGGGCCGGCTGAGATCGTATCCCAGCAGCTTCAGCATCTCCGGGCTTTGAAGCTTCTTGATCTTTTCCTTGTCGTTGGTCAAATACTGGTTCTCCTCCTGCCCAACATAGCCATCGAATTAGTATGGGATCCCTCACCCTCGGTTGCAACAAGACACGACGTCGCGCACACAGAAATGGGAGGGAGAGGGACAGCAAATGAGATAGAGTGCATACCTGGCGTAGGAATCCCTTCGTCATGAAGGCGCAGTAGACCAACCGCTCCTCATCCGGCGTGGTGTTGGCCGAGCCGCCGTGAAGGCACGCCGCCATCATGAAGAACGAGTCGCCCGGCTCGAGTTCGGCGTAGTAGGCCAGACTCTCGTCCGGAGGAGTGTCGGGGCCCCAAAGATGCGAGCCTGGAATGAAGCGCGTGGCGCCGTTTTGCCGGGTGGTCTTCTTGCCCGCCACAAAGATGCCGATTTCCGGGTCCTGGCCGATCTGGTATTCGTCGGCCGTCATCCTCTGTACCTGAACGTGGTGGATCATGCTGTCACGATGTAGGCCCTGCGCTCGCGCCCCGGGCCCGACGGACAGCACAAAGGTGGTGTTGACCTGAGGGGTCGACGTGCTGACTTTCTGCTCGTCACCGAGCCAGGAGGTGATGGTGCTGCTCAGCATCACCTTGCACACGTCCTGGTAGAGTTTGTTGCCCACGATGCTTTCCATGTACGCCGTCGACTTTTCCGCCAGCCCCGACACGCGGTGCGTCTCCTTGGGGAAGAAGGTGCCGTCCCAGGTGCCGTCGACTTCCAGGTAGGGCCGCGTATCCTTCTCGATCACGGCCAACTCTTCGGCGCCCACGAGATTCCGGATGATGCAGCCGCCCGCCTGGATCAACGCCGCCACCACCGCTTCGGGGGTCGCGGTGGCCTTGTCAAACACCGTCACTTCTGGAAGTGGCCGGTCACGGTCGTCGCCATATCCAGCTTTCACCGCCGGGGTCTCCGTCGCCGTGGCCGTGGCCGTCGCTGTCGTAGACATGCTCGCGATGGTTGTGGTGCTGGTGCAGTAGATCTTGGGGCGGAAGTCGGAAGTGGAAGTCGGATATCTCCTCGAGCTCTCTGCCAGAGTGAGAGTGATGGTTGGTGTAGGTTGTAGCTGTAGCCGTCGTTGTCGTGTCTTCTCTGTAGGACTTTATGAAAGCAGGCTGAGTATGGTATTGGTATATTGGTATGCGCCGCCGGTGGGCCGAGATGCCATGCCATACCATACCCAAGTGCCCAGGGCGTAGGAAGCCTTAGGACCCCCCTGGCCCCATATTTCCGCCCGGTTTCGGCATTATAGTGCCAGCAAAGGGCGAGGGCAGCTGCCTGGCCTGCTTGTTCCAACACCCACACCGAGATATGCGCCCACATACTCCGTACACACGCCGTGTACAGCTCGGAGGCCCAGGCCCAGGCCCAGGCCATTCCCCTTCGGGCATGCGAGTACGGGGGTCATCAAGTGCGCGAGGGAAACCCTTATCGCGGATGGGGGTCGGACGTGGTACATGGAACGTGGTACATGGTCGGGAACGGGAATGGGCTGGTAGCGCTCTGGCTCAGCTTCGCACAACGAGCCCTGATGCAGCTTAGCCTTATGTTAGCCTCGTCGTCCGTTATGGTATCTTGGGGGCTTTGGATTGGAAGATGCGATTGGCCGTGACCGCAGACATGCCCCACGCGAATGGGAATGGCGGTTGGTTAATACTAGATTCTATACAATGTCACATAAGATTGCACAGTAATTACCTAGGTAATGGTGGTACAGTATTGGTGGTATCTCACGCGAAGGGTCATAAATCATACGCAGGATCAGGATTTCGCAGTTTGCACCGCCATGGGCCACGAGAGTCAGAAACCTAGATACCATGGCACACGTGCCTGCTCCTATTGCGACTGCCACTGCCACTGACTGCTCTTACCAAGACTCTCTGACAGGGGAACTTAGTGCGAAGTGCGAAGTGCGAGATTGCAAGAGATACTGTACCTACAGTAAGTATGTCATTGATTCGCTTGTCCTGTCTCAACGATATCTCGATGCTGGTGCTGTGCACAGATGTGATCCGCCAGCCGGCCCGGTTATCAGAAGGTTTCGACCACTAATCATCAACAGCAACAGCAACAACGACAGCACCAGTGGCAACGATGTATGGGGACTTTGCCTACCTAGTATACAGGCTAGGCAAGGTACTCCGTTCAGCACATCTACGTAGTTAGCCGTTAAATCCAGTACGATCGAACGACCAATCAGGCCAAGTCGAATCCTGCTCTGTATCCGTACTACGTTGTTGGAGACAGTTAGTATCACCGCCACGGCATGTACAGTGAAGCTTGTTGCGGCTAGTTACCTGGCATCCGGTGTGACATTTACGATATCTGATTTGAGTTTATAATACTACGTATGTAGCATGCGGGAGCCTAGATTTAAATTCAACTCCTCCATGCTGGGTCCGGAGCTACGACCGTACTACTGTCTCTAGAGGCACGGAGGAAATTGAGAGAGATATATCTCAGCATCACCTCGACCACCGTACACTGCACCTGCTGTCACCACAGTGCTCCAGGAGGGGTGGTTAAAGACTTACCCAGAACATCCAAGGGCATCCTACAGACCAACAAACCATCCAGGCAACCACGACCACGACCACGAACACAGCCATGCATCCAACGCAGGAGAAACTGATTGCTCGGGCACGCGACTTTTTTGCCGAGGTGCAGAATCTGTAAGTTTCTATGTATCTGAGTATCTGAGTATCTGAGTGTCTGTCTGTCTGTCTGTCTGTCTGTCTGTCTGTCTGTCTGTCTGTCTGTCTGTCTGTCTGTCTGTCTGTCTGTCTGTCTGTCTGTGTGACCGAGCCATCCTCTCTGTTGTGTTATTGCCTCTAGGCCGATCCCATCAGTTGTGCTGTGCTGTGTTGTGGTATGGTATGATATCTAGGCTGATTTGATGGTGATGCCTCAACCAGCACGCCCGGAAAAGACCTCGAAGCCCGCCTAAACCAGAACTGGGGCCCCGGCACGCCCATCTACGAGGACCTGTGCGCCTACATCCGCGAAGGCATCGAACAGAACCAAGGCTGGGTGGCGACGGAGGAGCTGGACGGGCCCAAATACCGCCGCAGCGTCATCAGCCGGCCGTGCGCCGAGAACCGCTTCTTCAGCATCACCACCGTGTACATGGAGAGCGAGGAGGTGTATGCCGGCCAGTACCATCAACACCCGTACGGCGAGATCAACTGCGTGGTGCAGCTCGACCAGGGCAAGGACAAGTCCAAGTCGGCCGAGCTGAAGGGCATGAATGGTTGGCAGGGCGCCGGATGGACCTCGCCCGGCCCAGGCACTCACCACTACCCGGAGGTGCGTGGTGGCCGGTTGGTGGCTTTGTTCTTCCTGCCGGCAGGTCGCATTTCTTACGAGGCCACGCCGGACATGCCTCAGCCGATATCGATCTAGGAATAGAATCTAGGATGAGGACAAGGACACATATGCGGACTAGGGCTTAGGACCACTAATTGTAACTGAGGGAAGGGGAGCGGAGCGGTGGAATCAGTCAATCAATATCAATGTCCGGCCTGAGTGGCGCCATGAACAGCAGAGCAGAGCAGAGCAGAGCAGAGCGATATGATATTGTCACGCAGTCGATCTCGAGTTGAGAACATGGAAACCGAAGGTGTCACATTTGATCTAAACATAGGTAAACAGGCCCTGAAACGAATACGATTGTTCTTCTTCCTATTCCTATTCCTATTTCCCTTTCTCTGTCTGTTCCTTCCCCTCCGCACGGCGTTGCTATTGCCGGTCGACTCGACTCGCAACTTAAGCCCAAGCTCAAACTCGACGATATCTTCAGATCCGCCACTCCCCACCCCCTCTCCCAAGCCCGTTTACTTTCCTGTCCGACAAGAACCTGAGGACAAGTACACGAAAAGATCGGCCCTGGAGCGTCGAGGCCAGGTCTCTCAATCTCAGGACTTCTCAGTCGTGACAGAGACCTCGGCACCGTGCTTGAGATCGGAAACTTCACCCTCTTCCACCGCGGTGCCATCAATCAGGTCGACTTCGCTGGCCGACACCATGTTGGTGTCGTTCATCCAGTATTTGATGATGGGGAGAACAAACACCGGCCCCGCGGCGGTGAAGGCCCAGCTACATCCGAACATGAACTCCTTGGAGTAGTTGTCCAGGTTGAGCGCGTAGGCGGCCAGCAGGGAGGCCGAGTTCAGGACGCGGAAGATGCCTGCATAGACGGCGATCTGGGGTCATGTCAGCCTGGATGCCGGCAGCGGCAGGTTTAAGGCAAAGGCAGGGGAAAGCAATGGTCAAGGGTCAAAATCAAGGTCATGGTCAAGGTCAAGGGTCAAGGGCTGCTTGGTAATCAGATTATGTCAGGGGCAACACTCTCTCACCTCGGTCGGCTCATTGCTCAAGGCTCCGATGAACCAGTAGGAAAAGCAGTTGTAGGTGGCATCGAGATAGCCGTACATGAAATACAAAAATGCATGCGAGGCGTATCCGGGGCTGAAGACGTCCATGCGTTCGGCCTCGGTGAGACCCATGACGGTTTCGCGCATGGCAAAGTAGCCGCCGATCCAGATGGCGTTGACCAGCACAAAGACGTAGATGGCCCCGGCCAGCGCACGGCCCCGTCGCTGCAGAGGCAGCTTGTCCGTGATCAGCCAGAGAACCCAAGGCGCGATGATGGCCCCGAGGCCATTCAGGAGAGCGTTGAGTGACCGGCCACGGACTGAGGGACAGGTTAAGTTGGTCAGCAAGGAGATCTCTTTGATCACGGTCATATCATTTGAACGTCCAACGTCCTAGGGGTGCGTTAGGCGTAGAGACAGCCAAAGCCAAAAACTCACCGGTGAAGACGGCGCCGTTATACTGGTTCCCCTGGTAGATGAAATAGAAGTTGACGGCCCAGCTCATGGGGAAGAAGAAGACGATCCACCGATGGGCCATGACCACTCGATAGCTCGACACCAACTCCTGCTTGAGAGTCTTGTGGTCGCCGAGGGTGACTCGCGACCCATCCTCGCGCACCATCTTCTGCCATGGATACAGAGTCAGGCCTATCACAGAGCCACAGATCATGAGGACGAAGAATCCGATGCTGGCAGGCTTTGATTAGCGTTCTATCAATATATGGATTGCCCTAGAGAGATATCTTCGAGGGGTCTTAGGGCAAGGGTTGGCGTCTGCACTCACTAAGTCCCATCATTGACCCGGCTCCCATTGTTGTCGCCGGCATTCCAGTTCTGGCCCAGGGGAATGGCGGCTCCGATCAGGGCGCCGACGTTGAGGATCGACCACATGATGGAGATGTAGAAGCCCTTCAGGCCCTCGGCAGCGTAGGCCGCGACCCCCGTGCCCACCGCCTGCCACAGAGTCGCGGCCGAGAGGCCGTTCCACGCGCCGCCGAAGATGACGAAGCCGGTGTTGCCGGTGTGGTTGTAACACCACAGCGAAGCCGCAAAGGCCGCGTAGCCGACGCCGCCGAAGCAGAGCATCGGTCGCAAGCCAAAGTACATCAGTAAGGCCGGCGCCACAAAACAAAACACGGTGAAGACGGCGCAGAGCGCGATGTTGGAAACGTCCGCCAGGTACGCCGTCTCTTGACCCGCGCCGCCCAGGGACATGATCACCCCGTACATGCCCACCGTCATCAGGAGCACCAGGCCCAACATGGCCGCCTGCACCCGCGGGTGGCTGTAGGCCGGGATTTTGAGCCCCAGGACGTGGTATGGCTTCGGCAGCTGTGCGCATGTCAGTTATCATCTGATTCGGATTCGGATTCGGACTGCCGCAGGTGTGGCGGGTTGCAGCCTGGGATATGGGGTATGGCACGTGGGATATGGCATATGATATTGGACATGGACACGGAACGGTAACTCACCTCGAGCGACCCTTTCACCACTTTCGTGGCCTCGTCGTGCGTCATGAGGATGTGGTCGCGGCCGACCACGACCATGGCGGCATCCTTCTGTCCCTCGGCATCGATGCTGGAGGTGAGAGTGGCGGTCATTCTGTATGTGGGCTGTGGGCTGTGGGCTGTGTGCTGGCGTCGAGTGAAGAAAAGATTGGTGATCAGTCACCAAGATATGTAGTTAGTTGGTATCTATCCGTCCTATCCCAATGTGTAGGGTGTAGGTGGTGGCCGTCCACCGCTGGCCGAGGTGCAGATGTTGAGATGGTTATATCCTCGTATGCCTAGGTGAGTAAGGTACTATCCCCTGGATGTATGTATCACAGTCCGTCAAGCCCAGGCCCAAGCCCAAGCCCAAGCTACCGTGACAACTGATAAGTGGGATGGGTATCGGTACTAAGAAACCGTGGTTGAGGTTGACTGTTATCTTGCAATTCGCCTCCATCTCCCTTCTACATGGCGTGGTGCGGGTGGCGAGAAGATGGGGATAGGGATGAAAACGATAGTCCTTCTCTACAAGCCCCAAGCTCTACATAGATCTCCTCACACTCTCGCACTCTCGTCCATCGTCTCTTATCTCGTCGCACTACCCTGCCCGATCGAGTTAGTCTTGTCCCTAGCATCGTAGCCTCTATCGTGTGGATACGAGATGTGGACCCCCTGGCAAGGAACTGACTCGTACCAAGTAGAGATACTCTGTCTAGAGTGTTATCAATAGAGTGTTTTGCATACATATGGGTAGATATCATCGAATCATTATATGACTATCATCTCTATTACCTAGTACTAGTACACGGTGTCTGTATCCTCGTGCGTACTAGGTACTGTACTATGTAATTAGATGCCTCGTCTGTGACAAAGTCTTACAGCACCTTGCACTTCGCAATACGATACCCGACTGAGCTGGTTGCTCTTGGTCCTTAGTCCTCGATAGGAGTGGGACGATACAAACATAGTACACAAGACGTATCAAGTATAGCTGCCAACTGCCAACTGCCAACTGCCTATCCATGTTCCTGCACGGTCCGCGTCTGCGTCTGGTTTGGAGGCCGACGGGTTCCAATGAAGGCACACACACATATACACGCACACCCTATGACCGACCGGAGGAAAAGGTGTACACATCCCGTCTCGTCCTAATCTAATTGACTTTCTGGCTTGCTTATTTCTTCGAATCGATCACGTTCTACCTTCTACCTTCTGTCTCTCCACGGCGAGGCAGTCAGTCTACGAGGAAACATAAACCATTAACAGTATCAAGCCCAGGCTTAGGGGAGAGTCAACCTTCCTACAAAGCCATGGCTAAGGCTCGCTTTGGGACCGAGACCATTTTCCATCTCTCGATGTCGCCGCTGCCGCCGCCGCCGTCATCTTATCTCTTCCTCGCGGCTGCGGCCGTGGCCTTGTTCTCCTTAATCGCCTCCCTCTACCTCTACGTCGGCAGCAAGAAGGCCCAGCTTGACCATATCCCAGGACCGTGGCTGGCCAAGTACACGGACGCGTGGCGAGGCTACCAGGCATGGCGGTTGAACCACTACAAGGATCTCAGTAACTATCAGATCAACCTGATCGGCCGTTACGGCGATCTGGTCAGGATCGGACCCAATATTGTCCTTTGCTTCGATCCTGAGGCCATCAGTACCATCTATGGCTTCAAGGAACGGCTTGAGAAGGTGAATTGAAACTGGAATTTTGCTGTTGCTGTTGCTGTTGCTGTTGCTGTTGCCGGCGGTGGAGATGCATCCCTCCCTTCTCCTCTGGAAAAACAGAAAAAGAAAAGAAAAGAAAAAGGTTGTCAAATGCTGACTGAGTATCTGTTTATAGGGGCCCGGGTACGCCGTGTTTGTCATGACAGGTGCGTATGAACATCAAGGATACTTACTCTAAGCTACTGCTACTGCTACTCCTACTCCTAGTTCAGAGTTGCATCTACCAACGGAAAAGCTGACCAGACCCGACCCTGACCGGGGCCGGTGGCAGGCGTGTCGCAGACAGCACTCGTGGGTGTGCGTGATGAGAAAACCCATTCCATGTACAAGCGACCGATCGCGAGTACATACTCACTCAGCTCGCTGAAAGGTTACGAGCCGTACATCGACGGCATGATCGAGAAGTTCATGGGCATCCTCGACCAACATGATGCGTCGAACGAACCGATCAACATGAGCAATTGGCTGCACTATTGTAAGCACTTGTGTAGCAAGGATTTTCTGTTATAATTCCAGTCTTGCGTGCAAACCTCCGACCTCTGACGGAAGGACTGACAAAGGTCCAGGGGCGTTCGACATGATCTCCAAGATGTCGTTTGGCGAGCCCATCGGCTTCCTCGACCACGGTAGTGATTTCAACGGGATGATCAAGAGCCAAAAACGGTTCTTCCGCTACATCAGCATCGTCAACAACATGCCGATCCTGGACTCGCTGCTCAAGCGCAATCCATTCCTGAAACTGGTCAAGCAGAAGCCCAGCATGTTCTTCACCTTCACCAAGCGCATCGTGACGGAGCGCATCGCCCAGGCCGAGAGAGAGAAGGACAAGAAGGAAGACCCTGAAGCTGAAGCGTCCAGTCCAGGTCCGGCCGCTCATCACCACCGCGATATGCTGGGGAGCTTCATCGAGGCGAGGAAGACGTACCCACAGATCATGACCGACCTGCGCATTGCCCATCTCTCCACCACCAATGTCGTGGCGGGCGCCAACGACAGCGCGAGCTCCATGGATAAAGTCATCCACTACCTGGCCGGCCACCCGGACGCCCAAGAGCGGTTGTACAACGAGATCACCAGCGTCGTCAACGGGACGGCGACGGCCGTGAAGGAGAAGGACAGCAGGGAGAAGGACAAGGACAGCAAAACTGAAGGCGAAGGCCCCGCCGCGCTCGAACTGGCGCTCAAGATGCCCTTTCTCGAGGCCATCGTCCTGGAGTCATATCGCACGTTCGGCGTGCCCTCGAACAACATGGAGCGCATCGTGCCCCAGTCAGGCATGCGTCTGCCCAACGGCGTCCAACTGCCGCCGGGCGCCGTGATTGCCATGAACGCCGCCTCGATGGCCATGTTGCCGCACATCTTCGGCGCCGACGTCAAGGAGTTCAATCCCGACCGATGGTTCCAGGCTCCCACGGAGAGTGACGCCGAGTACGCATCGAGAAGGCATGCCATGGACCGGGCCGCAGGTATGGTGTTTGGCCATGGAAGCCGCGGTTGCATTGGCAAGAACGTCGTGCAGCTGGAAATGTTCAAGCTTTGGGCCTCTTTGGTGAGGGTCTACAGGGTAAGTTTAAGTCTGGCAGGTCGTCTGGTGCGGGAGATGCTCCTGCTTTCCCCTATGATTTGCGTTTGTATTGACCATCCAATCCTCTTTACTACCCACTAATACACCCTTCCCTCTTCTTTACTACCCACTAAAACATACACCCTTCCCCTGAGGGGTATATCACGCATCCCGACCAGAAGACAGTCGAGCAGTGCTCACTCAATTCAATCTCTAGTTCGAACCCGTCGACGTCCAAGTCCATAACGTGATGGTGATCCCAAGGAGACGCGAGAGGACATGCAAGGAGGAAGGGCAAGGGCCGAAACCTATACCTATGCCCATCTGATGAGACACGAACAGGTACAGATACATAAAACATACGGATACTAGGTACTGTAACGCTGACCTCACCTGTGTCAAACTTAGCCTAAGGCACTAACTTATAACTTGGGCATTCCCAGCCTTGTGCTTTAACCATAAGGCTGGTTTAGCTGTGCTATCTATACTACATATCATGCGCTCACCCTTCCCCCTGCGACCCTTTGATAGATGAACATGGAATATCTCAACCTTTGACAACCTGTCTATTCTACGATGGATAAGCATGGTTTTCTGGCGGAGCCGGCATTTATACAGAGTACTCCGTAGATAGGTACGATATAATGGAAGCAGTCAGTAAAGAAATGGTACGAGTACTGCATAGAGTATGCCGGTACGGATACGCTACAGACAGATCATCTGCCCCTAGGAGCTAGGAGGGAAGCAAAGAACAGCCTGGATCGATCCTGTTTGTACCGGAGAGACGAGCCAACCTCTACCCGACTACTCAGAGGTTTCCAATTCTACCTGAGATGTACTCCGTACTCCGCAACTAAGCCCCTTAGCCCCTTAGCCTTAGGGCCCCTACCCGGACGCCATTACACCTGAGCCACGACTAAGCGCTTCTCAAGTTGTCTGTGATGTCTGTAATGTGGCGGTGCAATCCTGAGCGTGCCTTGTATGGCTCCAGTCTCAAAGTGAGGCCCCTCTTTAGGGCTAAAGCTCCATACTGTTGCTACCGGGCTTCTCCTTCGCCCACTCACCCTCCGAGTGCCCAGGAACAGTCCGCAAGTAGTCTGTACTGTGACGGTCAAAATCGCTGACAGACCAGCGCCTGCTCCAGATGATCCCATTCGAGAGTTTCTTTCCGGGACAGAGCAAGTTGCCTGGCAGTAGTGCAAACATTCCGGATTTGGCGTCCATTCATCTCGAGAGCCGCCAGCTCATCGATATGGTTTTCCAGGTCGTTCACATCTACCTTCTCCTCTTCTGCCCGGATCATGTCGAAGAAATTCTGCCAGATCCGTTGTCTCGACTTCGCCGTGAGATCTTCGTAATGCAGTGAAACCTGGATACGAGATGTCAAGGCCGTATCGAATGTCCCGACGCGGTTGCTCGTAAGAATCAAGATGCCATCGTAGTACTCCAAAGTGCGAAGGAACACTGGCGCGGTCAATGGTGATCAGTCGTCATGAAAATAAAGACCAGACTTACCTGACGCAAGGCTGTTCTGCTCAAGATCTGCAAGGGTACATTCTTCAAGAAGGAGGACTATTCCAAATCCTTAGATTCCCACATTCTCTGCCTCACATGTCTTACTTACCACAGTTCCATCTTTCACCAAGCATGAGAACTTTCTCCAAGTACTTCTCGACCGTCTCAGGCTTAGTTCCAATATCACGGAACGTGATATTGTATAGGGGCATCTCCGACAGCTCAGCTACACTGTGCGAAGTCAGTACACCAAGGTTGCTGAGCACGGTTGCAAGCTTTTGTACCTCTCTGAGTCATGGTGTTAGCTGCTCTTCCATGTTGCACATCGTGGTCAAACTCACCGGCTGTAAGGGTCTTCCCAGTGCCCGGGCCGCCGTGAAGAAGCATGATGAGTCCATTGCCTTTGCCAGCGATAAGATCATCTCGCCTGGTGTTCAAAATGTGCAGCTTCTTAGGATCTTTTGAAGAGACTCTGACTAGCACCAGTGATTTGACCATATCTTTGATCCTGGGTGGAAGGACCAGTCGGTCGAATGCCTCCTTGTTCCATTTGACTGGGAGGATGTTGTCAACGAGAAGCTCGTCTGTTGGTAGTCTTAGCATTAGATTGAAAAGGTGTGATGACACTTCAAGTGCACGTACTCCATTTCTGCTTTTGGAACGAGAAAGCGTGGATCTGCGAGGGTAGAATGACATATTCGTCGCCCGTCAGATGAGCATCATGCTGTATCGCTTCTGGCCATTTATCAAATGATACTCTCTGTGTTGTTTGAAAGTCGAACACTTCGGCACCGGGATGAATTTGCCGATATGTGTTGTAATCAACCATCCATCTCGACTCGTTACTCTGAAGCAGGTGTCAGTGATGCCATCGCACATCTTCATGGACCCGGTGGTCTCATCTTACATAGTATTGTTCTCGCTGGAAATCCCATCCTTCGTAGGCCACGAAGCTCGGGTATCGTAAATTCCAAAACTTTTGTCCTCGTCCCACCAGATACGCCCAATCCCCCGGCCTTGCGAACTTTACGGGATAGACTTCAAGGTCACCTATGTTGACGACAGTCTGGAAGGGTCGATCGATGGCTAAGTCGCGGCGTTTGCGGCAGAGCGAATGGCCATTGTAACCCCAGACCCAGCACTCAAGGCGTATCTTCGATCCGCCGATCGGCCATGCTCTGAGGACACATGCAGTCAGCATGCCGCCAGTTCGGGTCACCACAATCTCGTTTGGGCAAAACAGCATCTCGATGTTCCGGCTCTGAATTTTGCCTGCTGCGATAAGATGATCCATTTCCGCAAAACCTTGGCCATGAGTGCACTCTATGTAATCTAGTAGAGCAGATGCCTGGTCCTTGACTCCACTCGAGCCGGTCTCAGCGGCCAAAGCGATGGATTTTCTGTGATGGTAGAAAAAAGCAGTCGAGTACACATCGGTGTGCGGTTCCCGCGCATTATGCTCATTTTCTCGGTTGTTCGCATAATAGGCAGTAGGGTCGGAAAGGCAACGGCTGACGCTGTGAATGATATATTGAAGATCTTGCGAGGTGACGGCGACTCCTTCGTCGTAGAATAGCTTTAGCTCGGAGCCTGGTCTCCTGTGGCGTACGTTGTCCCATCGGGTTGCATCGCTACACCGATAGTAGCGAAAGACGATAAAAGCAATACCCCCCGACCTTTCGATGAAATCTGGAATGTTGTGGACAGGAAGACCTGCAGTGAAATGCGACCGTCTATCGACCTTACTCTCTGTGTCCAACTCCCAGTGAGGCTGGACGGAGAATATTTTGCTGCCCGAATGGAAAGAGCCGTCACAGATGATTTGATGCAGGACTCGGAAATGAGTCTCGCTCTTTCGCCCTGCTGCCGGTGCGTTGTCGTGTGTATTGGCGGGGACAGCCGTTCTGGTTGCCCGTTGTGGCGTGGGCTTAGGAGGCTTTTCCAACCGTGTTTGCTGCGGACCGCCATTAGAATTGTCCAAGGGCTGTTCACGTAAGGTCTGAAAGGTTCCCAATGCTTAGACTGACCGTGTTCAACGTCCCTGCCGAAACCGACAGTGTAGGCGAGGCACCTCGCTCTGGCCTGGGCGACACCGTGCGCCCTTCAGTTCCCAACCTCTGTTGATCATTGTCACCGCATACTTCGACGATCGAATATCGTTTCCGTTTGACAGCAGTTGTGCGCGTGGCAAAAGCTTCCGGCAAAGTCGTACCTACCTTGGGAATGGGAGTCTCATTGGGGGTACCGGGAGGGTTTCTTGACGATTCGGGCTCTGGCGCCTCTGCATTTCTTCCTTCCCTAAACCTTTTCAATTTGAGAAGTTGCATCCGGTAGGTGTGAAGTGCGTGTTCATCCACAATTCCACTTCCTATCACTGACCCTGGCAACGGTCCGGGGTCTTGCAAAGGACTATGTGCTTCCCGTAGAGGCGGGGACTGTGGATCGTGTGCGTTCGTCGTCGATTTTCTGCCCAGAGTTTGCAGAGCAGCTCCCTCTCTTGCGACCCTCCCCTGCGACAAATCTTGAGACATGGTCGAATGCACTTCCTGTTCCCTTGCCAGTCGTAGGGTTTCGGGCGTGCTGGATTGCAAATTGAAGGAATTCTGGTTTGATGGGGTTGTGTTAGAACCCATCGAGGAGATGGATCCTTACGAACACGGCGCTGCCCGAGATGCAGCTACCTTCAGATACCAAGGAGTCACAAAGTGCAATGACATTCGGTGCGCGAAAGGAGATCCCTTTGAATGGTTAGGGTATGCACAGTCGTCTGACGTGAGTTACTGAGGCTCGTTCGTGGTTGTTCGGGCGAGGGCGAGGAGGGCGAAATAAGGACAAGAAGGCTGCGAGTTGCTACTCGGATGGATGCGATGGACTTGTCGTGCCGCACTGTCTCAGCCTGCGGAGCTTCTCGTGGTGTGCACACCGTTTCAGCCACGGGAGCAGGGGATAGTGTATCTCCAGTGAAAGCGCTCGCTAAGCGCCATCCTTGCATAGCCACGGCCAACAAAATTCCAAGCCGCCGAATGGTCTGGACGCGAGGGTACCAGCCAGGTGCCAGCGTTCATAGGGCTGGCTAGCTTTTCCACCAGGTTCAAACAATCACTCAAACGGTTCTAGCCCACAGGTGTGCTCAAGTCGCGGGCGTGCTCCTCTGGGTAGAGTTAACTCCTACCCTGTACGGATACTCCGTACAAGACGGACAAAGTAAAGAGGGCGGCCAATGAGCTTTATGTGGCCATGATGGTACGGAATACAGAACAGGGAGATTCAGCCACACATCAAGGAGCTTGGTTCAAAAGAGAGCGGACGTCGACAACATCGAAACAGTTTCTCGACGGATACACCAGTTGGCAAGCATCGCGTCCAAGGGGAGCTGCGCCCCATGCCATCCACCTCAGCATAGCACATCTCAGCGAGGGGTTAGCTGTACTCCGTACCTGGATCTCTAAGGTAGTCATTAGGTGGTCGTAGATATGTACGGAGTAGTAGCATATTGGAGTGAGTTCGTCTTGGCTTTGGCAGTACAGAGGAGGAGGAGGAGTACCATGTATGTACTAGTAGTTAATTGTATACATTGTAGGCAGGTAAGCCGAAACCGGCCGAGGGACCGGCACCCCTCTACCCGTCGATCGGAACTTGATCAACGGAGTTGCAGTCACCAGTGAAGACTTTGGACTTGTTTATATCGAGTTACAGAACCAGAACCCTTCCGAGCCCGATTGCCTGACAGCCGTCAGCCGGCAGCCCACTGCCATCCTGCTTCTTACGTCCGAACCCTCTTTCGCGACGCCATCGACATCGACACCGACACCATGTTCACCGGACTCGTGGAAACGATCGGCACGGTGACGGCGCTGACCTCGCTCGACCCCTCGTTGTCCGGCGGCAACGGCACGTCATTGACGATATCGGACTGCGCGTCGATCCTGACGGACGCGCAGGCGGGCGACTCGATCTCGGTGAACGGGACGTGCCTGACGGTGACCGAGTTCGACGGGCCGAGCTTCAAGGCCGGCGTGGCGCCCGAGACGCTGCGGCGGACGAATCTGGGCCGGCTGAAGGAAGGGAGCAAGGTCAACCTGGAGAGGGCGGTCAGCGCGAGCACGCGCATGGGAGGACACTTTGTGCAGGGCCACGTCGACACGGTGGCCACGATCGAGAGCGTCACGCCGGACGGAAACGCCTACACCTTCCGACTGAGCCCGCGAGACAAGAGCCTGCTGAGATACGTGGTGGAGAAGGGCTTCATCACGCTCGACGGCGCCAGTCTGACCGTCACCAAGGTCGACGATGCCCAGGGCTGGTTTGAGGTCATGCTGATCGCCTACACCCAGGAGCGCGTCGTCACCGCCACAAAGCAGCCCGGCGACGAAGTCAACGTCGAGATCGACGTCGTGGGCAAGCTGGTCGAAAAGAGCGTCGTCGGATACTTTGAGAGCACCACCAAGGATGGCCCGCCGGCCATTCTGGAGAAGATTGTGGGAAGACTCGTTGATGAGAAGCTCAACACGCTGCAGCGGTAGCGGTGGCGGTAGATCTGGGCTGAGTTGAGCTGGCTGAGCTCTGTCCATACAAAAGAGACATGATTCCCACACATACTATCTGCCCTGTGTTGCCCTGTCTTGTCTTGCCTTGCCTTGCCCTGCCCTGTCCTTCCCCTGGCCCTATTTTTCTTCCGTTCCTGGACCTTTCCTGTCCTGTCTCTACTCGCCTATGTTCCCGTCGCACCGACTATTTCGTCCCCCATTTGTTCAGCCAGCATGGTGACCTCGAATCGACAGCTCGTTTCTGTCTGGCTCGACGGGAATTTGAATACATGTCTCAAGGTACGGTACCTGACGTAGTCGACGTCGGCGGGAATCTGAATACGTGTCTCAAGGTACGGTACCTGACAAAATCGAAGTCGAAGTCGATTCCAACCCACAAAGCAAGCCAGCTTAGCCCTTGACATGCAGCAGATACATGCCTCTGTGTTGCATGTCCTGCGCGATGAGGAGAGGCCAGCCGTGGGGTGTTATTGATGAAGCCTGTGATTAAGCATGCGGTACTGTTCAATTCGCTGAAGGACTGGGTGGGAATTCCAGCGACACGGAGAAATATGAAAGAAGCAGGAGACAGTGTGCGACTTTACTACGGGATTTAGAGCATAAGACACGACCTTTCTTTGATAGAATGCAACAAGAAGGGGGAGGCTATCAAATATCCCTGGCGGAGGAATCTACAATCCAGCCATCTACTGGTATTGCCGGCCCCATGGTGCCAGACGAGGAGAGATCCATCATCATTAAGAAGTACGATTTACGTCTTGTTTGCTTTCGTCAGTTCTAGGTCTTCTGGTCGAGTGGAAAGTGGTCGTCAGATGTTCCATTGGCGCGCAACCCCAGGACCTGAGTCAAGCGCTCCTATGTAAAGGTGGGCGATAGAGGTCGGGTCGTAAGGGGAAGTCGGGTCGCCGCGGTGACTAGCCCATAGTCTCAAGTTTCCATTCCAATCATTCAGAGTTGAGAGATCAAGTTTAAGATTCGTCTTCTGGGTGCAGAGATGTCCAAACCTTATTCAGCTGCCATCACACTCAGAGGTACAAAGCAGTTAGGGATATATTCCACCTTCACCAGTTGTCCTCGCCTGTATTTCCTCCCGTGTCTGTTGGTTGCGCCGGGGATATATGGAATGCGAGCTATTATACACATCTCTCTGTTTCTTGCCTCTGTTTACTGGTCGTCTCGGATGAGCTGTGAGAAGAGTAGTGACGCTTCACGGGCAAGTCATCGTGCCCGGTCGATCTGCTGAGTGAGTTGGGTAGGTGCATCCTCCGCCTTCAGTATCTATCGCCATTGCCTCGCAGCTTTGGTTGGGTGTATGCTGATATGACCCCAGAATGATTCGTAATCTCGCCCATTTCGTCCTGGTGCTTCTTCACACCGGATCAAGAATGGTCGACTGCGGCGTCACGTCTCTCTGGGCCAGATGCAGCTGCAGGACCGGGGGCCATTGCGGCACCCGCCCCTCGATCTCGGCAACCACGATGGCGATGATGTTGCGTGGCCACTCGAGATGGACGTTCAGCTCCGAGTCACCCAAGCGCTCGAAAATGGCCTCGGCCCACTCAACGGTGCCGGATAGCACGCGCACACGGGTGGTGTCGGCGCGTTGCTGCCATTCCTGCGCAGCCAGGGGTACCATGAGCAGCTGGAGGCAGATAAAGTACGCAAGTAGTAGCTGGGCGACGAGGTTGTCAGGGTCGAGAAAGCTCTGAAAACTATCGTGGCACAGCTCGTACCACACGCCGTAAACGCCGATGAATTGCAGGTAGCCATCGATCGGGCTGGCTTGCAGGCTGATGACAACGTCGACCAGGGCGTCGTGGAAATCGAGCTCGGTGTCGCCGGCCACATAGGGCCGGATGCCCTCGAGCGCTCGGTCCGCGTCTTCCAGCAGCTGCGGATGGACGGAGGGCAGCTGGGGGAGACGCGGAGCCATGAATTTGAAATGGTAGTCCGGGTGCAAATTGAATGCGGTAGGCGAGTTTTCCTGCTGGATCTTTTGCGTCGTCAGCGCACACCCACGCACCATGGTGATAAAGTCAACCAGGCCGTCGCCCATGTACGAGGCCTGGAATGTCAGAGCGTAGCAAGACGCCAGCATTGCGTCTGACTCGCCGTACGCCAGCGCAGTCTGGCTCAGCGCCTGGTTCAGCCCGGCGAACGCATGGCCCCGGTGCACCAGCGACTCGCGCCGGTAGTCCACCCCAGTCAGGCGGCTCAGGTGCGACGCCCCGAGCGACAGGATCGCATGCATCAGATACGGGTGCTGCTCAGCAAACTGGGGGATCTCGTGCACCCACACCGAGTCATTGTCCACGGGCAGGTGCGGGTATGCTATGGTCAAGAAATGGTGGAAGAAGCGCATGTCCAGCATTGAAAACGTCCCTGTTGTCTCTCCGCTTCCACTGCCGGGAAACGATGGCCCCGTTGTCGGATTCCATCGCAGCACCGACAGCGTGTGAGATGTCCTGCCGTTGCTGCTGCTGTGGCGTGCCACTGGCTCCGCGGGGTACACGCAGCTCATGCCCTTCATCACACAGCTCCCGCATGCCGGTTTCTGCTCGCCGCATTTGATCTTGCGGCTCTTGCAGCTATAGCAACCTCCGCGAGACTTCTTGTGCGAGCGCCGGGTGAGGTTAGGAGCTAGTGTGCGAGTTTTATGAGGTTGCTGATGTGCTTGTGGTCGCCCGTCGGTGCCATTGCCGGTGCCATTGCTATTGCCTGATGTGGTTGTGGCTGTGGGCGATTCAGACACATTGTCCCATGACGCCAGGGAGGCGATATCCGTGAAATTGTCGACCGCAATGCTGTTCTCGGAATCCTGGGTCATGCTAGTGGCCGACATGTAAATGTACTTGTGGATAAATCAATGAAGATGTTGATGTTCGTCAAGGGTAGCGATTAGCAAATCTCACAACGGGGGCATTGGGACTCCGTCAGGCATGGTTTGGAGACATGAAGGACTGTATTGCATCTGCCACAGGAAAGGCATAGAAGTAGTGTAGAGTGGAGGCTTGACTAGAATAGAACTGCGAGTTAATGTAGCAATGCGAGTCCAGAGGGTTTGCAGTATGAAGCATCGTCTGCACCCAGCCACGAGACGAACGGGGGTCGGGTTGCTGGGCCAAGGCACGAGGCATACAACGGGGCGGACTGAGTGCCACTGTACCGTTCAGGGTTATCGCTCGCTTGATTTCCCGCTCACAGCGGTGGTGAAAAGGGGGTCGACAGGCCAGTAGCAGGGAAAGCCGATGACGGGAGGGAATTTCTAGACGTCTGAGATGGAAGCCTTGGACGATCGACAGGCCCACGAAAACGTTTCAGCCTGGAGTCAACTATCGGGCCTCTTGGACACGAGAATCCAGAAGGGAAAAACTGTTGATGTGACGCAGAGGCGCATCAGGGGAGTCAGCAACCCAATGGGATAATTTGAGCGTCGTTAGTTCTTCCTGGATCAAGCGGGTTGAGCCAAGTGGCGCGCCCTTCTCTTCAACTTGACAACCGCTGACAGCCAGCCTAATAATGACCTTAGCGGTGGGTGGTTTCGAGACCCTTACTCTCTCTGCTTGGAGGTGTCCAGGAGTCGCACGCGCACCGGTATATAGGCACGTCCTGTCTCCGTCGGCCAGCTTTGCAGTCGTTTGTTACATGTTACATGTAGTTGCTCTGGAGCGAAAGTGCCAGAGCAATACCCTTCCTTAGACAGCAAGGTTGGCATATTGGACACTGTTGGGTGCCAAAAATAGCGGACGACAAGATCCGTGACCATTATTGACCACGGCAGGGGTTCTTTGGAAGCAACGGTCCTTTCGTACGTACGTACGCTGTACGAAGTATGTTGTTGGCAGCCCTCCCCCTACCGTATCGAGTTTAGAGGCTGCGCTGGACCATGCCGATGACGGGAGTGAGCAGAATCTCAGGCCAGGCAGAAGCAGGAGAAGGGTGTTCCGTAACGCATCGAGGGGGACTTCAGGCCTGGTTCTGCTCCACAAGACCTTCCAGGGGTGGGTGGTCACAGATGGACTCTTCCGTAGCTGACCCATATTGTCCATGTCCCCGGGTTCTGGATCCGTGGGGAACTAACGATAACAGCTCTTTCTCTGCCGTGTTGACGCCCGTTTCTTCCCGCAGCCATTCGGGGGCTTAGCTAAGGCTGAGGGCATGTTTATGGGTGTTGACGATCGCGAAGCTCGTGACCACCGCGAGTGGCGACAAGCATTGCATTGGATATTTTGTTCGAATTCCAGGGTCTTAGAGTGCTACCGCTGCATCAGCAATTTGCTGCCCGATCATTAAATGACTCACATTATTGATTGAGGGGCACCGAAGGGATGTGTCGCCGGTTGCTGGCCATACCCTTGTCATGAAGAGACGAAGCAGCCCATATCATTCCGACATAGGAAGACGGCCAACATCTCTCGGCGCCAGAGTCTGGCTGTGTACGGAGTACATTCATATGTTCTCCGTACTCAGTATAGCTGGTAGGTCCTCGGTACCTATTTGGTGCCTATAGGCAGAGAGCGAGTATGTCAAGTGGCTCTGAGACGGTCATTTGAAAGAATCTGCGACTGCGCCATCGACCCCAAATTAGGGAACAACTGCAACTTCTCTCTCTCACGGCCACGTAGACTTTGCGGGCGCATCTGTCATTGTCATCTCCAGATATGGACATCTCTCCCCGAGCCCTGCTTCGGCTTCTCTTCCCTCGCCTGCCCCTGATTTTCAAGACGGCTCTTCTCAATGCTTTGTCGCTGTCCCCAAACTCATCCAAGCAAGATTTGAAGACCGAAGTCGTTGTCAGGCTCCTTCGAGACATCATTAGCGCAAGACGGTCCGTAGGTTTCATGCAAAAATACACTACCAAAGACCCTGGCATCAAAGGCCCGGTCGTAGTGTCCAAAGTCACCGTCCCTCCTCCCCCGGATCAAAATGGGCCCAGAGATGCGGTCTGCAGCGCTATCAAGGAGCTGGGAGATGGCACTGAGACTTACATGGTCCCCGAGACCGCGGCTGTCGAAGCGGAGTGGACTGGCTATCGAGCGAACGTCAGCCCCAGCGAACCTAGACCAGATCTGCCTGAGGAGGAGCACTACGCACTGTTAAGCGAAAATGTCTCCTCGTCACTGACAATTCTCTATTTCCATGGTGGTGCCTACTACCTGATGGATCCAGCCTCTGTTCGCGACACGACTACCCGGCTCGCGAGGCTGACGGGAGGTAGATGCTATTCGGTCCGTTATCGCCTAGCTCCTCAGAATCCTTTTCCTGCACAGCTTCTCGACGCGTTGGTGGCTTACCTGTCGCTGTTATCCCCTCCCCCGGGTGCATTTCATGAGCCCGTACTCGCAAAGGATATTGTCTTTGCCGGAGAATCCGCCGGGGGGAACCTGTCTCTTGCCTTGCTGCAGCTCCTCTTGACCCTCCGGAGAACCGGTACCGAGACAATCAAATTCCACGGTGCTGATGTTCCTGTGCAACTGCCCGCCGGCGTTGCGGTCAACTCTCCCTGGGTCGACATCACACGCTCTCTGCCATCCAATATCAACAATGCCTTTTATGACTACCTCGAGCCTCTCGCCCCAACCGGTCTTTCCAACACAGAGCCGCTGCCAGATCCCTTTTGGCCAACGTCTCCTCCCCGTGCTGACATATTCTGCAACGCATCAATGATGGTGCACCCTCTAGCCTCGCCTGTGCAAGCCAATTCAGAACTATGGATAGGTGGGCCTCCTGTCTGGATTTGTGTGGGAAATGAGACCCTCGAGGATGAAGCCACAGTCCTCGCTCGCAGAATGCACCAGGGCGGAGTACCGTTGAGCTTGGTCGGCTATGAAGGAATGCCGCATTGCTTTGCCATGATATTTCCGACCTCGCCCACGGGCAAGGATTGCTTTGAACGCTGGGGCAAATTTTGCTCGGACGTTGTCAAAGGCACGCAGCTTGGTTCGAGCAAGGCCGGCTGGGTTAAGGCATTCTCCAACCCGCTACATTTGGAGGAAGTAGACGTGCAGAATTTGACTTCTCTCAGCGACCAAGACGTGACCGAGATTACCGGCAGCATGCGGAAGCATTTCCTGATACGGGAAGAAGAACTTGTGAGAAAATGGAGCGAGCCGAAAGCCAGGGCGAAACTATGACTCAAGCAAGACCGACACCGAATACAGACCGTCTCCCTGCCTTCATAGCCTCGCTTGGTCAAAGAAACGATCCGCGACCTTGAGCCAGCATCAGTCTCGCTATGCTAGGGATAGAAGGTGGGACCACCTTGCCCAGGAGCAGCGGCAAATCTTGGCTCCCGCTCTTCAAGGAAGCTCTGGACGCTTTATTTGCAATCATTGAAGTTACTACTTTGCGTCTACACGGACAAAGGGGAGAATACCGAGGTGTAAACAAGTGAAACAGCACATCGCTGTCAAGCAGGTGAGTTTTTGCGGCCGGTAATTTCCCTCCCCCCATCAACTCCTGATTGATGAATCGCGCCCATGCCTTTCTCTGATTGGAAATGGTTGTGGCGAGTTCCAAGGTTCTCTTCGGGATACTGGCTTAAGCCTCTACAACCTCCCAGAACAAGCTCCCAAACTGCTTTGACTCTCCGCGGTATACTGCCAGTGGCCAGGAGGTGGGCCAGAAGGTGTATAGCATTCGAATATCCGATGAGTCTTGGCAGGAAGAAGATGACTTTGGCTCCATGGTGATTCCACCAGTCTCTCCCTCTCTTCCACTCGGAAAGCCAACTCGCTCATCCTTTCTCGCACAAAACATCTTGCCCGCACCAGTGGGACAATGAATCTGACACGCTCGTCCAGTTCGAACTTTGAAAACACCAGTTCAAATTATGCATCATCTAGACAGCGAAGGAATTGCCTTGGCTCAGGCGGTTCAACGTGACCTATTGCCGCCGCGGCCTCAAGTGGACTTGCTGGAAAGCGCGATGTCTTGATGTCCTTGACTGGCGGGTCCCGTAGAAAAGGGGACATTCACCTTGACTGGGTCGGGCAACATGGTGGATTGATCTCAAGTAATATAGAAGGGACTCACTCTCAGTCCTCTAGGGCCAGCTATTCAGCAATAATACAAGATATGAGCTGAAGGAGTGTCGCTCGAGCCTCAGGATAATGCAAAGCCGCCAGCCTTGCGGGCCTCAGCCAGCCTTGTAGAGAGGGAAGTACTCCGTACTGAGTAGTGGAATCAAGTACAGCCTAGTCGGAAAATCGTTATTCCGGCCATTCTCTCAAACTGCGATTTATTCAACACTGTCTTGCACACCATTGACTTTCTCGTTTCCAGCCACACCTTCAACTAGGGGCAATGAGCTGATTGCAGCCAGCTAGGTTGTCGTTGGCGACAATGCCCAATGCCCGGCGCGCTATCACGTCCACAGCTCTCGAGTTTCTGGTCACTCGGCTGCGTTCAGCGACGTCTCATTCTGTTCGGTGCCGATTGAATCCTACGTCACCATGAGTGTCAGAATCGGTGCCAGTGACATGTATCCTTCGTTGAAGATTGTATGGTCGTCGCAGCCTCAAGAAGCAGAAACTGCGTACCGCAATGCCGGACTTGTCAAAACAAAAGGAACGCTTTTCCTCCTTCCCCCTTCGGACGTCGTCCTTCGCGAAACCTTCGACGCGCCTCCCCGGCCAAAGACTCGTATGTCATCAGGTGCCGTGGCTCTCTGCAAACACTTTGAACGTGGCGGAGCGTCATCTGAGCATGGCCGCTCCCACCCTTTCTGGGCCGTGCCTGTTGGCAGCAACGAGCACAAGACAGAGATGGCACGGCGGATCCTGGATGAAATGCTGTCGCAGGCAGTGTGGAAGAATGTCATGCTGCTGCACCATGGTGTAGCTGTGTATGAAGTCCGGAACAGCCGGGGCTATGGAATGAGATGGACTCTAGATATTGAAGAAAAGCTTGACGCAGGCCAGGACGACGGGAGGGTTGACTCCAGTCTCGTCAAGAATGATCATGAGAAGGACTGGGTCATCACCAGGACTACCTTTCGAGGCTTTCTGGAACCCGTAGTGGGATTGGATCATGAACTTCCTGGACACGAAGGATAAAGGACGGTCACGTAGAATGCCATGGTGGGAATGACTACCTATACACGGGAGTCCTTCGACACTTCTAGCCTTCTCCTGCTTTCGTGCAACCAAAGACTGATCATCTTTGTCAGGACGACGATGCAGAAGACAGACGATAGGCTCCGAGCCCGAGACAGATATGAACATGACCAATCGCGCCTAAGGCCTCCCAAATGATGTCCCCCCTTTCGATATGCGGCGGTAATGAACCGGATTGCTGGTGAGGCCGATCGGAGACTAAGTTCGGGACTGTGGCCCTGTCAGATGCAGATGCCAGATGCAGATGCAGGACTGCTTGGGTCAGCAATTACTATATGTACATATGCAAGGGGAGATCAACCTTGTCCTGCGCATGCATCTCATCTTGGATCTACACGGCTTTCCAGAAGATGGTGTATGCATATCCATACTGCGACCTATGGCCTATGGATGACAATGCTACTTTACCCCCTGGACAGACCCCGGCATCGGCATCGGCATCTCCTCCACAACGCTCCCTCTCTCTCCCCGCAGCAGCCACAGTTAGTGCCAGCCGTCCTCTCCACCCCCCACGCCGACGCCGGGGCAGACACATTGGATGACCAAGGACGGGCGACGGGCGACGGGCGACGGGCGATGGCTGGTGTTGACGGCTGGATTATGCCCAAGCAAACCATCCGTAGATATGCGTGATGTGGCCGTCGATCCCTCGGCTGTCTCATTGATTTATCCCTCTGTCCGCTCACGTTCTTTTGGAAGCGTGACGCTGGCTTGCCACGTTGTCTACTTGGTTGTCTTTCACTCCTTTCCGTGTTCTCTGTCAGTTCCAATCACTGTTTACTGTCTTAGATCGGTCAGGTTGCTCGGCTGAGCTATGCGATAGATTTTCAGCGTCAGCGGGAGTTTGCTTTTGACATGCAGGCCGTTGCGCCATCTGCGGCTCCAAATCAAATTCTTCACAGCCCGTGATCCTCGGTTTATTGGGTGTTTAGCGACGCCATCAAGCCACAATGGCTCCTGCGGGCTTTCCGACAACCCTGTCGGGCATCTTTTCAACAAAGAGCCTGAGTTTCATCCATCAAGGTATTCTTGTGCGGCGAATGGATGTGTTGAACATAGTCTGACATTGCTCAGTCCCGAGGCTGAACGCCATCTATGGTTGCACGCGGCAGACCAAAAGAAATGTGTACTCGTGTTCCGGCGGCAGGGCCCCGCTGGCAACCAGGCATACAAGCCTGATCCAGCTCCCTCCCAGAGCGGTTACCATCTGGTCGCGACTCAAGGCTGATCTCACGTCTGGCTCGGTTCCCTACTCAGAGCTCACGATCGGTGTCCCAGCAGAAACCTTTGCCGGAGAGCGTCGCGTGGCTGTGGCGCCCCAAAACATCCCTCTTCTCCTTAAAAAGGGGTTTGCTCGCGTCCTCGTGGAGCGCGGTGCTGGCGCCGAAGCTCAGTATGCCGACGAAGTATACGAACACATGGGCGCCACCATCGTGGATCGCCAGACTGTTTGGTCTGAAAGTAACGTGCTGCTCAAAGTCCGCGCCCCCGACGTCGAGTCCGAGGTGCCGCTTATTCGCGAAGGGGCCGCCCTGATATCGTTTATCCAACCGGCTCAGAACAAAAGTCTGGTTGACGCCCTCGCCTCACGCCGCGTGACTGCATTTGCCATGGACATGATTCCGAGGATATCTCGGGCACAGGCATTCGATGCTCTTAGTTCCATGGCCAATATTGCCGGGTACAAAGCCGTTCTCGAAGGGTCGAATCATTTTGGCCGATTCCTGACTGGCCAGGTCACTGCCGCGGGGAAGATCCCGCCCGCCAAAGTGCTAGTCATCGGCGCAGGCGTTGCCGGGTTGAGTGCCATCACTACGGCTCGTCGCTTGGGTGCGATCGTCCGTGGGTTTGACACTCGGTCGGCGGCGCGCGAACAGGTCCAGTCTCTCGGGGCGGACTTCCTCGAAGTCAGCGTCCAGGAGGAGGGCGGCGGAGCAGGAGGCTACAGCAAAGAAATGTCCAAGGAATTCATCGAGGCCGAGATGAAGCTGTTCATGGATCAGTGCAAGGACGTGGATATTGTGGTCACCACCGCACAAATCCCAGGCAAGCCCTCTCCCAAACTCATCACTGAAAAGATGGTCAGCGCCATGAGGCCGGGCTCGGTGATTGTGGATCTCGCATCTGAAGGTGGAGGGAATTGTGAAGTTACGGTTCCCGGGCAGCTCATCGTCCACAACCATGTCACCGTCATCGGGTATACAGATTTCCCGTCCCGCCTTCCAACCCAGTCGACCAGCCTGTATTCCAACAACATCACGAAGTTTCTCCTATACCTCGCCCCCAAAGACAATCATTTTGGCGTCGATTTGGAAGACGAAGTCGCCCGTGGCTCCATCGTCACTCACAATGGCCAAGTCATCCCTCCAGCTCCACGCCCGGCTCCGCCGCCCGCTTCCACCCAGCCACATCATGAACCTGAACTCAAGCCAGTCGAACTGACCCCGTGGGAGAAGCAAACGAGAAACGTGGCCGCAGTGACGGGGGGAATGAGTGCAGCCCTGGCACTCGGCAAACTGACCGGGCCGCTCTTCATGAGTAGCATGTTCACAGCCGGTCTTGCTGGTCTCATCGGGTATCGATCGGTCTGGGGGGTGATTCCTGCCCTCCATTCTCCGCTGATGAGTGTCACCAATGCCATTTCGGGCATTGTTGGGGTGGGCGGCTTCTTCGTCATGGGCGGAGGATTCTTCCCTGAGACCATCCCGCAGGTTCTCGGTGCTCTCTCGGTTCTCCTGGCGTTTGTGAACATTTCCGGTGGCTTCGTCATCACCAAAAGAATGCTGGATATGTTCAAGCGCCCGACCGATCCCCCGGAATATCCCTACCTATATGCAATCCCTGGCATTCTGTTCGGCGGCGGCTTCATCGTAGCTGCGAGTACGGGCACGGCGGGGTTGGTGCAGGCTGGGTATCTGGTCAGCAGCCTCCTCTGCATTGGTAAGTACCCAATGGTGCTGCTTTTACCCGGCGACGACTCACTGTAGGGTAGGATCGCTTTCGGGTCTCGCGTCTCAAGCAACTGCGAGAACCGGGAACCTCCTCGGAATCTTGGGGGTATTTGCAGGGATCATCGCATCCTTGGGGGCGGTAGGATTCTCCCCCGAAGTGCTAGCTCAATTTGGGGCCATTGCAACGGTCGGTGGCATTATTGGTACGTGAAGGCTGAAGCATTGTATGCGCGAGCGAAACTTCTCACACCGAGCGTCAGGTGCTCTCATTGGAAGACGAATCACACCCACCGAACTACCCCAGACCGTTGCAGCCTTGCACTCGGTGGTGGGTCTTGCCGCCGTATTCACCAGCATAGGCAGCGTTCTCGCCCACGTCTCGGAGATCTCAACCTTGCACATGGTGACTGCTTACCTGGGTGTTCTGATCGGTGAGTCTGTCCGTCTCTGCTGGCCCGTCGCGGCACTAAGCTGTCGGCAGGTGGAATCACGTTCACTGGCTCGATTGTTGCGTTTCTCAAACTGGCAGGGCGCATGTCCTCGCGCCCCACAATCCTTCCTGGCCGACATCTGATAAACGCATCTCTGCTCGCCGCCAACGCAGGCACAATGGGGGCGTTCATCACCATGGCCCCTGGGGCGCCCGCCGTGGCGGCGGTCTGTCTGTCTGCCAACACGGCCCTGAGTTTCACGCAAGGGTATACCACAACGGCTGCCATTGGTGGAGCTGATATGCGTATGTTACATCCTCGCTGGTTGATCTGGGCTCTGCCAGACTGACGCTGCCTCTAGCCGTGGTGATTACCGTGCTCAATGCATACTCTGGCTTTGCACTTGTCGCCGAGGGTTTCATGCTCGACAACCCTCTCCTGTTGACCGTAGGGTCGCTTATCGGCGTGAGCGGTTCGATCCTGTCGTATATCATGGTTTGTGGCCCTTTTCGGTTTCTTGTCAGAGTAATGGAGAGCTAAAGTTGATATATGACAGTGCGTCGCGATGAACCGGTCGCTGACCAACGTACTATTCGGTGGTATTGCGCCCATTGCGCAGGCGAACCAAGAAATCAAAGGCCAAGTAATCAAGACGACGGCCGAAGAAACCGTCGACGCTCTAGCCAGTGCGGAGAACGTGATTATTGTACGTCGTAGCCCTTCCTCTTCCTCCCAAGTTGCAGGGTGCTGACAGGTTATGCTAGGTGGTCGGATACGGCATGGCGGTGGCCAAAGCACAGTATGCGATTGCCGAAATCACCTCGTTACTGCGAAGCAAGGGCGTCAACGTCCGGTTTGCCATCCACCCAGTGGCAGGCCGAATGCCAGGCCAGTGCAATGTGCTGCTAGCCGAGGCGTCGGTGCCGTACGACATTGTCCTGGAGATGGACGAGATCAACGACGACTTCCCGGACACGGATGTCACACTGGTGATTGGGGCCAACGATACGGTGAATCCACTGGCTTTGGAGGCCGGGTCGCCGATCGCGGGGATGCCGGTCCTGCATGCGTGGAAGTCCAAGAACGTGATTGTCATGAAGAGGGGGATGAGTAGTGGTTATGGTGAGTTGACCGACCGTCACTTGTGTCGTGGCCTTTTCTTTTCCACCAACTATCGTGCTCATACTTGATACTGACCGAGTCTGTGATCCTACCAGCCGACGTGCCCAACCCGATGTTCTACATGCCCGGAACACGCATGCTGTTCGGCGACGCCAAGCAGACGTGCGACGCGCTCAAGGCGATGCTGGAGACGAGGTATAAGGCGCAGTTCCATGTCTAAATGGGGAGGAGGAGGAGGAGGAGGGAGGAGGCAGGTATTACCCTAGCTAGGGTGAGCGAGCGGGCCACCGAGAGACTGGCATTGACATTTGGCAATCGCATGGCATTGGCATTGTACTTCCGAACAGCAGTATTACAGTAATAATAGAATGTAGTCCGAGGTGCTTAAAGTGGGTGGGTGGGTGGTTATTACTACGTCTCCATTAGTTTAGCGGGGTGGAGCCCCGGCTTGCCATTTAAACAAGACTGATAGTTTAAATCTCCCAAAATTTAGGGTTAAGATCGTGCAGAGAACTAGCTGCAATCCTATCTCTGGGTTGCGTGGCCTAATGGTAAGGCGTTGCTTTCCGGTGTCCCAAACAGGAATCTGGCAAAGATTGTGGGTTCGAGTCCCATCGCAATCGCAACTTCGTCTTTCTTTTTTATCTTTCTTTTTGATCTTTCTTTTTGCTTTTTCCTATTTCGATTTCGATTTCGATTTCTAAAAACGAAAGCAAAACCAAAAACCGAAAACATAATCGAAATGCAGAAATCTATCGAGAGGCAGAAATGTTGCGCCCGGGCCAGGCAGTTCAATTCGCTTTTTGGCTTCTCTTTTTCTTTTTCCATCACATCCCTTCCATAACAATCCCTTCTTCGTCTTTCTTGTTTCGTTGATTGCGCTTCGCTTCGCCTCGTTAATGATCATCACCTCTTAACCTAAGTTAATTGAACGGACTGGCAACTGGGTTGGGTGTGAGATTGTCACTTCCGTGGCCTATACAGCAATTCGATGTTGTTGTAACCTGTAAGTAACCCCATTGATTCTATAGACTAGTAACTGAAGTGATTGTCATGTCGTCGCCGAGAAGGGGACATCCAGTAACCCAAATCGGGGAACAAACTAATGGCAACACCGACAAGGCAAGCCCTTGAATATGCTAGAAGTGAATATTATTGAAAGTTATACTAAGGAAAGATGGAGAATCTCTCCTAGTAGAAGAGTCCTCCTGGTATATATATCACTCTAGTACATACAAACAGTAACGTGATCAAAGAGTCACAAACAAAGTCACTCGATGTCTCTCATTCAAGTCAAGCAGGTCAAGACATACGAAATTCAAGCTGAATGAATGAATGAATGATTGGCATTCAAGCACTGGCATCCGTATCCTTATCCCTATCCGTATCCGTACATAATGAGCCACCGTACTGGAAATCACTTTTGCCACCCAAACTTGCTCTTCAGTCTATACTCATCGTCGTCCATAACCACCACCACCCTGATTGTAGCCTCCACCATGATTGCCACGACGGTCGTTTCTAGGGGGGTAGCCCTGACCTTGACCTGCGTATTGATACGAGCTGTCGCTCACACTCCGGCCACCATATTGCGGCTGTTCTCCGTTCCTGCCATAATACTGATTCTGGCCTTGATTGCCATAGTAACCCTGGCCCTGACCCTGACCCTGTCCTTGTCCTTGTCCTTGGTAGTTGTAGTGATTCCCCTGTCCGCCACCATACCCTCCATACCCATTGCTGGGCGCCTGGTTCCGATCATAGCCGTTCGACCCTCCATATCCCTGCGCTTGAGGCGGCGGCGGTCCACGACCCGGTGGAGGCATATTTGCCGCGAACCGTGGATCCAGGAAGGCCGCAAATGGATTGTTGTTCGACGTGCCAGGTGCCCCAGGGTCCAAAGGTGGCCGATTGGCCGCATAGTTGATACGGCCCCCTCGGTTCTGCTGGTCGTGAGGGTCGCGTCGAGTGTTGTCGTAGAGCGGGGCGCCGCCAAAGTCTCGGCCCGAGTTCCTTGCCTTGGACCGGAGAAGGGCCAAATCACCCTTGTCCAAGACGGCGGGCGGCAGCACGACGCCCGGAAACAACATGGACTTGTGCACGTGGGTCGGAGGCGGCATCGTGAAGTGGACACTCAGCGATCGGTCGTCGTCCACGACCGGTTCCAATTTGATCTCCTCCTCGGGTCCAACCAGGTCCATGTGAGGCAGGAAATCGGCGTTCTTGCTCACCGTCCCGGCAAGTCGGCCTTTCCGCATGGACAACTTGACGGAATCTTTGCCATTCTTGGCTTTCTTGGAGTAAAACTGCATCGCCAGCTCGTCGTACAAGGGGTTCTGGTCGGAAATGATCAGTGCATCTTTCCCAACTTCATTCCTGGCTCGCTCGTCATCGTTCAACAGATGGTATTTGGTGTGCATCGCCGACAGGAGGCGCTTCTCGTCAATGAAAGGGAGCAGGACCACCGCCTTCCACGACTGCTTTTTGCCGTTGGCATCGAGCTCAAAGTCTTCCGGATAAAAGTCGACAATCTCCGAGTCCTCATCGGTCATAAGCGGATGGAACGCGGGCGGGATCGCATGGTTCGACGCCGCCGGCAACACCCCCATCAGTTGTTCGTACGGTCGGAACGGCGTGCCCTTGTCAAACTTGATCGTCATCTTGTCAATGTCGACAAAGTCGGCCGCGAACGGCGCATAGTGGTAAGGATAGTACCAGGTCCAGGAGGGACAGCCTTGGAAATAGTAGAGCAAAACCCAGCTGAGCCCTTCTACGTATGCGCGCGCAACTTTGTGGCGGAATTCAATGTCGTTCGGAGCAACGTGGAACTTTTGTTCGTAGTAACGGTCGGCGTACCCAGGTTCCCACAGACGAACCGTGTCCAGGTCCGGATCACCGGCCTGGCCATTGGTCTCAGGTTTCGCCACAGGGGTGTGTCGTCCAGGCGTTCCGGCGTCAGAGGATTCTTCCGCTTCCATCAAGCCGGCCTTGCGTTTGCCCAATGCCGAAGCAGGCGTACCTCCCTCACCACTAGGGCTCCCGTTGACGCCGTTGACGCCATTCTTGGTTGGAGTTTCGGCAGCGGCCGCCCTCTTTGCGAGCATTTGCTCTTTCAAGACGGCGGCGGCGCTTTTGTTCGAGGCCGCGGCTTTGTCCACCGTCCCCCTGTTGACAATGGCGTTGTAGTCCAGTGTAGGGTAGTCGGTTGCTTCAAACGTCTCGACTGGCCCTGTCGGCGCACGAGCATCCGCACGAGCGCCTCTGTTATAGTCCGGAGAGCTACGGCGCCGCTTGGGGTTACGGGCGGCCTCTCGAGCTTCCTTCTCTTGCTCTCGGCGACGCTCGTTCCGCTCTCTTCGGTCCGAGACTTCCTTTCGGCGCTTGAAGATGGCATCCTCTTGTTTGGCGAGCCCCTGTAGGATGATTTGGGCACGGGCCAGTTCGACATTGCCATCACACGTCACATAGCCGCCCATGAGAGGGAGGTTGTCTCGCCAAATGGCAATGAGCTTGTCGATACCATCTTCGTGGATGTCGAGACTGGGGAGATGGGGCAGAAAATCATTGCCGACGAAGAAACACATAAAGACCCAATCATCAAGGGCACGCTCAAGATCGAAACGAAACGGTTGACCTGGCACGAGCATTTCTGCCCCGAGGTACTCACGGAGGATGGGCACATTCAACCAAACAAAAGGCTTCAGCTCTTCGGTGGTTCCCTTTTCGTCGAACTCTCCCGACTTTGCCTTGGCGTTGCCTCTGCAGTTTTCTGCATAGTGCCCTTGTTGTCCGCAGAGCTTGCAGGTTTTGGCTTTGGCGTCTCGGAGGAAGACGTCTTCTCGCAGGACACGAAAATGCGGCTCGTGGGTCGCGATACCCAGCATGATCAAGTCTGCATCAAGGCCATACATCACATGTCTCGTGTTGGGGTCATATTCAGGGTCGGATCGTTGAGAACGAATGAACTGCATGATCTTATGCTCACCTTCACCTGGGACGCTGGCATCGGAGATGATGACTTTCAACTCAGCCCAGGCCGGATCAGTGTTGAGTTTCCATTGGACCCAATATCGGATAGACTGAGCAAGGATGAACATGAATGGCGTGCCAGGTGTGATGACATTACTATCCCAGGTTTTCTTGATTACTTCTTCCACTGTGGAAGCTTCATCGTCGTCCTCATCCCTATCTCTTTGTTGTTGACGTAGAAGTGTTTGAAACTCGGCCTTCTGTTCATCCGCCTCTTTTGCGTCTCTCGCCGCCCTGAAACGTCGAGCGCGCTGCTGGTTCATTTTGGCGCGGGGAGCAACACCATCTGGCGAAATGTCAGTACGAGGCACGGTATACCTCAAGTCTGTGGGGGTCACATACCGATTGCAATCATAAGCAGTCTCCGTGGTCGCACCATGTTCACAACACGTTCAGTATACTTGAAGATCTCCATCATCATTTCCGCCTCGTTCGCCGGAGGAGGTTTGTTCTCGGGATGTGAGCAAGGATGGACAATTCCATTGAAATCAAGGTAGAGATTGTGCATCTCCTCGCCGTTAGGATTCGGCTTAGTCGTGTCAACAGGGTAAACCACGCCATCAATCTCGTACGGTTGCTCCTCAATCACGGGACTGATGATCTTGGGATACTTCTTGGTGAGCCACCGGAACAGCGCCGGGACACCCATGGCGACCGACTGGCGACAGACGGGCGACGAGCGATAGAAAGGGCTGGGGCAGGAGACGTGAGAGGTTGAAAACTTGGTGGAAAGAAGAGCAGAACAGGCCGCAAGGACCAAGATCCCACTTGCGTCTGGTGGAAAAAACGGAAACGAATCTCTGTCGGGGAGAGGGGAAGGAAATGGGCACAGCGTCTCATGCGAATCGCATCACCACGGCCAAACTGCAGGGTCTTCTAGCGACAAGCGATGCAGGTGTCTGTTGTTGAGGCTCGACCGAAGCCTGGCCTGGCAATCTTTGACTTGAACTTCGAGTCGGACTCGAGATCGCGCAGGCTTGGCCTAATCACGTGATCGGGATTGAGCCTGCGATCAAAAATCGCCGACTCCAACTTCAAGTTTGCCTGGCCGCAGCGTTGGTCGTGGGACCCATCTATCTCCGTATCCGTCCTCTGTAAAGTTTTGACCGTGAGGGCAGTATGCTGACGTTCGGACACCAGTAACATGCACCATGTTCACGGCACACTGATGCCATTCCTCTATCCATGTCTATTCGAGTCGACCGCGACTTCGATTCGGCTTCAAGTCCATCGAGTACCCAGCCACGTTCGGGCAAGTCTATTCCGACCCAATATCTCCCGGAAACAGTCGTCTCTCGCAGATGCAAACACCTCCTCCTCTCGTCATGCGGCGGCCTATGAGGCTCCCCCGGCTACGGGCTCGTCACGCTTGAATCCTGCCCCCGATGACTACGGACGCAACGTCTTCGTGGACAAATGCACATTGACCGTTCACACTGGTTCAGGAGGCAATGGATGTGTCTCTTTCCTGCGTGATGTCCATATCTCCGACGGTCCCCCAAACGGCGGCGACGGTGGCTCGGGGGGAAACGTCTGGATCCAGGCAGTTGCGGGACAGACGAGTCTGCACAAACTGGCGCGAAGGGGAGTGGTCAAAGCCGGGCGTGGGATAGGCGGAAAGGGCAAGAGCCAAGGTGGCCGAAAAGGTGAGGATATTTGTGTCCAGGTGCCTGTGGGGACGGTCGTTAGGGAAATCTGGCGCAGCGATCCTGTCGCGGAGGAGGAGGCGAAATTGAAAGAACTCGCCGGCATGAGCGAGGAAAATCCATATTCTCTTCCTGACCATGGACTACGCGACAAGTGGATTCTATATGCAGGGGTCACTCGCAAAGAAGCCACTGATGTTGTTGCCAACCTGCCACCGCCGTTGAAACCAAGGAAGAGTCACCTGGCAGTCCTTCAGCCTCCGGCTCCCATTAATCTCGACCTGGACCAACCGATGGAGAAGCCCATTCTTTTAGCAGCCGGGGCCATGGGAGGTCTGGGGAACCCGCACTTTGCCACCAAAAACGAGCCCAAACCGAAATATGCAACCAAGGGTGAACTGGGAGTACGGATTAAGTTCCAGCTCGAACTTAAACTTCTCGCCGACGTGGGCCTTGTCGGACTACCCAACGCCGGCAAAAGCACGCTCACTCGGGCCATCAGCAATTCGCGCACGAGAATTGGAGACTGGGCATTCACGACCCTGGCACCAACAATCGGCACTGTCATCCTCGACAATAATGAAGGCAGACCCCTGGTCCGCTCTGGCGTCGAAGGGGAACCTCCCCGCATGAGTTTCACAGTCGCAGACATTCCGGGACTGATTGAAGATGCGCACCTCGACAAAGGGCTCGGGCTGGCTTTCCTTCGCCACGTCGAGCGCGCGCGGATCCTCGCGTTCGTGGTCGATCTCAGTGCCGGCGACGCTGTGCTCGCGCTCAAGAACCTCTGGAAAGAGGTAGGCGAGTACGAGAACATCCGCAACAAAGAGTTAAACGAAGAGACCGAGACCAGGGACATGGAATGGACTCCTTTCGGAGCGCTCTCATCGTCATCCGGCGGATCTCAGCGGAGCACCCAGCCGTTGTACGACGATTCAGGGGAGGAGATCGCTATCTTCCCGCCTCCTTCTCCAGACACGCCCTTAGAGCCTCTCAAGCTGCCACCCATCAGTGCGAAGCCGTGGTTCGTGATTGCCACTAAAGCAGACAAGGACGCGGCCGTCACCCAGGCCGAATTCAAGAAGCTGGCGGAATACATGCGGCAGGTTGAGACCGGTGAAGTCGCGCATCCTAGCGGCAACCGCAATGGCTGGAGACACCGAATGGTGGCAATTCCCGTGTCGGCAATCCACGGCCAGGGTATCGACAAGGTGATCAGATTCACCGCAGGCGTCTTGGACAGTCTGGTCGTGAGCCGGTAGATGGATGGGGTGTCGCTGGATGGATGGGCTGCCGGTAGATGGCTGGGCTGTCGCTGGACCTTGACCCTTGACCCTTGACCCTGGTAGAGGCTGAGGCTGGAGCTGGATACGAGGAAGGTTATACCTACACTACACCCACGCCTAGCTGCACACGCGTCAAGGCATTTACTAATCTAGAGCTGTTCGAGCATTGCTCGCTGTACAACATATGTGTGAATTGATAATATTGCTCTGTCCAGCTCTGTCCAGCTCTTTTCTCACATCAAATGCCTCAGTAGTACTGTACTACAAGAGCCGCGCAGGAGCAGTACTACTGCCTAGGTAGAGAACACCGTCTCAATTTACACTAGAAGGAATTCTCCTGCTCGCCAACTCGTCGTAGGCCGGGCCGTCGTACCTACTACTCCTGCAGGACGGAAGGACTTGGAAGAACGATGCGCGTTGAGCTAACCTCAGGAATCCCTGGAGGTGCCTGGCAGGCCGCGCTGTTGGTACTACTAACTGGTATCATAATCATACACGCTCGATGGTGTCTCTTTCCCTCCCTCCCGCGCCAGAAACACTCGAGCGACTTAGAACCACACTGGCAGCATACCACATTCCCGTGCCACGTCCGACGCCATGCTATGCAACCATTACACCGATTTCCCACCAAGACCGATTTCTCGCAGTCATGTCATCTAGCGACCGGGAGCGGTGTCCTGTTTCGCCAGTCGATAACGCACCGCTTCTCTGACAACGTCCGAATTCCACACACCATCCGTACCCCCCTTGGCAAACTCCATACCAGAGAAGTCACCTTTCTCGGCCTCGCCGAGGATCACACTGAGATCTTTCTTCTGCGAAGCGAGCCATTTCTTGCAGAATCCCACGGGGTCCTTGGCCATACCGCTGAAAAAGTCGTGGCGAGCCTTGGAGTGGTGGATTGCTTGAACCAGAACGGCAAGTTGGTCATCGAGGTCGGCGATCTGGCGGAGTTGTGCTTGGTGTTGTGGGTTCTGGGTCATCTTGAGGTAGAGAGCGCGGACAGGGTCTTCGACGGTGACATCGACATCATAGATGGTCGGTTCAGGGTTGTCGTGGAATTCTTTGTCGAGGCGGATGGTGAATGGAAGTCGGACGGGGTCGAGGGGAAGGAGATGCGGGAGGATGCGTTCGGGGATCTGGGGAAAGAAAATGGTGTCGACGCCAAAAAGCTCACGGAGGTTGTCGTCACAGCGAATGGTTCGTCGCTCGTCATCTTCCTGTAGTCCGAAGTGTTTGACATAGTCCCACAGACACATGACGACTTCGGCGCGATCGGCTTCAGTCATGTCCAAGGTGTCGGCGAGGGCGGGGCTCAATTTGAATCTCTCTGGTTGCTCATCGCGAGTGAGACAAATGGTGATGTTCATGTTCTCATCGGCTTTGCGTTGGAATGAGAAATAATCAACGTCCTGTTCAGGGGTCTGGTTCGGGGGTTTCTTCCACGAAATGTTGTAGTTCGGATCGCCCATGAACGCATCTTCAAACTCGACTCTCAGAGCTTTGAAGAAGAAACTGAAAGGCCTCGAGGGAGGTAGAGGTTCCTTGGATTTCTTCGGCTCGCCTTCCTTCTCCTTGCCATTGCCGTCGCCATCTTCATCTTCGTCTTCGTCCTCTGAGTCACTGTCGGGCCATTCAAGCAGTCTTCCTTGGATCTTGACTCGGTATTTGGGTTCGCCCAGTGAATCGAAAGTGATGCTCTCCTCATCATTATGGTTCATTTGCCAGGGCTGTTCGGAACAGGTGTTGGAGATCCAGATGCGCATAGTCTTTTCTCTCTTTCGGTGTCGGCTCATGGTATCCTGAATCTCCAATTTCTTGCGCATCATGGTCGCATCCAGACGCTTTTCCAGCTCACGTAGTTTATTGTACTGCTGTACGCCGTCGCCAATGACAAGGTCCTCAATGCCTTCGGGAAGGGTTCGATCGGTAGGTTTTCGCGCCCGTCGCTGGGCCGCTTGGTGCTCCATGGCGGCGTTGCGTTGCTGGAGTTGTTGGTTCGCCAGCTGCTGGATATGCTGCTGTTGAGCGTGATGGGCAGGAGGGGCCTGGCCTGGTTCCACTTGTAAGTTCCTCTCTCGTCTCAAGATTTGTTCAATGCAAGCGGAGAAGGGTGCGGTTTGACCTGTGTCCACCAGACGACGGAGGTCGAGGTCAAGCTTCAGTGGGATACGGTCCGCGGACAAATTTTTCCAAAACTCCTCTGTCTGGACACTTGGGTCTGCAATGCTTATGCTTGTGCCTGGGGCAGGACTGGTGCTCGGGTCGCACTCACCTGGCCGACGGGGTGCCGGGGCTCTTGCTTGGGGCTGCGCATATTGACGGTAGCTTTGCATTTGTGGGTTCATTGTGCTGTCAGCTTGGCGGCGCCGCGCATCTGGGTACCTTATGCTCGGCAGGTTTGCACGGGTGAATACGTGGACTCTCGGCGACGGGAAGTTTGCCACAGCCTCAACCTCATTGAACGGTGGTGATGTGAACACGATAGATACGACGAACACTGGCAGCGAGAATATCGCGACGCGAGCCTACAGACTACGGCGGCCACGCTAGTCCTGTTAGAGCTGGTGTCTTGGCGAGTAGGTGCCAGATCCAGATAGCCATCCCGCCGCTATAACAGGACCGGAGACTAGTGGACGCAGTTACAGCATCACGACATCAGACATCAGAAACCAGGCACCTCGGGCCTGTCTCTGTCTCTGTCGCTGTCTCTGTCGGTCTATCTATCGCTGTGTCGTATCTACTGTTTGCATTGTTCCTTTGAGCCCAGATTCTATTACTGTGAGTGCTTGTCTGTGAGCCTGAGCCGCGCTCCCCTCCCTGCCTCTTTACCGCTTCAAGGCCCGAGGCCGGAGCTCACCGTCTGTCTCTGTCTCTGTCTCCGTCCCGTCTTCGGCGTCAAAGCAGGCCTCTGGCTGCCACCTCTCTTGACCCAGAACGATGGGCAAACCAAGGTTGATTATCATTTGCCGTCATGCGCAGTCCGAGGGCAATCGGGATAAGACCATCCACCAGACTACTCCCGACCACAAAGTTGGTCTGACCCCCGAAGGGCATCGACAAGCTCAGGAAGCCGGGCAGAAGCTTCGTGAACTTCTCCGCAATGACGACACTTTGCACTTCTTTATATCGCCCTACCGAAGAACGCGGGAGACAACAGAGGGTATCCTCAGCGGATTGACCTCCAACGATCCCGTGCCGTCAGCTTTCCAAAGATCCCATATGAAAGTGTACGAGGAACCGAGGTTGCGGGAGCAGGATTTCGGCAATTTCCAACCTGGCACTGATGAAGTCGAGAGGCTCTGGAGAGAGCGAGCCGACTATGGCCATTTTTTCTACCGCATCCCCAACGGCGAGAGTGGAGCGGATGTGTACGACCGTGTGTCGTCGTTCAATGGCTCTCTTTGGCGACGGTTTTCTGAAGACGACATGGCCAGTGTGGCAATCCTTGTCACGCATGGTCTCTGCAGCCGGATTTTCTTGATGGTTTGGTATCACTATAGCGTGGAGTTCTTCGAAGATCTACGGAATATCAACCACTGCGAGTTTCTGGTCATGAAACTGGCTCCCAATGGGAGATATGTGCTTCAAAACCAACTACGGCGCTGGTCCGACCTCAGGAGGGAACGGGCGGCGGCGAGAAAAAGCATATCGTCACCTTCAACCATCGAACACATCCCTGTCAGGCGGTGGGCATCTACCAGGACGGCCAATGACCCGAGTGGTGCTAGCTATTTGCCGCGGCCGGCAAGGAAGAGCACGGCGGAGATGTTTCGCGATGAACCGCAGGTACAAGACGAGTCGTCGGAAAAGCCAGCTGAGAGCCCATCACCCAAACAGAGACGAACAAGCAGTTCAGCAAACAGAGATGCAAGTCGATCTCGAGCTCGATCGTCAAGCAATCTGCGGAACTCGTTCAGCAGCTTGTCCTTGGATACAGGAAAGAAAACCGTGTTGACCGGCGTCAAGTCATACCTTGGACGAGACGGTGGAGGCACCAGATCCGGCCACGGTTCACCCTTTGGATCAGATGATGAGGCAAGTCCTCAAATGACACCGCAGGAATCCATACCGGAGGCGATTGATCCACATGGACCGAAGTTCTCCTCTTCATTGGCGCGGGCGTTGAGGGGAGAGCTCGATGATAGCAACCGAATCATGGCGGATGCGCTGGGCGACCAGAGTGATGCCAGTGTGGACGAGGCCGACTTGGAGGTTGGGACCAAGGCACGGGAGGAGGCGGAGATGGAAATGATATTGGCCGAGGAGAGGAGGGAACGCACTCATGGAGGGAGTGTTTACTAGACAGAGAGGCGATGTAGGGCTGTTGATTACGGCATAGAATACAGAGTATGAGGTAGAACTAGGAGTGACGGTCACATACTGATCTTAACCATGCTACTCGACCTGATGATCTTGGATAGCCATGAAGACCATGTCTATACATGTCTATACATGTCTATATGGCGACTGTAAGGCTGAGTGACATGGTGCGCGGCACGTGACACGCAGTTCGTGGGATGTTTTGTAGAGACACGCACAACCCCTTCAAGATGAACATCTCGTCCTGTCGAGCCAGAACCAACAAAATGATGATATAAGCTGAAATTCAACGCACAGTTTCCGTCTTGGATGTAACTGATGCTCTATCAGTATCAGAAGAGTCGTCAAGATGGCCGATCCGCTGTATGACCTTCTGAAACCGCATCTTTCGACGGTGACGGCCACCACTACCACCACTACCACCACCACCACTACTACCACCACGACAACATCCCCCTCACAAGAAGTGTCCAGATATCTCTCTCGGCTGGCATCGCTCCGCCTCGATGACCTGACGACGAGCGAACCGCAGTCTCTCGCGCAAGCCAGCCAGTCCAGCCTGGTGTTGATCCAGGCATTGAGTGCGCGCTCCCACCGCACGACGACCATTTCATCCGACCATCTTTCCACACTCCGCACCTCTCTTCCACAACTGTCGTCCTCGGTGGAAGCGATCCGGCAATCCATTCCGGCCTTGGACGCGACAGCGGTGGCCTTTGCCTCGTCATACAACAGATCCAAGGACGAAGCCAGCCCCGGAAATGCGCTTCTCAATACGAGACGCGAGTCTGCCCTCCTCGCCCGGCAAGCAGACAAGGTACAGGACCTTCTCGAGCTTCCGTCCCTATTGTCGGCAGCCATTGCCTCTGCCGGCGGCAGTACGAGTACGAGTACTACGAGCGGTGCAGGCACTTCAGTGGCGTCGGGGGCGAACTATACCCAGGCGCTGGACCTCTTCGCGCACATCAAGCGGCTTCAGATCCTCTATCCGGACTCTCAACTGGTCAGGTCGGTGCTCGTGGACGCAGAGGCCGCCATGAAGGACATGACGGCGAATCTGATTGCCGGTCTTCGCGGCCAGAACATCCGCCTCGCTGCCGCCATTCGCATGATCGGCTGGTTACGGAGAGTGGCGCCGGAGCTGGGAGCACCCACAGCCATAGCCACAGCTACAAGCAGTTCTACGCAGTCGACTCCGGCTGGCCGGCGATCAAAACTCGCAGGTGCAAGTCTGTCTACGGCCACAACGAGCCCGTCTCCAAACGAGGGCCATTTTGGGGCACTGTTCCTGTGTGCCAGGCTGTCGACTTTTCTGTACATGACGGAGGCGCTCTCGCCGCTGCGCGATCTAGCCGACCAAGAAACGCAAATGCGGAAGTCAAACTCGATCGGCCCAAACAACAGAGCCAAGTCGGGGCCTTCGTCATTCTCGTCTTCCTCGTCTCGCCCCGAACCAACCCGCAAATCCTCCACGAGTGGGACCGGGAGCGGGACCGGCAATGGCCCTCTGCAGGGCCAGCACACGGAGCGTTATCTGAAACGCTACATCGAGATCTTTCGCGAACAGTCCTTCGCCACCATCAGCATGTACCGTAACATCTTTCCCGCGGAGGAATCGGAATTGGAAACAGAAACGGAGGCCGCTCCTGGCTCGGAGTCCCAAGCGCAGTCCCCGCTATCGTCGCTTTCCCTGTCACTCTCGCTCCCACCGGCCCTCCAATCGTTCCCGCTACACTTGGTCGAGGTGTTCATGTCGACGCTGAAGCAGTACCTCCCTAACGTGAGGGACCCTGCCGCGCGGGAAAGTCTGCTGATGCAAGTGCTCTACGCGGCCAACAGTCTAGGCCGACTGGGAGCGGATTTCAGCCTGATGATAGCCCTGCTTGAGGAGGATGATGAGGACGAAGAAGTCGTTAAGGGGGATGTTGGCGATGCTGGCCACGTCACGACATCAGAAATAACTACAGCTACATCAAAAGCAACAGCAACAGCAACAGCAACAGCAACAACAGAAGCTGAAGAAGACCACGGCGACGGTGACGACGAAGAAGAGGGTGAAGCTGAAGCCGCAGCGACAGTCAAGCCTGAGACTGAGACTGAAACTGAAACTGAAACTGAAACTGAAACCGAAACTGAAACTGAGCCCGAATGGATCTCGGTCATCAAGAAACACCGCGTCCAGGCCGCCCGACTCGAGGCGCTGGCGGCCGGCCAGGACCGACTTGTGCAACGGCGCGAGTCGACGGACATTGCTGTACGGTAGCATGTGCGTAGTGGAGATACGACGGAAGTGCAAACATCTTATGGCAGGTGAACAGGAACAGGAACAGAAAGACCGTAAAAGTCATTTCATATCATCAGGTTGTTTCATGCCGCTCCGTCGCTCCGCTCTGTTCCGTCAATACATCGCTAGCTACCTAGCTAGGCATTACCGGTAATCGGGTGATTTTGAAGATGTAAAATGTAAAACAAAAACACTCCAGAGTGACCTGGATTCACACTGATGCCATGTATGCTATGCATCGATCGCGATTCTCGAACGCCAACGCCATGCATTTCAAACTTGCAAGAGCTCGACCAATAACAACACGAATCTCGCGGACGAGATAGGAGAAACCACTCATCCTTCATCCCTCGACAAAGGAGAAAAAATCGGAATCTTCTGGCCGCAGGAATTGCGCTCGCCGTCATAGCCGTAGCCATGGCGTTACCTGCATAGGAGAGGTTTCAGAATCCCAGCTTGTGCTTCTTGATCCGAGGAATGACTCCAATCAAGACCAAAACACTGGCCACGACCACGGCCCACAGCTTGATGTGCAGGACGTTGACGTTGAATGGTGTGGTGGTGGCTACTGCGACCACAGCCAGCAAATAGACCAGCAGTGTGTAACCGGCAACCCTGGATGGCTGTCAGTCAATGAAAATGCAATTGAGATACGAATATATGAGCGGATGATGCTTTGGATACATAAGGGATGACGCTTTGGATACATAAGCGGATGATGCTTTGGCATAGCTACCTACCTGTGGTACTTGTACAGCGATTTCGCGCGGTCCTCGGTGCCGTAGACCAGTTTGGGCACGAAAAAGGACGTGGAGCCGACCAGCCATTGAAGGAAGATGAGAATGTAGGCCACCAATCCCAGCTTGCCGTGGACGCTTTGGAAACGAGTCTTTGGATGCGACGCTTTGTTGATTTCGATGATCACCAGACCGGCGATAAGTGCTGTGAATGCTGTCAGAAGAGAAGGGCGCTTGAAATTCAAATGTTCCTCGATCGAGAGGGTCGTCAGTCACGTACCAGCCACGGCAAGGCCGTTGAAGATTGCATGTGCATATGTCCCGTTGACTTTGTCTTTTTGCGTGGCGGTGGGCTGCAGGACCAGCACGCTCTGGACGAGCAGGAGGATGGCCAACGAGTTCAACAGTGGGTGGTAGGAGAACAAGATGATGTCGGCTTGGAACACGGCTGCCCACACCAGAGCCGTGAGGATGACTATACCTGCCTGGGCGAGGACGGCTGTGTAATGTCAGCCGTGGTGGGATCAGACAGTAAGCGAAAAGAGGGGAGCGGTGAGATCGGACAGTACGCGGAGAGGGAAGTCTAGCGTACCGGTCCCTGTTATGAAGTTGAACTGGAGTCCCTGACCGGGCCGTTGGGTGACGTCTCCAGGACGGCCCAAGAGAGGCTCTTCCTCCTCCAAGGCTGGATTCTGCTCGGGCACGCCTGTTGCGGATGCCATGGTGAAGATGCGGGGGGTGATTGTGATGGTGATGGTTTTGAAGCCACGTCAAAGGCGAAAAGGGAGAGGGAGTCGGAGTCGGACGAAGACAGAAAGCACTTCTGGAGACGGTCCAGGACTCCTCACCATATAGCTTGAGTGAGTACTTCCACTGCCGATATGATCATTTCAGGCCCCGGTTGCATGATTCATTTTTGCGGAGGAGATGAGGCCGCTAGACATGGATGGGGAGGAGGAAGAGGCACCTAGAGAGGGATGCGCTGACAATCTTCCCCTGCGGATTGGATGGAAATGCAGAGCGGCATAGCTAGGTAGAGAGCAGTGCATGACGCCATCAGGCCTGCCAACGTCGAGATCTCAGTTTCAACTGCTTTGAATAGCCAACATCGAGTTGCTCCCACTCCCACATCCTCATGCTCAATATTGATATTGGACAGCAGCGAGTGGCTCGTTCTGCTCTCCCGCTGCCGTCCAGAAAACACACGATGCCAGGAGGTTAAGCGCCGTCCAGCCACCTCCCCTCCTCCTCCAAAGCAATATTTGGCCCGCCCTGAGAGGACAGGCCACCATTGCACTACTACTAAAGCCTCCACGAATCGAGAAAAGCGTCCTGTCTCAGTCTCCAGTATCCACGAGGGCCGAGGGCCGCTGCGAGAGCACGCACGGAGTCTGGCAATCCCGACGATGGTGCACTGGGTCAAGAGCCCGATCCGATGCTCGTGACTGCCTACCAAGGTACAAGATATTGATAGAACAAGAGGAGACTGCCAACCAAGGCACAAGATGTGGATAGAATAAGACGAGACTGCCAACCAAGGAACAAGATATTGATAGAATAAGAGGAGACGGGACATGACCATGGTACCAGTATTTGGGATGATGCTGAGGGAATATTGATCGTCGATCTGGTCGAAACAACAGCCGAAGTGTGGCAAGCATCCCAGCGACAGCGACAGCGACAGTTACCGCTTGGATGAACCACACCAGCACAGCACCTGCCCAAAGATGTGAGTATGTACCTGGTGTCTGTACCTAGATTACAAATATAGACGTCCACCTCCTCATATAGAACCACTCGGCCAACCGCGTGCGAACATCAATCGGCATCCTGGCCAGCTTGCTAAGATATCTCCCGTGCGAACATCAATCCCAGTCTGGCCAGCTTGCCTTAATATCTCTCGGGAGGCTCGATCCCAGTCTGAGCCTGAGGAACCGACATCGACATCGACATCGACATCGACATCGACATCTGCTCGAATCATCCATCAGATCTAACTTTTCACAGCGTAGTAATAGATGTACATGATCGCCTACACTGTTGTGCAGCGTAACAGACTTCCATCCCATTGACCTTGACATTGACCCTGAAAATGACGAAGCTCTCCCAGCCCTCCCAGCCAGGCCAACGATTTAAATTCAAAAGCGGCTCCATTTACTTCGACTTCGGATGCGCTCGCCGTAGTAGAAGAAGAAGAAGGGCACCGGGATCAAAGCGACGGCGAAGAAGGCAAAGATACTCGTGCCCCAGGGGATGCCGACGTTGTGGTACAGCGGCGTAATGACGAGGGGGAAGGCGGCGGCGAAACAGGATCGAAGAAAGGCTGCGAACAAAACAACCCGGTCAGTCTTTTGCACTTGACAGACCATACTCGTAGCGAGAGGGAGAGGGTGAGAGGGAGAGGGTGAGAGGTGAGAGGTGAGAGGGTAGAGGTGAGAGCGAGGGTTGATGTGCGTCATGTCATGCAGTGGTGGTTGTCAAATGCAAAGGGCGACAACAACAACAACAACAACAACAACAACCACCCAAACTTCAACTTACTGTTGGCCGCGACAGCACTCGCCGCGTATCTTTGAAACGTGTCGACGAGATAGTTGAGGGCGGCCTGGAAAATCGTGAAGAATCCCACGCCCCCCATGGCCAGACCGATCACGGGAGCTATCCATGGGTATTTGGGATCGGCGGTCCATCCGGTAATGAACAGGCCTGTTGCTGCATGTCAGTGTGTTGTCACCGGGTCCAAAAGCTCTCGCCCTCGCCCTCGCCCTCGCCTTAGGGTTAGGGTTAGGGTTAGGGTTATGTTCGCCGACGGACTCGACAAGAGTCAAGACTCACCTCCACTGAATAAAACCGAGCCGAGCATCATCGGAGGAAGACGCAACTCGGGAGCGACCTTGCCACCGGCTTTTCGGTTATATATCAGCTGGTTATACACGTTGATCGCAGCCCCGATGATGGTGCCGACCAGGATGGCCAGAAATGGCAGCTCCGACGGGAGGAGTTTCCAGTGGCGGTGTTCAGCAAAGATGATTGGGATCGCCCCTGTGATAAGGTCGGTCATAAGCGGGCCAGACAGAGAGGAAGAGAAGGAGGAAGCGCCGGACAGAGAGAAAGAAAAAGAGGAAGCGCCAGACAGAGAGGAGGAGAAGGAGGAAAAGAATGCTCATGCTCTTACCAAGCTGCATGTACAGGATACCGTAGCAGAAGCTGGCATACAACGCCACCAGAGCGCAGATCGGGGTCGTGAGGAGCTGGAAGGGCCGGACCAGAAACTATAGATGGAAGATGACGCCGTCAGCACCGACACCAGCACCAGCACCGACACAGGGCTATCTTGGGTTGGAAGAGCTATCACCTTTCTGGCCAACTCGGCGATCGACACATCCCACTCCTCGAATTTGGCGTGGAGGGCCCAATTACCGCTCTGATGCCGCAGGCGGCGGGCCTTGTAAACCAGCAGGCGCGGCGGATACGACTCGTCTAGAAAGATGATGTCCAACACCAAGACAAACAGCTGGATGATGCCCGTCAGGTACTGGGTCCATCGCCAACGAAGGTCAGGCTGGACGACCAGAGCCGCCGAGACGATGGGACCCAGAGCAGGCCCTATCACGACGGCCATGGCATATGAAGCGATGGCGATGCCTCGCTGTGACGACGGGAACAGGTCGGCCAGCACGCCGCCGGTGTTGGTGACTGGGGCCGAGGCAAAAAACCTGTCAGGAGGGACGACACGGTCAGCCCAAGATTAGATCAAGAGGGAGAGGGAGATCAAGATCAAGAGGGAGAGGGAGAGGGAGAAGGAGCCATGCTCGTCTCAACTCGGCTCGACGTCGACGCACCCGGAGAAGAACCTGAGGATCATGATGCCCTGGATGTCTTTGCTTGCGCCGGTAGAAAAGGCAAAACAAGCCGCCACAAACATGGGCGGCAGCACGGCATTCTGGTGCGCGACACCAACGTTGGTCAGCCCTTGGCCTCGACTCGCATGTGCGGCTAAAGGGGTGAAGCTCTCATTCTCACCTTGCGGCCATAGACTTCGGACAGCGGAGCCCATAGCAGCGGGCCCAGGCCAAAGCCCATCAAGAACAAACTCGTGCCCAGGGTCGAGACCTCGTTGCCCACATGGTACTGATGGGCGACTTGCCGAGTGCCGGGGCTGTAGGCACTGGACCCCCAGGTGGCGCTCATGGTGGTGAAGCCGTACAAGGCCGTGGTCATGACCTTTTTCTTCATGGCCCAATTCAGCGGCCGGTAGGGGTCGGCCGGCCCGTCAAAGTCGACCAGGTCTTCGACCGTCGTTCGCTGGTGCGCCAGCGGATGGGTGAACGGACCGATGGGCTGTCGCGTCCGGATGCGAGAGAGGATGGTCTCGCGCCGCGATATCGTGCGCGAGAGACTGATTGACCGGCCCGTCGTGAAGGATGAGCTGGATCGCGGCGTCGTCCCTCGACGCGGTTTCTCTCCTGGCGCTGCCCCTGCCGGCTCCCCGTCCTCGTCGGGCGGCGTGATGTTGTCGCCATACTCGGGATTGGTCGTCTGCTGCGTCAGGTCGGCCGACGTCGACATGGACCTGGACGTCGACCTGGTGGACTCGAGCGGCGACGACATTGTCATTGTCGTGGTGCCCGCGTCATGGCGCCCCTGCGTGTCTGCCATCGATGGTAGAGCTCGTTGTTTCGTGGCAGGCGCCCTAAATAAACCAGCTCTCGGATGTCATGTGTCGTGACTCGTCGCCACGAGAGTCCGTGCACATCCGGTCCGGCGTGGATTTGTTTGGATTCTAATAATTAACTCTGCAATTTTAATCTGAGGCCAAAGCTGATCGGTTCTCGGCCTGGGACCTCGGCTCCGGTTTAGGAGGCTCTCAGGCTGTGCAGAGATATGTACAGTAGTAAGCATGTACGAGTACAGTACTGTAGTCTGTCCAAGCTTCCCATCAAGCTTTTTGGCGCCTATGTACTACTGTACGCCTGCCCGCTATCGGCTCTAAGGCTCCGGCTTCGGGTCGCCGGCTGGGGGCCCTCAGGCTCCCAAGGCGGCTCCGGGCCTTAGCCCACGATTTGTTCGCATAGTACGGAGTAGTCCGTAGTCAATGACAGTATTGGCTGGCCTAAGATACTGCAGGACCTACGTAGATGCCGGGGGTGCCGGTGCCCGTCGACTTTGGGGCCGGCTAAGGCTTGTCAGCAGGCCGGGGCCGGGGCCGATCCCGGGCACAGGGTCCAGCGCATATGGCACACACAGCAGGGGAAGATCTAGTACAGTGTTTAGAGATCACTATCTACATACATACTGTAATCATGACATAGACAAGGCTCCGCTCCCCGGAGGTACAGTACAGTACAGTACAGTACAGTGAATCAATCTGTCATCCTCCGGCCATTCAGAACGAATGGATCCTGGAATCCTTGGTCCAGCGCCGGAACGTCTTGCCGTAGAACATCAGCACCAGCATGCCTATCAGCGTGAATCCCACCGTCATGGACATGAGCAGCATGAACGGTCCTGTGAAGCCGGACTGCGCCGCCCAGTCGTTGATGTAGTAGGTCATTCCAAACTGGGAGGAGGAAAGGGTGTTAGTTACACATCTCAGACAGGACGGGGGGCTCAGGCCCGATGGTCAGGGGGGAAGCGTGGCTTGTGGTTTGTGAATTGTGTACATCTTGTATGCTGGGAATGATTGTTCATTGCGGATAGCACCCAACCCGGCGAGAGGCTGGGAGCCAGACTTACCCCGAACGTGTTCTTCGCCACGGTCGCCGTGACCATGATCTGTCCCGAAATCGGCTTGTAGCAGTCGATGGCATACTTTTTCGAGGAAGAACCCCCAGATGTCAGCCCGTACGATTTCGAGAGAGGGAGTGCCCCATGTTTACTTACAGTGATGCTGATGGTCGGAATGCTCACGGTGACCACGCCCGCCAGGGTGAAGCCGACGATGATGATGGGTTTCCAGGACCATTGCTGATCCCAGCCGACGCCGATGATCTGGGAGACGGTAGTAGTCAGCACAAGTAGATTTTCCGCCTTCTTTTCTGGGTCTCTTGAGTTTGATGGCTCCCAGGTTCCCTTCCCAGGCCCAACTGAGTAGTCGTGAATGCAGCACGCTTCCAAGAGTCAAACTCACCACCATGCCCACCACGGACGCCATGATGAAGGGGATCAAAGCAGGCAACCGCTGCTCGGGTTCTCGAATCCCTCCGTTTCTCCTGGTGGCTCGCATCGCCACCCAGTCGGAAAAGGGGCCGGCGGTAGCGAGGCCGATGACCGCGCCTGCTGCCAGCGCAAAGTTGGCGAAACCCACATTCGCCGGGCTGAAGTTATACGGCGGCGCAGCCAGGGCCTGTGACTGAGTGAGGTTGACGCAGAGCAAGGCGTTGGCGGCGGCGCCCATGCTCATGGCAGCCCAGAAGACGATGGGGAAGAAGAAGATTTGCACAGGGGTGAGGACATGGAGCAGTAGCGCGCCGGCACGCACAGCTTTCGGGTCAATCGGCTGCACGATGTTGAACTGCGACCGGCTGGGCCTGCCACGGCCGAGGTGCTCGTCGACAACGATGGCGCTGGAGATCGCCTGCTGCTCGACCTGGCACATGTCGCCGGCAGTCTTATCTTCGTCGATCGATTGCTGATACTGCAGCCCCCCTGGTTGTTCTGCGCTTGTACCGGTAGTAGATGGGGCCCGTCGAGTCTCGGGGTTGAGGAAGACAAGGCCGATTATGTTCACCACCTGGGCCATGGTACAGGCCCAGAAGAACCATCTCCAACTGGCGTGGGAGGCGACGTTGCCTGAGATGATGGGCCCAAGCATGAGGCCGACAAAGTAGAACCAGCTATGGAAAAGTCCCGAATGTCAGTGTCCGTGTCAATGACAGATGTTTGTCGCGGTCGGACACTGAAAAGCCAAACACAACTCAAGAAGAGACGGCTGAGACGACTTACAAGTAGAGCCCGACATATCGCCCTCGTTGATGCAAGAAATACATATCCGCCACCACGGTCGCCATGATAGATTCATTTGCAGCTAAGAGCAGTCCTGTCAGCGCAACAATTCAGTGAGACTGGCTTCTGTCGGTTGACCAACCTGGACCAAGGCCGGTCAGGACGCGGGCACCGAGGAACGAGCCGTACGACTTGGCCAGTGCCTGCCAGATATCGCTGGCCAGAGCAATCAAGGCGCAGACGAGCAGTGTGGGCCGTCGGCCAAAGATGTCTGAGCAGGGGATGATGACCAAGTTTGCGTATCCGAGAGAAATGACGGTGACGCCGGTCTAAATCGACAGGAAAGAGTCAGTTCAGCACGGTAAAGCTGGAGCATCCCGGTCTTCTGGGCTTGTCTCAATCTCACTGACCAGGAACGCCACCTCGGTGAGGCTCTTGCCCCATTTCGCCACGTAGATGGGTGTGAGAGGCGCGATGGACAGCGCAGGGATAATGCTCGAGAGCACAAACAGGCCTTGATTGGCGAGGACGAGGGTTTTCCAGGATTTAGACCAGTTCTGACGCCATTGTTAGCGGGCCTCTGTTGGGCAGGACATTCCAAGGAGCCATTGTATCTACGGCACGGAGACTCAGACTCACCAACGGATCATGAGGGCTCGCAGTGGGTTGAGGGACGAGAACCGTGGCCGTGGGCTTGTTGTGCGCGTGAACCAGGTGAATCCCTGCCACCTCGGCCATGAGCTCGGTACCGGGAAGCATTTCGACATGGGTCTCGGCCTCGGCCACATGTCGGACTTCTTCGAGGCTGTGAGTGTTGGTGTCGGCCATTTTGATGTCGGTTGGTTGTCGACCGGGAGGCAAGGTCAGAGATGCGGCCTTCAAATGTTGGGGAAATTGGGATCGATCAGGAGACAGGTGATTCCAAGCATTCGAAAACGCGCGGATGGCGAGATAGATGTAGGACAAACGGGACTGTCGCCGTGTGTCTTGGTCGCGACATGTTGGCCACTGGCTACTGCGTCGCCCGGGGCGCAGCAGACATCCCCCACATCTCCTCCATATGGAGGTCTGGGGCGGATCGATCTTAGTCTTGGATCCCCGTATTTGTGTGCGGGATGGGTAGGGATCTGGCATGGTGACAAGTCAATGTGTCCCACATTGGGCTGGTTCAGTTGCACAATACGTCCCAACCCCCTGACTAAGAAAACGGGACCTTTTCTTTTGCAGAGGGGTCCCTCTTCAGTGTCTCGTCTTTCGCGGGTCGTGTCCAGAATTCGGACGGGCCGTTAGGAGTAATGGCGCTTTGTTGTGCTAATACCTCGTATAAGAGGAAAGATGTTTCCAGGTCCAACACTAAAGGAAAATCTTTCAGGGCTGGTACCGTGATGTGAGTGCTGTTCAATCAGCTTCGTTGTGTAACAAAGCTCCAAGAATGGCTGCAAACCTGCGGGCGATCTCCCAATGGCCAATTCGCCTCAAAAGATCTGTAAGTCCGCAAAGGGTTGCATTGACCTCGGTCGTCGTGGGTCTGCCATGTTTGTACCCGTTGGCCTGGAATAGCAACAAGCTGGGATTGACACCGAGGAGCTTGAACTCCGGGAAATCGAGGCTCTCCGAGGCTATAGCTCTTTGCGCCTCCCTACCCTCGCCAAAGCGAGTGTAGCAGAACCATGCAATGCCGGCTCTGAACATAGCTCGCGGAACGTGGATTGCTGGTTCGAACCCTAGGGGCAGAGTCTCCAGCTTTTTCTGGACCATTATTCCATGGAGCACGCACCGCTTGGCTTGGTCCGAGCCGGCCCAGCTTGTGACGGCCAGTTCGTCCTCAGCCGAGAGGTGAGAGCCGTCGCGGCCAATGGCTCGTTCCAACAGGTCAAAATCCGCGTACATGGACATATGGGCCGAGTGCCAGAGGATGCTCATATCCATGTGGTCCGGTTCCCAGGAAGCGGTCCCTTGTAGGAAACGTCCGTAAAACCTGGTCAGCAGAGAGGAAACTTCTTCCATGCCCGACGGCCTTGCGTGGGCATTCGTTTTATTATCCACAATGTTTACACAGATACCTTCCAGGACTGTGTAGGCAGTGAAAAAACTGTTGCTAGGAATCGCTAAGAGGTCGAAATCCGCGTGCATATCGAGGGAGGCGGGTGTTATCGCATCATTCTCGAAGTCGCTCGGGTCGTTGAGATATGACAGGCGCCATTCTTCAGGCCGCGCTGCCGTAAAAGTCTGGTTCGAGGCCGCGATGGGCAGGGGCCGGGAACTGTGGCGCAAGAACGGTTCGTGGTGGAAGTTGCTCGCAAGCTCAGCGTCATGGATGTGTACACTGAGGCCAATGCGAATGAGTTCTTCGTTTCTGGCCCATTCCCTCCACAACTGATCCAGCTCGGGGGGCGAGACATTGAGGTCGAGCCCACGCAGCTTCTTTGCTCTGAAGGCCCCTAAACGCCGTGCCCACGAAATCAAAGTGCCGTTGAAAGCGTCGACGATGGCAAGATGTTGTGGCTCGCCCGAGAGCAGACCAAAAGTCTGCCCAATAATGGCGGTCTGGACGAGGGACACCTGTTCGTCGGTGCCACGAGACATCAGCCGTTCCCAGTTTGCCAGGACCGCTTTGTGCAATCTTTCGAAGATCTGCACTCCTTGTCGGATGGCGTTAGCCGAGCCGGTGAAAAGACTGCCGACAGAGCAGATGGACAAGAGAACCATGGAATTGGCCTTGGATGGACGAAAAGTAGGTGCATGTACCAGCGGAAAGACGGGATGAAACCTGGCAAAATAAGAGCGGACGCAAAGATTGAGGAAGTCGGCGGAAGGGAGGACTTGGTCGTGTTGCGAACGGATTTGTAGGGATTGATGCAATGTTTGCCGATAACTATCGTCGACTTCGACTTGAGAGGCTGGAGGCGTGGGAGGCCCTGATCGGGGCACTTCCTCTTGCCCGTCATGGCCAGTAATGAACCAGAGGCGCTTCGTGTCAGGAACGGGCTTGATTCCCCTGGAGCCAGACGGGGCGTAGGGACTTTCAGGCCAGTCAGGCCTCAACTCGACCATACTGGTGACGAGCGGCGTATCCAGAATGTCTGCATTAAAGTCGCCATCCACCAGCCAGGACGGGAACTGGGCGTCAAACTCAAATGCTTCGATGGCCGGGTCCAAGTTGCAGGCTTCTGGGTTGGAGGCACCCTGGCCTTGGTAGATACCTTTGGAGGCGTCTTGGTACGTTGCCTCGTCGTTTGTGTAGCCCAGGGATGCGACATCCAAGGCTGAGTTTATGGTATGGTCCAAGGCTACGGTTGAGACCCGGGGAGATATCACCACAGCCTCGCCCAACATGTCATTTTGCAAGATGCCAGAACCCTCTTGCGGCTCTACACCAACGACCGACCCACCCTCTTGGTGATATTTTTGATGTCGTAGCAAGGTATCACTGTAAGAGAGATGAGCTCGCGAATGTCGTCGCATCAAGGCAAACACGGTAACTCACTGGCGGCCGTAATTGCGCCCACATATGGTGCACTTGAACGGTTTCTCTTTAGTATGAGACCGAATATGGCGTTCCAGGTGATCTGTTTTGGCGAAGGTCCGGTCACACGTCGTACATTGGCGTACTTTGCGAACCCGCCGGCTGCGGGGTGCCCCTTTGCCTTTGGGACTATGTGCTGTCGTGCTGTCGGACATTGTCCCAGGTCGAAGGAGGGTGAGATGCACAGGTCCATCAGGCGACACCCATGCATAGCACCCAAGACACACAGATGTTGTTCAAGCACATGACCTGCCGAGGGTGCCGGTCGGCAATGGACAAAGTAGATGTGGAGAAAAGAGGAGGGTGTGGTCAGTGAGCCTCAGCCCAGAAAAACTAGGGGATCCGCAGTGCTGAGCCGCGACTTAACCTGATACAGGCCAGGTTACCAATGCCATCCAAGCGTGTCCCTTTACCGGTGCAGAAGCGACGAAGAGAGCAGAGAGACTTTGAACAGAGAGCTTTCGACCTTGTCTTGCGGGGTTCAGTCGAACCGTATGTACTCGGTACTCCGTACTGTACGGAGTAGAGCTGACGGCGATCGCCTCAGGGTCCCGTGCGGCGTGAGCATCTTGCATGTGGGACATTTTGGATTTGTCCCACACAGCCTTACAGTTAGCCTTTAGGTGACACAGTTCGGTGACACTGACAGTATGTCCCGGATCCGAATGTCCCACGCCATCGGAGGGCAAACCCCCGTCCTCCCCACCTCATTTCCCCAGATCATGGGCGCGCCTGATTAGAATCAAAATACTGAAAGCCAAAGTCGATGGTGCCGTGGACGCGTCTCGGCTGAATGACATTTAAAGACTGAGCTTGCACCTCCACGACCGCGCCGGGTAAACTAGGATCCTTCGTGCCGTACATTGTCTGCCGGCAGGATGGTCCAAACTGACGCTTCCTCTGCAGAGGAAACTGGTGTGATAATATGCGGCGGAGGCCCAACAGGCGTGGTCTTGTCCGTCCTGCTTGGGCTGATGAAAGTGCCAAATGTTGTACTGGAGAGAGATAAAGACGTCACCACTGATCCACGAGGTATTGCTTTGGATGAGGATGGCATCCGTATCCTTCAGTCGATCGGGCTTTATGACCGGATATATACAGATATTGGTTCCTGTGAGTGGCCCCATCTAGTCACAGGTTGAGTCTCTCTAATCATTACACAGGCATGGAAGTGTTCAACTTCATCACTGGCAGTGAACCAGATCTGACGAGGAAACCTTTGGTCAGGATGGTGCACAGGACCACGGAGGGAGGGACCGGCCATGTTGGCTTCATTTGCCACAAGCAGCCAGCCATGGAAAAAGCCATTCGGGACCAGATCAAGAAAATCCCATATTCGGAAATCCGGACAGAGTCCACCGTGATAGGCGTAAGCGAAAAGGGAGATACCGTCCAGGTCGAGTATCTGGATGCAAAGGGTCAACATCACACATTGAAAGCCTCGTTCCTTGTTGGAGCGGACGGCAAGACAGGCTATGTCCGCAAGAAGTACCTTGAGCCAAGAGGGATCGTCATGGAAAGGTGTGAACAGTAAGTGTCCAACATGCGTCTAGGATCTGGCTTGGTGGACTGAAGATTAAACTAGGTCGATGTATGAAGAGACATGGGTGGCTTTGAATTGGAAGATTTCCCTGCCGACCGAGAAGACTCACCCGGACTTTCCCCTGTGGCGATTAGGGTACACTCCAGAACAAGTCTACGACCTGTTCTTCCCCAAAGAATTTCGATTCTTGTGCAACCCTGGCCGCCCTTCGGTCTGCGGGAGGTTTGGTCTGCCAGAAGATCGGCTGTGGCGGTTCGAGTTCGTCGTCCAAAAGGGCGAGGATGGTCATAAGATGGCCAGCCCCGACGAGACGGCCAAAATCATCTATCCTTACCTCACCCACCCTGGAAGTCGATACGGTCTGGCCCATTCCGTCAGATTTCCTGCGGACTGTATCACGACCTTGCGGTCCCGGCCATTCTCTTTCGTGGCAAGAAGCTGCAACAAGTGGGCATTGGGCAGGGTCATCCTCGCAGGTGATGCCGCTCATGTTTTCCCGCCTTTTGGTAGGTGCGACAGTCTTCATAATCAGGGTCTATGCTGACGTTCAGAAGGTGGTCAGGGTATTGCTTCGGGATTTCGAGATGCGTCAGCATTGGCATGGAGACTGGCTCTGCTCCAGCGCAATCGGACCGCGGATCATGAGAAAATCCTGACAGCCTGGTACACAGAGCGCAAGCAGCAGCTCGAGAGATCTCTGGCCGCCACGATTCGAAATGGCGAATATGTCACCGAGTCTGACCCTGTGAAAGTGTTCATCCGTGAATGGTACATGTGGGCGATCCAGCTGATTCCCAGCGTGAGGAAACAGGTCGAGCTGGGGCCCCGAGCAGCCGGGATGACGAGGTACCGGCATAGCCCAGGTCTTCCATTCCTTGAGGAAATGAGGGGTGGCTTGCTCATACCGCAGGTGTATGCGTACAACTTCAAGACCAACGGAATCTGTTTCACCGACGACCTCATATTCTCCCCGGCAAAGACTGGACTCTTCCAACTTTTGGTGTTGCCAGATAGCCCCAGCGAGGTTGATGCTCTGCTTGACCATCTTCAGGACATTGACAAGCTCTCCAATGACCTACTGCGATCCAGAGAGGCCACGGTATTGATCCAGTCAGTCGGTTGTGCTTTCGAACCCTCAACCGTACCGCCGCAGGACCTCGCTCGAATAGCCACGGGCGACGAATTTGCTGCCGACGCCGTCCTGTGTAAGAATCGACCGCCTCCAATCGGCTATGACGAACGACGACTGAAGAAAGAGGTGGGCGGTAAGAAGTATGTGATTCTGCGACCAGATCGCTTTGTGTTTGCGGCTGGTGATACCCTGGACGAACTGAGGGAGGCTGCCAGTAAGCTTGCGAGCGTGGTTCTGGGGTCCTAGCCAGCGCCTTAGGTACCCCCGGTCTGATTCTTGTGCGGCTGAATTAGCTGAATGAAGAAGAGTGCCATGGTTGAAACTCGTGATTGATGCGGCTGAGGTCGTGCACGGTTCGCGTCGTATTCTCTACACAACTCACCAGCCAGTTCACCTACGTACAGCCCACATAGTTGGCGAGATGCCTTCGGCCTTAAGAGCGTTGGCCTAGTATTGGGTCAACTTTGCATTTCTACACCTTCTTCCTAGTCTCGTCCCATGTATACACTCGATCTGCAGAAAAATCACCTGAGCGATCATTATTTCAACCTCACCTTCTACTCCAGTCCAACATGCTTCTTCTCGACCTTCCTCTCGAAATCCGTTTTCAGATATGGTCTCATGTTGTCCAGCCGACATTGGTGTACCCATGCAAATGTGCGTTCGGAGCAGAACAATGCGAATCCCCCCAGCAGGGCACTTGCTGCCGAAACATGCCGACGTACAGACACTGTGACAACCGCATTCTGCGCCTGAATCGACAGATATTCGCTGAAGTGCTCCCAACGGTCCAACAGGCTGAGGAAGCCCGAGTCTTTGTGCTCTACAACCGCGTCTGCCTAGACAATTTCTTCAAGTCACTACACGAAAGAGATTGGAGATGGGTGAGACATCTGCGTGTCGGGTTATTCGTGGGTTGGGGCGATGATGGCAAGGACGATTGGTTCCTGTGCCAGAGTCAAAGGTGGGCGATGAGACATGTGGCGGGCGCCTTGGAGAAGTACGGGCAAGGGAGGTCAGTGGTGGTTCTCCCGGCGGATGAAATCAAGGAAGATTCGGACGGGAGGAGGAGCCTGGTCGTCGACGTCTATTTGGCCTGAGTTTGCTCCTGAAGCTGGCCTGAGCCCTACATTGTCAGCAGACATACGAATGATCTCGGTGCATGCAATGGCTGGCTGGCACAGTGCAAGTTTCTCCCTGCACAGCAGATGGCGAACTCAACAGGGACAGAGCATCTGAAGGCGATCGACACCACAGGGAATCTCAATAATACCTCCACATTTGGATTGCCGTTATTAATCATAGTTAGTTGATAACAGAAGGACGGAATAGTTTGACATGCTACCTACCTATCTTTACCGCTTATTAGATGCTTAGATGCCACTATTATTACTTGTCGTGGGCCGTGGCTGCTCCTCCCCACCACGTGACTGCGGAGTTGATTTTCCAGGCCAGTCTCGCTCGTCCTCAGTCCTAAACATCTGACCTGCCGACTCCCAATGTCGAGGAAGACTGTTGAGGCCAGATCATTCTTGCCTCTGTGCAGAAGGCCCTACAGCTCTACCGCTCGCCTTTGCCAGCATCCCCGCCCTGCCACCGCTCCCAAGCAGCACCCTCACCTCGCCCAGATCCGAGACAATGTCGAACTTTACGAACACAATGCGGTGGTCCGAAACTACCACGGCCACAAGGACATCCCACGCAAGGTTGCGGAGAATGTCAGAAAGATGACAACCCTTGACCACCGCCTGAACGGTCCACGTCACACACTCAAGGAGTTACAAAAGCAGATGAATGCTACTGCAGCAGACAAGTCTGAAATAATTGCTCAGATGCGAGAGCTTAGGGCGGGGGTGAGCACTCTGGAGGATCAGCGTGAAAAGCTGGACGCAGAGACGCGTGCTATGGCGCTGTCCTTGCCCAATTTGACCTCCTCCGAGACCCCAACCGATGGCGAACCGAGACTACGGACATACATCAACTACGACCCAGAGAGTCCTCCCAAGTACAGCAACTCGGCAGATCACTCTGTCATTGGCGAAAGACTGGGCATACTCGATTTCTCATCTGCTTCCGTAGCATCTGGATGGGGCTTTTACTACTTGCTCAAGGAGGCCGCGCTCCTCGAGCAAGCTCTCGTCCAATATGCGCTATCAGTCGCCATGAAACACGGCTGGTCTGTGGTGGCTCCCCCCTCTCTAGTGTATTCCCACGTGGCTGTTGCTTGCGGGTTTCAGCCTCGGGATCAGAATGACGAGCAGCAAATCTGGCAGGTGGCACAGCCGGCAAAAGATGCTGGAAAACCAACCAGGAGCTTGGCTGCGACGGCTGAAATATCCCTGGCAGGAATGCACGCGGGCAAGAGTCTACCGGAGAATCAGTTGCCTGTGAAGCTGGTTGGTTCTAGTAGATGCTTCCGTGCCGAAGCCGGTGCCAGAGGAGTGGACACGAAGGGCCTCTATCGAGTACATGAGTTTACCAAGGTGGAAATGTTCGCCTGGACTGACTGTCCCGCACCTACGGGAGGGCTACCGGAAGAGTCAAGCTGGGTGCAGAGTTCTACACAGGTGTTCGATGAAATGGTTGGCATTCAGGTTGAGATTCTGTCATCGCTTGGTTTGCCGTGCCGAATTCTCGAAATGCCTTCTTCGGATCTCGGCGCGAGCGCATACCGCAAGATCGATATCGAGGCGATGTTCCCGTCGAGGAAGAAGAGAGACGGCGGGTGGGGTGAAGTCACCTCGGCCTCGATCTGCACGGACTATCAGAGCCGGAAGCTGGACACCAGGATCTTGGAGATGAGCGGGTCGAAAAAGAAATTCGCCCATACCGTGAACGGAACGGCCATGGCGATACCGAGAGTTCTGGCTGCGGTTCTGGAGAATGGATGGCGTGAAGAGGATGGTTGTGTCATCATCCCCGAGGTGTTGAGGGCTTATATGGGCGGTATGGAGAAGATCGGACCCCGGTGAGCACCGTGAGGTTCTTTCCCTCCGGTTCCTTGTATAATGTGGGCAGACGGCCGTCGCATGTGTTGTATAGTATGTACGATTTCAGAAGCGGACTCGACGGAAAAGCAAGAATAGATCATAATCACGAACCTCTCATACACCGACCATATCACTGTCCATTTCGCTTTCCAACACAGCCAGTCAATGAATCAATGAATCAGTCAATCAGCCGACATGGCCGAATTGCCCTGTCGGTGACCGAACCCGATTTGTCACCCAGTCCTGTCCAGTCCAGTCCAGTCTTGCGGTCTACTAGGACGCTCCTACAGTCTTTTCTTATACCGTAACTTTCCCATCGTACGCGTCCGTACCTAGCAGACAAGCGCGACAATCGACAATCGACCATCAGCATCAGGGGGATTCAGCCTTGCCCAGTGGGGCTATTGACCATTACTACTACCAATTACAATACTTGTACGGAGTACTTGGAAAACAAAACTATGCAGCAGCCCACAAGTAAGTAGCCTTAGGTAGGTAGGTACCTAGGTACCTAGTATTCACCTGGTCCAGACAAGGATGCATTCCGAATTGCACTGCTCACCTCCTCCAAACAAGGATGCATTCCCAATTGCACTACTTGAACAGGAAAGACCAGTCTTGGGCTTTGACCCAATCCTCCATCTTGGTGGGCGAGTCTTCCAGAGCAAGCTGTGATAGTATTGATTATTGTTGTAAGAACGTATCCCCAAGGAGAAGAAAGGAAGGAAGGAAGGACGTAGAGGAAAGGGTTTGAGGAAGAAAGGAAGTCAAGGAGCTAGTAGTACTTAGACTCACTTCGGTGATGATCGTGGTGCCGCCTTCTTGGCCTCCAAAGTAGTCGACTGTCTCGCAGTACTTGTACATCTCGGCCAGGCCGAGCCCGACTTCGCGGTCGAAGACGACCAGGCCGGCCCATGCGTCAACGCTGGTCTCTTCAAAATACACCTCGACTGGGAGATGGTTGTTGAGCAGCCGAGTGAACTCGCCGGCCGTCGTCATGGTGGCATACCCGGCAAATTGGCGGACCGAGTTGTCTGGCGAAAGAGGCGGTGGCAGCGGCTGTGTTGCGAGAGCTTTGACGAAGATTGCCGGGTCCTTGTTCGGATCGATGAAGGGGATCGGCGTCTCGGCCGTGCAGGGCATGAGTATGCGATATCGACCGTCCGGTTGCTTATGGTCGCAGATTGGTCAGCGGTCCAAGTCAATAACGGTTCTTTTATTCTTGCTTTCTTCGACCATGTGCAAATGCAAGTCCAAGTGCAAATGCAAATCCACCTCCACTATGAACACAGAGACATATATCACATGTCACATGTTATATGATACATACCTTTGTCGGCCTGAGCGGGAGGGGCTCCCGAAAATTGGTAGCGAACATGCCGAGTTGAAGAACAGCCGTTTTTCGAGCCAGCTCTGGACTTGTCACCTGGAGGGATTCAACCGCTTCGGCCTTTCCATCAAAATGGTAGATGTGGCCGTACTGGCCCCGGCTGAGCTTCTTTGCGTATGACAGGCTTGAGAAGATGAAGAGCTCCAACGACTCCAGTGTCGTTTGGGCGGCGTGGATGACGTTCCTGCCTTGGATCTGTTCGATGAGATATGCTTCTTTGGCAATCGATTTGCTACCTTTTTCTATCATTGCTGCTATTAGTTGCGGAGTCCTACGTCGCACCAGTTAGATCCTGGGACAAGAGATAGCGTGACGCAGATGCAAACTCACAGGCCAGCAGTCATGGCGAAGATGATGTTTGCTCCCTTAATGGGGCCCGTTAGTCGAAGCATCTTCCAAACCAAGAATCAATCTTGCCTTGAACGCCGCTACCAAGGATGCTTCGTTCATTAGATCTCCAGCGACGACATCAGCCCCTTTCTCTCGCAGTGCTTGGGCCGCGGGAGATTCGGTATCTCGTGTCAAAGCCCGCACATTGAAAGATGGGTCACGCAGGAACGCGGCAACCACAGATCCGCCCTGCGTCCCTGTGGCACCAGTGATCACGATTGTCTTCGCCATAATCTTCGCGTCTGTGGCCGGTAGGCTGCTCTGGCTTGATAGCTGGTGATGCGAAGGATGTTAAGTGTGCAGAGCCGAGGAGAGCGCTCATAAGTCAGTAGGATGGAGGAAGAAGAGGCACTGAGAAGAAACGCGCACGAGATTCAAAGTCAACAGTGGGCAATACATATAGATAGGTGGTCAGGGTGCCCGTTTGAGAAATGCGATTTAACCTTTACACCTACCGGGCAGCTTACCAGCATTATGGACGCATGTACGGCCTTGCGCAATACCGTGGTTGGTCAGTAGAGCACGTACTCGTACTCGTTTCTCCTAGTGTGATGCTGTAAGCTGCCTTCTGCTGATGCGAGCGTCATTCCATCCCTGCGTATATATTGTATGGAGGATTGTCCAAAGCATGTGAGATACCCATGCTCTAGCGATGACTATGGTACACAGTACCGTCAAAGTTAGCCAAAGGTGTCAATTGGGCCATTGTGGTGTGGTAGGAGTGATGAAAGTACGGATATATTGAACTGGCAGCGGCCTCGTGGCCTGTGGCCTAGAGATGGCAGCTTACGTTATTGCTGAATAATCCTGGAGCGGAGACACGAGATGCCCCTGAGGATTGTTGTTCAGCTATACAGAGATTCAAGATGGTCAATAAGGATGAGCTGCTGACAAAATATATCCTGGTATGGTAATTAGATCATGCTAGGGTATCCATTTGTCTAAGAACCAACCAAAGCCAAAACGGCACAAGATAGCCAAAATCTTGTTCTTGATCCTACTGCTATGCTCTTTCAAATCGCTGTACTATCCAAAAACTTTCAGGAATGCCCAGATGCCGGCACTGCTCAGGAGAGGAATCGTCAAGTTGTCGTCCATGCCCCACAAGTCAATCAGCTCCGAGAGGCTTGCAATGAGACCGGTGCAGAAGCTCACGACGGCAAGGGCTGCAGTGCCGACAATGACACCCTGGTCCGGCTGCCAACCGAGAAGCTCCTTTGCCCGGGCAGGCAATGAGAGGCGACCCTGATACATAAGACCATCCACCGGATCGTCGGGAAACGGTCCGGTCCGCGGAGCCAGATAACCCCAGAAGTAAACAGCGATCAGGGCGCCGGTTGCGAACGCAGCAAGGGAGCCTGCCAGAGACTTTCCCCGGCGAAGGCGGACAGTGTAGCGCCCATATATACGGCCAAAGGTACTGGCGGCAGTGTCGCACCAGGACAGAAGGAGGATTGATACAACGCCGACATCTTTGGGGTAAAACTTCAAAGCGATGTATGCGCCGACCAAATACCAAATCACCCCATTATAGCCATCGACTTCAGTCTCGCGCATCAGAGCTCCCAAGGCCTTGATGTAGAATCTGTTGAATCGGTCGGAATGGTGTCGAAGCACATCGGTTGGAGCAATGATGGCGAGGGCGCCGAGCAGCCAGGGTGTAATGGCGGTGGTCTGGATGCCGGTGGTATAGAAACGGAGGGTGAAGAACCCAATGGAGACGTGGAGGAGCTTTCGAGGAACCTCGTGCTTGTGGATCAGATTGCGATAGTGCCGGTGTAGAGGGATCAGCCCCAAGGGCGACGGCGAGCGAGAAAACTCGCGCCAGGACTTCTTGACTCGATCGTACGGTGAGAGATGTCCATTGGACTTGGGGAGTGCCACATTGCCAGTGGGCAATGGTTCAGACTTTGCGACGGGGGTCTTCGGGGTTAGGCCGCTCAGGCGCCTTCTTTTGCTAGAGCTGCCACTGGCACTGCCGTTCAGGTGGGTGGCTGCGCTCAATATGGGACTTCTTGACCGCGCTCTGGCACGCTTCTCGAGACTGGAATCCGACCCAGATCCATCCTTCTCTTCGTGGATCGGGTCGGGTTGGGGAGATCTCTGTCGTTGGGCTTTGGCGGCAGATCGCGTGACCGGAGCGAAGTAGGAGTCTTGTCGGTCGGAGGCTTCGGAAGGGGTGGGAGAGGGCGAGATAACTCTCGGAGTAGCGGGGATGGGATACGGATAGGACATTTGAGAGCGTCCAGTCCAGCGGAGGGGTGGGCGGGCAGCAAGCTGCGATGTGGAAGCGGAAACTGACACTGACGGTCAGCGCACAACGGCGGTCGGCGAAGGCAGATGTGGATGGGGGCCGGATGGTAATCAAGGATCACTGGGCCAGCATCATTGCGAGTAGGAGATCATTGTCGACATTCTACCTTGAGCCAGCTCAAGACCGAGTTGCAGGAGACATTTTGATGCAAAACTGGGCTGAAATGACGCGCAGGAAGATGTGATCAACGTCGGTGCGGACGTGTGCGTTGGAATAGTAGGAATATGAAAAGGACGCGGAAGCAAGGAATGGTCGGAGGGCACATGCAAGGATCTCGGCGGCCGAGCGCTGCGTGCTCAGTGCTCACTGTGCCAGTGGAGCTGTAGGACTGCGGTAGTAGGGGCTGCTTATCGCCGGTTGGCGCCTGGACGGTGTCTTTTAGGCCCAAAAGTGCCCAAGCAAAGGCTAGCCTTAGGCACCACTGCACCAGAGTGGACTGCCTGGAGTCTTGGGGGGTTTAGGCCACAGACGTGAACTCGGATGCTGCCTGTCTAAGTGGCTGTCCTCGGCTCCGGTTTCTCTCAACTTCAACTTCTTGGACCTTGAATCGCTTATCGATTGCCAAGCCTCTCCAAATGGCCCCGCTAGCAGCAACTTTTTTCCAAACTGCGCCGTTGTATACAGTTACATACCTAGGAGCCAAAGCGTGATCCACGACCACGATCACAACCTTCGACCCTCACACAACATGGCCCCCGACAGAGGAGCGGCTTCGTCGAAGCGGTCGTCTTCCCGCGCATGGGAGTCCCTCACACCCTCTCTCTCGGAATGGATCCTGGACGCCATCTCGTCAATGAACTTCTCGCGCATGACGCCAGTGCAGGCCTCGGTCATACCATTGTTCATGGGCCACAAGGACGTCGTGGTCGAGGCAGTTACGGGAAGTGGAAAGACGTTGGCGTTTCTCATACCGGTGGTGGAGCGACTGCTCAGGCTGGAAGAGCCGATTAGGAAACATCATGTCGGCGCCATCATCATTTCACCTACGCGGGAATTGGCCTCACAAATCTTCAATGTCCTAATCTCACTGCTGGACTTTCATCCCCCTTCTGCCACGGCGCGCAAGGTGTTGGAAGGCTCCGATGAACCTGAAACAAACCCACAGCCTGAGACTTTTCCCACATCTACACTCAAGGTCATTCCGCAGTTGCTCCTAGGTGGTTCCACTACCCCGGCGCAGGATCTGAGTACGTTCCTCAAAACTTCGCCGAATCTGTTAGTCTCTACGCCCGGTCGGCTCCTCGAGATATTGTCCTCGCCCTATGTCCACTGTCCACAGTCGTCGTTCGAGGTACTGGTGTTAGATGAAGCAGACCGTCTACTCGATCTTGGGTTCAAGGATGATCTTACCAAGATCCTTGGTCTTCTCCCGAAGCAAAGACGGACTGGTCTCTTCAGTGCGAGCGTCAGCGAAGCGGTCGACCAAATCATTCGTGTTGGATTACGAAATCCCGTCAAGATTGCGGTCAAAGTCAAAGGGGCGGACGGAGTGGAAGACAAACGAACCCCTGCAAGTTTGAAAATGACCTACGCAGTTACGCCTGCATCTCACAGGTTCCCTGCCCTTGCAGCACTGCTGAAAGGCTTGGATACATTGCCCTTGCGGACGATCGTGTATCTTTCCACATGTGCTGCCGTGGACTATTTCCAGACATTATTACCCTCCATTCTACCTCCAGAGCTTGTCCTCGTACCTCTGCACGGCAAACACCCGGCAAATGTGCGGCAGAAGAATTTCATCAAATTCACCAACTCGGCCTCTCCGGCACTTCTTCTCACCACAGATGTCGCGGCAAGAGGATTAGATATTCCCTCTGTTGATCTGGTGGTCCAGATTGATCCCCCGGCGGACCCCAAAGCGTTTCTTCACCGTTGTGGTCGAGCCGGTCGGGCCGGGAGAAGAGGTCTCGCCGTGGTGTTCCTACTCCCGGGCAGGGAGGAAGATTACGTGTCGTTCTTGAGTGTCAGAAAGACTCCAATCGAGCCCTTGACCCAGCCTGATATCTCAGTCACAGAAGAGGACTGTCTCGCAACCGAGCAGTCGTTCCAAAAGGCCGTCCTCAAAGACAGGTTATTACATGAAAAGGCCCAGAAGGCGTTCGTGAGTTGGGTCCGAAGCTATTCGAAGCATCAAGCATCATCGATCTTCCGCATTGCTGATATTGACTGGAATGATCATGCGTCTGCCTGGGCGCTGTTGAAGATGCCGAAGATGCCAGAACTCAAGAACTGGGACCGGACCACGTACAACCCTCCGGCCGTGGATTGGGATGCATATGGCTACAAGGACAAACAACGTGAGAAACAGCGCAAGCAGGCTCTCCAAGAGGGCCCTCGCGATCCCCTCGTCGATGGAAAGATTGCCAACGCCAAGAAACGCGGGAGCACGGTAGCTTGGTCAGAGAAAGTCGAGCGGAGAGAAGGCAAGGCGGTCAAACGCTCCAAGAAGGAAGCGCGGAGAGAATACGAACGCATCGCGAAGCTGAGCGAGTCCGAAAGGGAGCGCGAGGCCGAAACTGCAAGGATGGTTGAACAAATCCGAAAACAGGCATTGGCAGCAGCCAGCGCCAGCGCCAGCAATGATGACGCTTTTGAAGGATTTGAATGAGCGTGAACGGAGTATAGTATACTTTCAAGTTCCTACTAGGTACTAATGTAGTAGGCGACTTAATCAAGGAGCGGTTGATTCCTTTTAAATACTATTGTTGCAGCTATGCACCTATGTCTTGGTATAAGACAGACTCTTCAGGGCAGAATCTGGAGGTAAAAGTCACGACCGCACTGAGACAGACCGGTCAAAGAAAGCATTTGGGTACCTAGGCACCTAAAGGTAGGTACCTAGTAGGCATTCTCAGCCTCCATCATGTTTTACCCACAGCGTCTATTATAGTATATACAGATATATAGTGAAGACTCCCCAGACGCTCCTCTGATGGAGAACAAGCGTATGTAGGGATGTATACAGTATACAGTACAAGTATTTTTCAAGGCGATCTGAAAAGTCTCATTTTCATTTCCTCGCTGCTTCCCATGGCCTCTTGGAAAGGCTCCCGCGCCGCCTCGCAGGTGCTGTTTGGGAGAGGAAGCCGTCCGCTCTGAAAGTAGGCTCTGATGGCCTTCTCGGTACATTCCGATTGGGCATTGAGGATACCATGCTGTAAAGGTGTAAATCAGCGCAGTCCCCCATCAATACTAGTTAGTATGTTAGAGAGAGGGAGTCTTACTCCTATGGCGTTCTGCGTCAAAACAACCGAGTCGGGGAAGCCTAAGGCGAGTTTGTGCGCGCTTGTACCGCAGCAGTTAGTGGAATGAACCAAGCCTGGACATCAATGGCTCAATGGACATACTTCTGAATGGGACAGACCGGATCCAGGCTGTTCCCAGTTAGTAGAATAGGGTGGGCTGTCTTGCCGGAAAAGGGGCCTTGAATGTGAGAAAGTCAGTAGAGGGACAACCAAGGTCTGCCTGCACAGATTGGGGATTGTACTGACCATCATATTTCCATTGGGTCTTTGCTGTCCAGCCCACACACATCATATCCCACTCCGCCCAGAGGTCCCCTATTGCGCTGCTTTGATTCCTTACCGAATTCCAGTAAGTTCTGAATTTCTCTTTGCTCATGGTACCACCCATTGACCCGTCTCCGCAAGAGATGGCCAGGAGGGCCTCCTCGAGCCATTCATTTGGCCGGGTACAGGCGGCGGTGTAAGGCCCGTCAATTTTGCATCTGATTGACAGGTTGTATAAGCCGCTCTGGGCATCAGGCACCGAGACTGATTTCATGGCCGCCTTGTAATCTGCAAAGCTGGATCCATTTTTGTCGAATACGTCTTGTAGAAGTCGAGCCAGAGTTGGAAATGAATTGAGAGGTCGGTACAGTGATTGGCCAATCAGCCTTTTCACGTCTGTCGACGTGATTAACTCGGGTCCCCGGTACAAAGACGCTGGTACAGCAAGCGGAGTAGAGATCAGATCTAAGGTGATGGACTCGATGTCTCGGAGTATCGCTTCTTGGGAATCTCGATAGAACTTGCAGTTCTGAGAGCCGTACTTATGGCAAAACAGTGCAAATTCTGCCAGAATTTCATCGGCGTGGACCAGGCTATCGCCTAGAGATGCGTTGAAGAAGAATTGTGGCGACAGAACAGAGTCCAGTATCGTACGGTGGATCAGATGGGGATAGATTGTTGCGAGAGTGCTGCCCAAGATCGTCCCATAAGATGTCCCCCAGAACAATATTTTTTCTTGTCCGCGGCGCCATTCAGTATATTCGAGCACACGTTGCCGTTCCTGAGTATCAGAAGTCAAGCGTCGTGCTTCAGCTTCTCTCCATTCCCCGTGTCGCTCGACTATTGCTATTATATCATCCACGACGGACCTTGTACCCATGTAGTACCCGATGCTATCGCTTCCGTGCTCAGCAATGTGATTCATACATGTTTTGGAGCGAGATAGGTATCGACTCCACTTCTCATCAAATGCGGTGTTAGAACTTCCGATGAAACTTCAGCATCTGCACCGAGAGACCAGACAAGACGGCTGAATGTATCCGGGAAGCAGTTCAACCGAGGGACGGTATGGTTTACTCCGCGTGGGTCGAAACTAATGACGTCGAAAAACTTGGGAGCGTCGGAATTTGTCTCGTGAAGTTGAAGATTGATGCCCGGGTCCCTTTCAGCGTCAATGATGTTCTGGATTTTCTCCCCAGCTTGGAGGAGGGCTTGTACACCCGATGCACCAGGGCCGCCTGGTTTCATTCAGCTCGCCGACAAGTATAATGATAGGTCACGGTCACCAACCTACCAGGGTTCATAATTAGAAGGCCGCCATATCTTGGATCCGTGACGTTGACCTTTGCTGGCCGTTTCATCAACGCAACAGCAACTTCTAGACCCGACGCCGTGGCACGGTTCCAATCCAAGGGTAGGAGCAATCGAGCACACAGAAAGACCCCATAGCAGCTGTGGTATACCAAGGTTCGCGAGGGTTCGATCTAGAAGGTCAGCAGGAAGACGTGTGTAGAGCTGGCGGCTCTAACTTGGCTCCAGGGGATGTCGTCTGGGTTGAGTGCAAGACGATGGTCATACGAGTGCGCGGGTGCGAAAGGGTGAGATGTTGACTCAGGCGCGTGCTGCGGCCAGCCGGACATTGCCTGCCAGGAGACAACGATCAGGGACAAACAGACAAGTAGAATGATGACTTGGTGGCGGAGGCTCAAGCGGTTGGCGGTTGAGCCGGCAGTAGAGTGCTGCCTGCGTTTTTCCATTCTATGTCATGGCAGGACAGAAAACACTTTGATTCTGATCAGATTACCCAGGTAGGCACGTAAACATGAGATACCTAGGTACTACCTGGTAGGTAGTTGTCGATGAGTTCAAGGGTTGTGGATAGAAATCCGTCAAGTTCAAGCCAAGGTGCGCATTGTAGGCAGCAGGCAGCAGGCAGGCTTAGGAGGCTGTCTTGTGTACCTATATACGGATACATATATGTGCTGTACTACCTTACCTTCCGGATACAGTTTAGTCACATGTCATTAACATGAAATTGGCCAATCAAAGTGCGTTTTTCTGCCAGACTAATCCGAATCGCGACTTCCTTGTAGAAGGCAGAGAGAGGAAGGCAGGAGTCTAACAATAACGGCCGTATAAGTGCAAGGAGACTCGAAAGTGTTCTAGATGGCGAGCAGGGCGACACCGACACCGACACCGAGGTCGACAAGGAGGAAGAAGAGCAAGAAGCGGAACTAGGGAAAGGGATAATTAGTGAAAGGGAAAACGGAAACCTATAGGTGGATCAATGGCTATAGCGATTGTGAAATCTATAGCCTATCCTCTGCCCTTCCAAACTGGAATACTGAATGACCACATATCGTCGTCAAAAGCTGCCGTGATAGTAGTTCAAGACCGTAAGCGTGACGCTCCTGGTGCCATACATACATGACCTGGTCGTAGATCGCGTTGATGCGAAAGGCGTCCTTTCTGGATGGCACGTAATTTCGTCGAAGAAAATCATGTCATGACTCGTCCCAGTTGAAACTTCTCACTCAATAATTAGTCCCAAGGCCAAACTGTTCAAGTCCCGTCGGCGCCTCCACCGCCGTCACCACCACTCCTGCTTCCATTCCCGTTGCCGGTCCCATTCCCATTGCCATTGCCATTACCGTTTCCACCAAAGAAAAATCCATCAAATAGATCATACTGTTGGCTGTCACTCCAATCATGTTGGTAGTCGAGGCCCATCCCGAAGCCAAGGTCCAGCCCGCCGGTGTCAAAGTTGAAGTCTTCGTCGCTGGCTCGGGCGGTGTTTAGGAAATCCATCCCGGGCAATGACGACATGAAGTCCGGGTTGTATGTGTTTTGCATGTAGAACGGCTCCTGCGACTGAGGCTGGTTGAACATGAAGGGGCCGTTACTGGCGCCAGTCTGCGAGCCCATACCCATACCGCCATTGATTTGTGAATTGATGCTAGATGCGGGTGACATTTGTGGTGGCCGTGGCGATGCCTGCTGCTGGTGGTATGTCTGCTGTCGTTGCTGCAGGCCTTGGAGAGGCTGGGGGAAGGAATGAGACGGTCGACCACTGAGTTCTACATCCTCGGGAAAGAGTTCGCGGAGGTCCATGTCAAATTTGGGAGGCGGTCGCTTCATCACCGGCCGCCGAGGGGCACGGGACTGTGAGTACGAGTCGACTTGCATGGGTGTCGGTGCGTTCTGGTGACTGGACTGTCTTGAAAGCGATTGGCGTGGCTCGTCGCGCTCCAGGGAAAAGCCGAAACCTGGCGTGGACATGCACATCTGGACTGTGGCCTTGCTCATTCGTTCGAAGGCATCACGACACGCTTCGGCAGGCGGGCACTTCTCCATGAGATCACCGAGGACCGACGTTGCGGCAAGAACGGTGAAGTCAAAATCGTCCAGAGTCTGAAGAGGTAGAGGTTAGAAACAATCCGGGACAGGTACAATGATCAGGCGCCTTACCAGACGAGCTCTGACAGCTGGAGAATGCCAGACGGCATACAGGAATGAAATGCCCGCCATGAATAGGTGGTGCGTCGCGAGGTACGTGTAGTTGACAAGCCGTAACCGATGCAGTTGCCGGTACAATTTCAAGGTCTTCTGTCCTGCTTCAGCGCACTTGAGGAAGACAAGATCTTCGTCTTCTTTATCCTCGGTCCTGATACTGGCAGGGCTAGAGACCTCTTCGGTCGGGCTGAACTCGTGCACGAACGGAGCTGGCACGCTGAGACTCTGTCGATACAACATGATCACTGCTTGCCAGTAGTTCAGCTCCAGGAATTGGACTGAGAAGCCTACCCCGGTCTCCGACGGTTCAGGGGCCGATACTTTCCATTCATACAGTCGCTGGTCTATGTCTCGTCGCCAGGACCGGAATGAATCAAACTTGCTCAGGAACGGTGAAGGCAGTTTGGTATGCATGAATTGATTGCGTCGATTGGTGCCATTAAGACGGGCTTGCTGCGCTTGTTGATGCTGAAGGACTTGCAGAATCTCGGATTGTAACAATCTCAGTCTGAAATAGTGGCGGGCAACGCGCTTGTAGGTAGGTTCGTCCTGAGATCTCGGCGACAAGAATCCACTTCTGGTGATATACTTGTCGTCGAGCAAGGACGGGAACTCTGTCGTAACAACCTGATCCGTGATGCCAAACGGCCTTCCTACACAGGTGCTGACCAGTCGGTCGAAGGTGTACGTGCACCACCACAGTCTCCTGCGTAAATCTCGGATCCATTCTCGACGACCCTTCTCTTTCGTGTCGAGTGCTTTCGTAGGTCTTGTGCTAGCGTGGCCCAGTGCGTAGCCGCCACCGTCTTGACCTTCAGCAACATCTTCAATATCAGACCCATCCTCGTAGTGGAGGCCGAGGTCGACGGCCAACCTCATGGCAACGCCTACAATGTACCACAGTCCAGGCGCCACAGGTCTGAGCAAGGCGAACCCAGCAAGCAATAAGACCGCCTGAAGTTCTTCGAGATCGCCGTTGGGACGTTCGGCCGCATCTAGCGAAGTAGAGCCGAGAAACGACCCAAGATTGATAATCGCCGACGCGTGATATTCTTCAGGCTGGGCTTGCAGGCTCGATAGCCGGGGTCTCTTGAATACATAGTCTCCTGGTTGGGAGTTTGGTTGCGGGTCTGAGGATCCCCAGATGATGCCAGCACCGATGGCGAAGACGATATTGAGAAAGTACAGGTCCCGGCTTGTCCGATTGGAAGGCTCTGTAGAATAGGTCCGTTCGAAAAGCTCCATGAATTCTCCGCGGTGCAGGACTGGAATCTGGGGATTGGCGTGTTCAAAATACAGGTTGACGAGTTTCCAACCCAAGTCGCGATCAGGGAAGGCGGCTTCTTTGATTGTAGGCTTCGTCTGTAATCCGAAGTATGAGTCGCGCATCGAGCTTCCGCCTGAACTAGCAACGTTTGGGATGGGACGGCTGGGTCGAGTTCCAGCCCTCTCCGAGTTGCTGCTTGATACCGAACTCTTCACAGCGGCCAGGACCACACGGGCAAACGATATGCCAGATGTCGAGCCCAAATATCGCGCGTCGGATGCTCCTTGCACAGAGACCATGCCAATATTGGACACCAAATTGTTCAATTTATCATCCTCCTGCTTTTTCTCCCAATCGCCGTTCTTGATGGTCTGTGGAGAGCCAGCGCTAGGTGACCGTGGACCTGGCCCCGAGGCTTTTGTGCTGGCCGGTGATTGCGCACCGCTCCCAAGCTCTTTGGACTCGGCGCCGTACACGTCGGCGGCATTGAAGGGGACTGCATTCGCCTTGAGCAGCTGCTCGAAGTAGGCCAGCCTCGTCTCGAGAAAGTAGACATAGCTTCGTGGGATCTCTCTTTTGGTGATCGGATCATAGCCTACGCAGCGGACATTGGCCTTCTCACAGGTGCTGCACGCAGGGAGGCGTTGGTCGCAGCGGTTCTTCCTGACGCGACAACGGTTACAGGCCGATACGTTTCTGAAGGCGGAGGTGGCCGAGGCCGAACTGTGAGGAGGGGAGTTGGTCTGCAGCAGGACGTCGTGGTTGGGAGCCTGAGGGTGGGAGGATTCGTCAGCTTGATACGCTCGCTTGAGGCTGGCGCTCTGGGGAGAAGAGGCGGTCGAGGTCATGGGATCGAGGCGAGGTCACTGACATCTTCTGCCAGTGTAAGAACTGCAGTCGATGTGCGTACAGTGCTCCTGCAACCAAGGGACATGGCAGTAGTCCGAGATAGCCTCGTTCGGTAGGTCGGGTGTCGCCATGGCCATATCTGCATTGACTGCGGAACGAACGTGCGACGACTCTATCGCAAGCTGGGGGGCCATTCAGAGTACAGCTGGACCCAAGTACGGATAGCTATCGGAGAGGCATCTCATCTCAGTGGCTGGCTCGGGGGGGCAACCATTGCTTATGGCGGGTACCTGCCCTGTAGTACGTACAGTAATACTCCAGTAATAATACTGCGTAGAGGTCGCTGACCTGGGAGGCCGTGGGCAGCTTATCGCGCTGCTGAAAGCAGCCAATCAGTCCACGCCGCAGCGATCATCTTGGCACCGATAAGCAGCCGCAGTTACATCTTCACATTTGCGTACAAATCCAAGCTGCGTGGGCGATGCGATCTCTCGCTCGGCAATGGCAATATACCTTACTAGGTACCTAACCTCAGCGTGTCAGCACATACTCCATACGATACAGCAGCAACCGGCACTCTACCTACTTGCTCGCGGTTGCAACGGTCGGACTGGCCTTGAGACAGGCCCTTTGAAGAAAGACAAACTCTGGACTGACCCCGTTAGGTGCCCGTGAATTGGAAGTCTGTATGAAACCATGATGAGAAGGAAACTCCCCAAAGACGCCAGTCACCCACTGCAAGAGATGGCTTTTTGACCACAAGCTAGGTGAACACGATGCCAGGTTGCTGGACAGACCTCATCGAGTCTCGGAACCTGAACTGTGAACCGCAGCCCCTGGACCACTCGACCATACCAACCGCTCAGCCAGTTGAAACAGCAACCGGGACCTCTTACAAGTAGACACAAAACACGATGTACCCAACCGTCAGTGTTGCATGGCATCACATTGTGTCGTAGAGAATTTGTTCTCTCGCCGACAGTCTGCCCGCTCAACACCAGCGCTGGAATTGGTCGGGTAGTTTCACATACATGCAACTATGCAAGGCGCGCCAAATCTTCGCCCCGGCTCGCGTTCCATGCATATGCACATGCGAAACCCTGTCCCTCGTTGTCTAGACAAGGGTCAAGTCGCACCACACATTTCGCATGGGGAGTTGGCATTGTTGGCGGGGGGTTCGCAGGCAGGCTGGTCTTTACCATGGGTGTAATGTCTGGCGCGTGCTCCAGGGTTGATTGACATGGTCCAGGCTTCAATCGACTTTTGGATCATTCACCATTCATCGAACCGTGTGGCGAAACAGATCATTGTTGGCTCGGCGGATGCTAGGATCATTTGCAAATGACGAGAATATATGTCAAATTGCCGTATTTGCTCAACAGGGCAGGACACAAGGATCTCACCGTTGGCATTGCAATCACGGGAGGATGGCACTGCATTTTCCTTGCCGGACATGTGATCTGCATCCCCGGTAGTTGAGCCGTCTGGACAATGTGACTGCCTCGAACTAATCGGTCCGATTTCTCATCCGTATAGGCATTATTCTTTCATTGACCTACAACGCCCAAGAGCCAGACCGGCCAACACGGAGGAAATTATTCGTATGGAGCATGATTTCGACCCGGGTTCAACACCATCACTTCCGCCAGACAAAACAAGGATCCCCACGGACGATGTATTTGCCAAAGCCGAGGACAGCTTCGAGGGGGGTTGAAGGTTGGGTGTAAAGGTAAAGTGAGAAGTGCCGCCAGTCGTGGTGGAATCCCAGTGTCCAAGGTCAAGGCTTTGCAAGTAGAAGACGAACATGAGGGCGAACATGACTCTTCCATGCCGTCGATCACCAGTTGCCCCCACGGAATAACAAGCATCAGCTCTGAGGAATGGCCACTTGGAAAACATCCGACTCTGCTGCTTTTTACTTGGCATCCAGCAGAACGAGCATACATCCCGTGATTGGCACACCAATCAATCGGAGAGGGGTTGGCTGGTTGGTACTAGCACGCCTCAAAGCCGAAGATGCATGGATGTCGCCGGAGAGAAACTTTGCCAGATTCCTCGAGCTGTGTCAACCGCTGTATCCTGTCATCTGACCGCTACTTTGATTGAAGTCCTGAGTGATCGGCTAGGACGAGTAAGTAGCGGAGACAAGCGAGTGAACCCGAGGAGAGGTGGCAAATATTGATTCGGAAGTCGCATTGGATTTGATAGGTTATACAGGAAGCAACTGAAATCCAAACGAGACGCTGAGCTTGTCCTGTTCTCGGATCTGCCAGATGAACGACAGATGACACTGCAGTCGATGGAAGTAGGGAAACGAAACCAAGGAAGAGTTCGGGCAACTTTGAGTGGTGGGTCAGGAACACAGACTGAGAGCACGCCCGGCGTATGCTGGCAGCAGACGATCTAAGGTCCTACCGGTCCTTGTGTGATAGGAAGCCTTACTAGCCCCGAGGCTGACTGGTTGTACGTTGACGCTACAGCTGGCCTCCGGCAGGAGGATGTCAAGTGAGCAGTGTCTCGCACGAGAGACTGCGGTCTAGAGCCGCCGGGAAAAGGACCACTGCATGACACCTACATGAGAAGAGATGCAAGAGAGCAGCATCAGTAATTGCCCAGCACTGACAATGACGTACACATAGCCTCATGGACATGGCGGTGAAATAGACATCGCTGGTTTCGTACTCCGTAAACGGCTCGATGGTTGATGGTTGATGCGGGCGGCGTAGCAGTAGGAGGATGATGCATGCCTGCCATGCCTGCCTCTCTACATGCGGTTGCCTCTCTGCACAAGACAAGGCAACAAGAAGGCCGATAAAACAGTTCCGAGTTATTCTTATTGTGATGGGTAATTGTACTGTAACTACCTACCTACCTATACCTAGTACTCCGTACGTACTCCAGACTCCTGTTCGCAGCTGGCACCAACACCCACACTGGCACAGGACTACGACTTTGGTGAAACTCGGCAATCTGCCAGGTATTGGTGGAAACCTCACCTGGGAAGACTCCAGAGTGGCGCCTGAAACTTCAGGCAAGGGGCGCCTAGGCCCACGCCCCTAGGCTCGCAACCATCCACATAATTGGCCGGGGATGCCCCTAGCTCTCCTGGTTGGCTTTAGGGCCTCGGAGGCTGGGTGTAACCAATTCCCCGGGAGCGCCACGGAGCCACAGAGGGCCACAGAGGGCCTGGGGGCCACAAGAGGGCCTAAGGCTTAGGGGCCACAGAAGTTGGTGCTTTGCCGTGTCCCCAGGGCTTAGGCGACGTACATACATGTTCCATTGTTCTTCTAATTGATACTGCCGGGCTTCTAGAAATGAATCAGGGGCATCGTGACCAGGACCAGGACTCGAGGACCCTGCCACCTGGCCTCAAGAAGTAGAAGAGTATGTTCCGTACTCCTCGCGCATATGTCCTCTGTATTTCGCCGACGCCATCTTTGCCCCGGCTGCGGCTGACTCTGACAGAAGGTGAAAGGAGAGTTTGGCTTTTGTCTCTCCAATGTTCTAGGCTGCATAATAGACTACTCCCGCCTTGTTTTCCAGCTTGCAGGCTCCAGGATTCCGGGGCCTGTCTTGCTGGAACCTTTGAAGTGTGCTGGCTGATTTAGCCGCAAGAGCAGGTCCAACCGCTTCCAATTCCCATTCCATGCACCCGGAGCCAGCTCGACCACCTTAGTAATTAACATTGAACATGGGTGATGGTGGTGACGGGACTCCGTACTCCATACCTGCGTACTGCGTACTGCGGATGCGGTTCGGATGATAGTGGATTTGACTTTGGCCAAAGTCCGGATGTTCGAAGTCGTCCTTTGGTGCTAGAGGATCGTCGGGCGTATCAGCATCTCAGCATCACAATCCCTCGTAGCCCGCCACCCACCACCCACCACCCACCATCCATCATCCACCATCCACCATCCACCATCCGTTAGCACCATCCTTTCATCAAACGATGCCGCTTATCGAGGAGCCCTGAGCCCTGGGCCCTGGGCTCTGTTCTCTGTCTCTCGTCGCCCAGCCAGTTGCTGTTCGCCCTCCACCCCCGGTCGTTGGCCCGCGCCACTCTTTGTGCCGCAGCCTACACCTACCCATCGATCTCGTCTGCCTTTGCCAAACGGAAATTATGTCAGGACAAGCTCAACCTTGGAAAAGGACCAAAACACGGAGTCCTACTTTTGCAACTTGGCTTCCACTGGATACTGCGCCCTGTACCCGCCTTCGCACCAGCTTCACTCCACCTCCCGCTGTCGAACACCTACCCAACGCTCCCCCCTTACACGAATCGCAGGCATCGACTTCTTCACCGTGGTCCATGTTACAAATCTGCCGACGGTCCGAGTTGTAGTGGCCATCGGCATCTCAGCTGGACTTGAAACCTTGCCCGCCCTCGGCTTCATCCACCTTCTCATCCATTTTGGTGCCCGACTGGGCATGACCGCCATTCTCACCGCCTCTCATGTCTCCCCCGTCAGAGATCACGATTGGACAGGAGAGAGTGGACGATGACGATGACGGCAGTCACACATACGGACCCGGTCACGAGGGAGGGAAACAACAGATCGATGACACCGTGCTAGGGGTTCGTCCGCACTGATCACATTCTTCACCGTCCTCACCGCAGGCCACTCCTGGTTGGTCTGGGTGGGCACTAGCGAAAACAAACTCATCGGCAAGCAGTTCCCCCGGGGCTCGGAAGACCAGGATGAGCTTCCTAGCCAGCCCACCATGTCGTCGGTCAGGGGCAGGTCGAGTTGGTGGGCGAATCACGGTGGCTGCCGTCACTTCGAAGTCCACCCATGTCAATCGATACCGCTGTCGTGGTTCCTTGGCCTCAGATGGCTTCGAAAAAGAACCCCCCTGGGCGCTGTGTCGGTGCGCTTTTCCTTCCTCGACGTGCTGGCAGTTTCAATTATCGGATGTTTGACGTGTCCAGGTTGGATCCTAGCCGTTCGACTTTCTTTTCCTTCTCTTGCAGCGCCGGTGAGGCCTGCCACACATGACGACCTGGCGCCCTGTGTCTCGCCATGATGCGAATCCCAGTTCCACACCGCCACCGTCGCATGGCAGCTCCACGACAGCCCACTCCTTCGACCAGGATTAAGCTTCTGCCTCATTTCCATTCTAGGTTCTCTAGGTTTTTCTTCTCCGGGACACCCGCTTACTGCCCTTAGCACGGTGGCTCTCTCCGACCGCGAGGGAGCGGGCCTCCTTTTCCCCTCCCAGCTCAAACTTCAACCCAACTGGAATGGGCCGACTAAATGCGACTCCCCCGGTCTATACGGACATTTTCCCTCGCGTGACATCAAGACGTTCAGACGGCACCTTCGGCTCTTGGGTTTAGCGCTCTCCATGGAGCTGCCTGCACCTCGCTTCTGTGGACAGCCGGACACGGATGTCAGGCACTTTCCCTTGACTATCAGACGCTTCCGCGCTTCCTCGCCCCGTGTAACCATGGCTTTCTTTGGCCACTGCCCAGTGCCGGCGCTGGAAACAAAAAAAGGGTGTCTCCATCTGAAATGTTGCTCGATGCCGTGTCCTAGTATGATATCCCAACTGACCCAAGTGGTCCACCGCCTCTTCCACGCGGCGACGGATGCAGGATCCCGCGATAACAAGGAAAAACCGTGCCCCGCTGCCTGTCCCTCGTCGCTGCTCAATCCATTGACTCCTGGAATTTCGCGCGGCCTTATTATGATCGCTGCCATCCCTTCGTCGGCCGTTGGATGTCTTCTCTTTCGTGCTCACCTCCCTCTCCGCCCCTCGAAGGACGACACCCTCTCCCCCTCCCCCTCTGGCGACGATGGCTATTCACCTCACTCGACTCATCCTGCGCAAGCGCGGCCGCAAGAATGCAGAGGATGATTTTCCGACGCAGCAGTTGTTCGTCTTGGGTACGTCATCTTGCAGATAATGCCCAAAGTGGAATGCTGTCGCGAGTGCTGGATTCTAACGCACTCGACAGCACTATGCCGCATCTGTGAGCCAATCGCCTTCATGTCGATATTTCCATACGCCTACCGCATGATTGAATCCTTCCACATCACTCAGGACGAAACCCGGATCTCGGTGTACGCAGGCATGCTCATCACCGCCTTTGCCTTTGCCGAATTCTCCACTGGTATGGTCTGGGGCCGCATCAGCGACCGTGTCGGCCGGAAGCCAGTCCTGATCATGGGGCTGGTCGGTACCGCCTTGAGTATGATCTTATTTGGCTTTGCGCGCACGCTGCCGGCGGCCATCCTGGCCCGAGCGCTGGGCGGTCTCCTCAATGGCAACGTGGGCGTCCTTCAAACCACGGTCGGGGAGCTCGTCACCAAGAAGGAGCATCAGCCTCGAGCATATTCCATCATGCCCTTTGTCTGGAGCATGGGCTCCATCATTGGACCGGCCATGGGCGGCGCCCTGGCCATGCCGTGTGATTCCTATCCGTCCGTCTTTCCACGAGGCGGCTTGTTTGACACGTATCCCTTCTTGCTGCCCAATCTATTCTGTGTTTTCATCCTGATCCTCGGGATCACCAACGGCATCCTGTTTCTGGAGGAGACCCACGTCGAGAAGCAAGGTCGGCGTGACTTGGGACTGGAACTGGGACAGTTTTTATTGAAGAAACTTTCCTGGGAGACGGATCCGCGACCGTCCCGGCTGACTGATGGGGACGAAAATGACGTTCTGGCCGACCTCGACCCCCCGCCAGGCTATCGGAGCACGGATAGCTCGCCGATTTTGCGGTCTACCACCACAGAAGCCTTGGATGCAGATTTGGCAGGCTTACAAGAGAAAGAGAGGCGAGGGATGTTTCAGACCTTTAACCGGCCTGTGGTTCTAATCATTGTTGCCTATGCCATACTTGCCTAGTAAGTACTCGGATGGACGATGGCGTGTTGGTGGACTCTGACTGATGTTTGACACAGCCACAGCGTCTCCTTCGACGCCTTGATGCCCACATTCCTCAGTGAGGAACCGTTGCAGACCGAGGTCGTCCTCCCGTTCAAGTTCTCAGGAGGCTTCGGTTTGTCAACCCAAACGATCGGGTTCATGATGGCGGTCCAGGGATTCTATTCCATGTTTGCCCAAATCGGTCTCTTCCCGTTCGTGGTTCGCCGATTAGGAAACCTCCGGACCGCGCGAATCGTGTTGACGGTCTGGCCCGTCCTCTATTTTGCGGTGCCGTATATTTCCCTCCTTCCCACACACCTGCAGAAGGCCGGCATCTACCTGTCTCTCGTTATCAAAACCACGTTCCAAGCGATTGCGTTCCCCTCCAATGCCATTCTGCTCGTCAACGCGGTGCATTCCAAGTCCGTCCTGGGCACCGTCAACGGAGCTGCCTCTTCAGCCGCGTGTTTGGCGCGTGCCCTTGGCCCCATTGTCACGGGGTCTATACATTCAGCTGGTCTGAAACTGGGATATAGCGGCCTCGCTTGGTGGGCGGGAGGTCTGGTCTGTCTGTTTGGAGCTCTGGAAAGCTATTGGATCCAAGAATCCGATGGCCACCTACCCGGAACTTCTCAGGAAGAGGAAGCGAGCTCTTGCGAACCGCTCTTGCATTCGGTCGCACTCGAACCAACGGACGATGGTGTGCTGCGACCGAGCAGACCGAGTGTTATGGACGAGCTGGATCTTACGAAACCCTGCAAGCATGAAATGGCGGTGGAAGGAAAGCAATAAGCTCGCCTACCTCCCATACTGGCCTGGTTTGGGGGTCCACTCTATCATGGTTTACCAGTCTATCTGCGGCGCCCCCAGCCTCGCTGTCTCGGAAGCCTCGTTCATCACGGAATCCCGGCGGATTGGCATATGGAATTTATCTACTGGGAGCAGTTTGCAAGGCTGGGAACAAAGTAGGCAGCGGCGAGAACCGCAGCGCCTACACGACGATTTATTTTCGCGGGAGGAACACAAGGCAGGGCTTTCGGGGGGAGGATTTTTGATGTTTGATTTCTGAACGAGGCGCATTGGCCCGGGTGTTTGTGTTTCCGGTGGTGGACTGAATTCAGATTCCAGGTATCGCATTGGGAGTTTGTTTTGTTTGACCGTTCTTTTGCTATTCATCATCATCTTGGGAGGTTGTTTGTCTCAGATACCTTGCGGGCTTTGTTCCCGGTTTTGTCTTGCTTGGATTGGGAGGGTTTCTGTCGAAGCGATCACTGTAACTCTAGCACTGTATGTAGGTTAGGCCAGGGAGAGGCATGGGACGAGGTATGATCATGATGATTAGATGAGGGAGATATAGATCGATAGATGGGCGACGAGGTGGAAATGCAGATTGCCAACCATACACGCACATACGCACACACGCACATACGCACACACGCACACACGCACACACGCACATTACACACATTACACACACAAGGGGACGAGGCTGAGGTTGAGGAGGTCGGTCTTGACCTTCCCTTTCCGGCTCACCTCCGAGGTTCGGAGAAGTGCACTTGCACCGTCAGCGATGGATGATTTCTTTCTTGCCTGCCCTGCAGACTGCGTACTACCTACTGGTACTTTACTGCCTACTGTATTCTCTACACGCTCTCTCCTGTATCCGGATAGAAAACCACCCAGCTCCGTCTTCTCGCACCAAAGGACAGACGAGTGTCCGGCCATGGCACCCAGCAGAGCGCTGAGCAAGGCGGTGCCGCGCTCCCCTTCCAGTCTTGTTCAACAGCTCGCGTTCCCCCCGTCCCCCGCCACGGGCGCACCTTTACGGCGCTGTTTCGCCTCCGCCTCTGCTCCTCCTCCGCCTCCTTCCCCTTCAGCTTCAACACCAACAGCTGGCAAGGTGGCGCCGTTGGAAGGCATCCGCGTCTTGGATATGACTCGGGTGCTGGCCGGGGTGAGTCGAGTCCCGCCTGACCTTTGTTCTGTGGCCTAAGCCATGGCTGGCCCTGGCTCGCCCATTGAAAGAAAGACAAATGTATTTTCTATGTTACGCAGCTCCTTACACGCAAGGAGACCAGCAGAGGTTGACGAAATCTCGACTCTGCCGAGGCTGAGAAGACAGTATGAATTTGACGTAGAACACAATGGCTAACTCTCGGTTAACGGACGTGGTAGCCCTATTGCACACAGATCCTGGGCGACTTGGGGTAGGTACCGTGCCTTGCCATGGCATGGCATCATGTTACGTTTCCCGTTTCCCAGTTCCCAGTTCCCATGAGCCTTGTGGTGTGCGAACATCCACCGACACCGATGATGGTTCATGCTGTATCCCTTTCCATGCAGACTCCAACTGCCAGTCAACATGTCTGACCCTCTACATCTCACTCTGAGCACATTCCCAGCTCCTCAACATTTCCCTTCGGCGCCATTGCTAACCACTTCTCATGCTTACAGCGCCGAAGTCATCAAGATCGAACATCCCACCCGCGGCGACGATACTCGAGCCTGGGGCCCTCCTTTTGCGAAATACAAAGACGGCGGTAAGTCTGATCTGATCGAGTTGAGCGGATGCAATGGCTTTGGGGAGCCATAGACTAATCACTCCCCGACTCTGTAGCCGTCGTGAAAGGAGGCCGGACGGGTGAGAGTGCCTATTTCATTGGGGTGAGTCCGAGGCTTGTCCCTTTTCTTTACTTCTTGACATGCGCGAGTGATCATTCTGCCTTGCTACGAACTCTCGACAGCATGATCTGATTCGTCATGTTCACAGGTGAACCGCAACAAGAAGTCCGTGGGCCTGTCGTTCCAGCATCCTGAAGGCGTCAAGATTCTTCACGAGCTCGCAAAGACATCGGATATCCTCGTGGAGAACTATATCCCCGGTATGTTTTAACCCCTGCCATGCAAATATGCCCAGATAGACAACGGCAACGCTCCAGCAGGAGATACTGAGCTGATGTCCATCCTTCCACGGTGCAGGGGCACTCAAGAAGTATCAACTTGACTACGAATCCCTGCGAAAGATTAATCCTCGGTGAGTATGGCCGTCCTACTCGCCGTAAAGATACCTGGTCGACATATACGAAACGGCTTCCACCTTCCACTCTCCACCCTCCACCCACACACTGCCTACTCCCTAGGCCCGTCCAGCCTCTTGTTCACAGCGGCTGACTTGCGCCCTCCAGCTTGATCTACGCTTCCATCACCGGATACGGCCAAACAGGGCCGTACAGCTCACGGGCTGGCTACGATGTCATGGTCGAGGCTGAAATGGGGTTGATGCACATCACGGGCGAACGCAACGGATCCCCCGTGAAAGTTGGGGTGGCAGTGACGGACCTCACGACGGGCTTGTACACAGTCAACGCGATCATGGCATCATTGCTAGCTCGACAGAGGACGAACGTGGGCCAGCACCTAGACGTGGCACTGTCGGACTGCCAGGTAGCGACGCTGGCCAACATCGCCAGCAGCGTGCTGATCAGCGGCGAACGCGACGAAGGACGCTGGGGCACGGCGCACCCCTCGATCGTGCCCTACAAAGGGTTCAAGACGGCTGACGGTGACGTGATGATCGGGGGCGGCAACGACCGGCTGTTTGGCGTCCTGTGCGACAGACTTGGCCGGCCCGAGTGGAAAACGGACCCGCGGTTCGTGACCAACGACGTACGCGTAGCGAATCGCGATATCCTCGAGTCCTTGATCGAAGCCATCACCCGCACCAAGACCACCGACGAGTGGCTGGCCGTTTTCGAGGGCAGCGGCATGCCCTACGCCGCCATCAACGATGTCAAGGATACACTCAGCCACGAGCACATCCAAGCCCGCCGCATGGTCACTGAAATCCAACATCCCGTCTGCGGCGACATCAAGCTCGTTAGCCCACCCGTCAAGTACAGCGAAAGCGTGACTGGCGTGCGCACTCCGCCCCCAACTCTCGGCCAACACACCGACGAGGTTCTCACCGAGGTCTTAGGCATCAAGGGAGAGGAGGTCGAGAAGTTGAAAAGTCAAGGTGTCGTGTCATAGCATAGGGGATGCGTTGTATTTGCCTTCGTCTTTGACTTGTCATCTCGACGAGTGGTGTCTAAGTGTGCCTTTTGTACCTGTCTCTTTTGCGCAGCACAAGATCTGGATCACTACAGGACGGATGAGTATGTCACTGTGGTATAGTGGACTGGGCGGATCAAGGCTCCAACTTGGCGCGGCAAGGCTGCATCGGCGATACTTCATCATGTCCACCATGTTGACCTAGAGGCCAGAGCTGCGACCAGAGCAAGTCTACAAACCCTCAGATAACGCGGCGCAAGCCACGTGCGCCTCGTGGAGCTGCGAAAGGGCCGAAACGGGGAAGTAACAGCCAAACAAAAGAGAGAAAAGAAAGGAAAAGAAAAGAAAATAAAAGAGGATGGGACTTGTTGCTACTCCACAATCGCCAAATCTTAAGGATGAAGCCAGAGCGAGAAGAAAAGAACGAGGCAAAAAGAAGGGAAAAGCATTACACAGACGACTTGTATCTACAGGCCAGGGCAGCCTAGGCCAGGTCATATATAAATATATGCTCATGCTATATCTATCGATCTTAGGGGTTATGATCCATATCCGTGAATATTAAATCACAGACCGGCGACTGCAGTACGAAAGAAACACTGAAATGCTACGACATCTACTTATCTGCTGTGGTCACACGAACACGACTCGCCGCAGCTCTCATGCCAGGGCAGCATGCAATCCTCGTTGAGATACGGAGTAGTGGGAGGATGTTTGATTCAATCGACCAAGAATCGACCAAGGATTGAACACGACACGCGTTGAATGAGGGTATGTAGGTATGCTAAGCTAACGTTCAAAATCATCAATCTCGTCAACTCCGCTAGAGTTCCGCATCAGCCACGTCTAATGCTAATGTACATTCTTGAAATCTTACACAACCACCAAACCAAGGGCTGCCGAGCTCGGCAGCACTCGCAGTCTTCCACTCTTCCGCTCTTGGGTATGTATGTCACTTAGCCGTACACCAATGCTCGAACCTCGATGCTCTCGCGGCCTTTGGCGCCCGGCGGGGTTCGAGGATCAACAAAGGCCGTGTGTGGGACGCGCTTGCCAACGCCTTCCTGGCTGTCGTAGCACTTGAGCAGCAGTCTCTCGTCGTTGTCCATTCCCGACCAGTAGTAGAACTTCTGTCCTGGGTTGTATCGCACGGCGGCGGTCTCGCCGGTGCGATGCGGATACCGGTGCTCGACGGGAATCAGGTCTTCGTCCTCGACTGTGTCGGCAGAAGCAAACCCAAGAGGATGTGCCTGGACAGCTCCATTGATAGGTCGCCAGACATTGATGATTCGATAGCGGCCTTTCAGCAGTTCTTCCGCTTCCTCTGGGTCGTGGAGCTGGACTCGCCATGCGGTCGATCGCCCTGTTTGATCGACATGGACTCGAGTCACTGGAGCGCGAGGCGCGTCCGGGTTGGATCGGCGAATGGTGTGGTCGAAAAATGTGACTTTATGGGCGCCAGGCACCTTGTCCAACAGCAGCTTCTCTACCTCCGGGTAGTAGACTTTCTTGATGTGTTCGTCGTCCACAAACTCCGTCTCTTCGGATGGAACACCCTGTATGGCTTGGAAGGCATCTTTGTCCAGACTAAACTCGCTCTCTCTTCCTCGAATGTCGTTCACCTGCACGTCCACCACGACCTCCCCGAAGTTGCGTTGTGGCTGGCCTTCCGGCTGTTTCTCAACGTAGTTGAATGGCTTTGCCCCATCAGCCGGAGCCTCGAAGAAATTCAGCTGTGTAGTGACCGGTCCACGTGGGACATAGGAGGAATCTTGAACCCCGGAGAGGGTCGTAGAGGTGGTGGTCTGAGTGGTCGTGGTCGTGGTCGACATGGTGGCTATTTTTATTGGGTGACGGCGTACAGGGCACGATGTGATGATTTGATTGATGTGATGATGTGCTGGATGATTCGTCGTGGCTGATGGCTACAATCCAGAGGCAGAGGCAGAGGCACTCATGCCCATGCGCCGCCGCCGGCTTATATAACAGGATGGTACGCAGGTTGAAGTCGTGGTTCGTGGTTGAGCACGCAATGCGGCTTATTAGAAATCCACCACGTCATGCCGCGAGCCGAGGCTTCGCCGCTCTTAAACCCCGCGTATTTTCGAGTGCTATACTAATCAGCATCACCATGGCACCAACGGCACAGTCTCAGTGGGCAGTGGCAATAATAGTTGTATTGGTCAGCCAAGGTCATCTCGGTTCTCATGTTCATGTTTTGGGCACTTGCACGGATTACAATTCGCCCTCTTCGCTGCCGTAGTCGACCCTTTCGGCGTCATCAATGTCATTGCTGCCGTTCTGAGGGGGCTCTGGTCGTGCATGTACTGGCCTGTCATCTGCCGGAGCTGCTTCCACCTGGTTGGACACGCTTGAAGATTCGTAGCCATTATTTTGTTCATTCTCTCCCTTGTGTCGACCTTCTGCTTGGCTGTGCAAAGATTCCCGATCCCTAGGACCGTTCCAATTAGACCTTGACGTGGAGACTCTTCTCGAAGAATCGCTCAGGAACTCTTGCCGTGTAGTTGGGTCGCGACCAGGAGGTAGACGCGACACACCGGAGGTTGAACTGTTGACGATCTCGTCGATTCGTTTCTGCACGTCGTCGACTAGTTCCTTTGATTCAGTGTAGCGCCTATCGTCCCGCATGGGCGGATCGGATGTTTGTTGTGAGGGTCGTTCCGGAACGTTGGGGTTGTTATCCGCCGTGTCTCGTCGGGATCTCTTCGGTGACCGCTGTGACTGGGTTTCTTCGGAAGGCGGTGCTGGTATGCCGGAGCCCCATTCGCCAGACTGCTGATCTTCCGCCGTATCTCTGTCCCGCTTGACGCCTTGGCTACCACTTCTCGCACTGTCGGCAGGTGAGCGATCAGGCTGCGGTGTAGTTGGCAGTCGTGTTCGATCGAAGATGGAAATGTCGTCTTCTTTGGTGTAAGCATCTTTTTGACCTTGTCGTGGTAACGTAGGGTTCTCATAAACTTCAGCCATCAGGTTGCAACCCTTCTGAATATCCTGCAAGTCCACGCCTAGTTGCTCCCACCACGGTCTTCCTCTTTCGTCGTCAGGCAGGGTGACTCCGGCGAGTTTGATGCCCAGGTAGAGCGCACTTCCCGCAATCGAGATGGGAGTCAGCTGAAGGGACATGGTGGTGACGAGAGAGTCGTTGAGAAAGGCCCAAGACGCGTTACGCATCGGCTTGTTCTCTTGAACGCCGTAGAAGCGAAGGAAGTCGAAAAGAATACGGTAGGGCTGTTCCAGTTGGAGGTCAAAGCATAAGGCCTCCAGCAGGAGATCTTCGTTGTGTAGGATGGTATCTCGCCATTTCCAGTATTCTTTACTTTGTTCATCCACAACCAGGTTGGGGTTCTTTTGGGCAACTCGACAGCAGGCCACCACCAGCTCTTTCATTTTCCGGTAATTCTCCTCGACCTTGGTTGCCAAAAATAGGGCCGTGGCCGCCACCGAATAGTGGTGAAGCCCCGGCTTGTTGTTTTGAACCATGGCATGGCGCATGAAGAACCGGTGGAAGTACACGGCTGCCGTCGCCAGAGTCAGTTGAGGCAGCTTCAACATGATTCCGACTTGCGTGATGAAGTTGACACCTTTCTGTCGGTTGGACAATTCTTGTACGACCGACATACCCTCGAGAAGACTGGGAGCGAGAAGGAGTTCTTCGGCGGTGAAGAGCCATTGCGACTGAGCTCTTTCGAGCACCGGATTTGTCGAGAGTGACGGGGAGACAGGAGCTCGAGGGTCGTCTCTGAAGGAGGGCATGGCAGATATTTCGTGGCAGTTTCGACGGCGAGGGGCGTAACACAAGGCCCGAGGATGTTTGTCTTGAGTCAAGTCTACATGCGGTGGAGGGTGTGTCAATGGAGGGTGCGATGAGGAGTCGTAGCCTTCGCGAATCGATGATTTCCGAGGATAGCAGGAATGGACAAGTGAGTGCAAGGCGAGAGCTCCAGGGCAGGGCCCGACACTGTCCAGTTCATCTGCAAAGAGTGTGGTCTTTCGTCTTTCGTCTTTCACTGTTTCACAGCACGCTGCGCTGCGGGTGTTTAACACAACGCGGTACTAAAGTAGGGAAATCGCACTTGTACATAGGGGCAAGTTTGCCGACAACCGGCGGCGCGACATATGATGTCACTGAGGCTGTCATGTCTTGCTGGCATTGATGTGGCCGATGACAAGTCAATGATTGAATACAGAAACGTCGGACCACACATGAGGGAGATGAAGCAGGCTCATACTGTCTGAGTCCGCTCCTATCGCCTATCGATCAGGGGAAGGATTGCAGTCGACGGGCGCCAAGTTTGCTCCAGCGCCTCACGGGATATAAAACAATTGATATCGTTGCGCGCCACAGATTCTCTTGACCATGGATGCTGCCGCCGACAGGACCGACTCTGTTTTTCTCTCTCTATCGAAGCTCGCCGCCAAGTCTACCGAAACAACTCCACGACCACGACCGGCTTGCACGGGCTTCCCTGTCGTGTCGGAACAGGATTCAGAGCCCTGAAAAGCGAGATGGACAGTCTGTACTCAGTATACAATGTAGGAAATGGTACATCTGGTGCTCCAACATTGCCTCCGAGCCTCGTCGCGCGCGGCGAGCACACATGGCAGGCCACGGGCGAAATGGCGCATCTTCGACTGGGGTATGGAAGCAATGGTAGTCCACACAAGAGCATGATCATCTATGAGTGTATATATATATAAGCTAGATATGAACGGATCCTTTTTGGTGTTACTCGTCAAATCTCTGTTTAACGTCATCCACGGTCGCTGGGGTTCCCCGGCACAAAAGGCAGGCAGACGGTTTGATCTTTGCATACTTCTTCATTGTTTCCTTTTGAGTATCACTAAGCACGTCAACCCAACCCAGCCATGGCTTAACGCAGTTCATATCCCAGTGTGGCGTCTCAGATACCATCGACAATCTCACAGATGAGGTACGCCGAGGCTGGCCAATACAAGATTGACGATACTCATGACACCCTCGCCGAGGATAAGGCCGCTGGCGAGCACAATGACCTTGGTCTCGCCCCGACGCTTCCAGGTGACCCACCAGTAACTTATGATGCCGCCCGCAGTCCGTGCTAGCGTGAAGCTGGGCGTGTTATACATGCCCACGGCCACCGCTATGCCGCCAGGGATCCAGGGGTGGAGAGTCCGGCACCATGGCCTCTCATCACGGTAGGCGAGAAGATAGATCCGCAAAGACGTCGTAACAACGAAAACCGCACCTGCCACCAGAGCGTATTGCCATGCCATCGGAGGCAAACCCTTGCCGGTGACTAGGCGTGCGGTGAAGATCCAGACGTATGCTGTGGGGATCTCAAAAAGCTCGCCCGGAATTTGGTACACCGAGACATAGAGCTTGTAAACGGCTGCGGAGACAAACGCGCCCACGAGGCTGCCGATGATCTGCCCGTAGAATTGGGCTTTGGGGCTCGCACCAATCAGGTGGCCCGCTTTCAGGTCCTGTAGGATGTCGCCGGCCTGCAAAGCGCCGGCTTCGCTGACAGCTCCGGCAAGAAGGTTGATGATTATGGCGTGGTTTGCATACCGACCCGTGGGAGTGATGACGGCAAAGACTAGTTGGGTCAGTTTCGATATGCCAGAAACCGGGTTCAGATCTGTTTCGCCCAGGGCCCGAACGCCCATTATGGAGAGAAGCAGGGCGAGAATGATCGCTAGGATGTTTAGTCGGATGGGAATGTATTTGCCGAAGGTGATATGGATGCAGACAACACAGAGGATCAGGGTCAGGGGTAGGAGGATAGCTACGGTGCGACCAGAGACTAGGTGATGTGCTGGCGCATCGTCAGGGGGCTCGTCAGAGTCTTCCGCAGGGGCTCTTTTGGGTGGTGAGGCCGGGGTCTGTGGGGAACCGTCGAGTGCGAAATATCCAGCGAAATGTTTTCCGAGCAGGAAATCAGCCCACGAGTGGCTACTTTGATAGTGAGATTTCGCTGCTCTGACCCAGTCGGGACTGTATTTGACCGTTGGCAGTAGCAACAACCAGCCGAGATTCACAATTGCATCGGCAAGCATGATAGCCAGACTAATCCAGACAATCCAGCCTTTGCTTCCTGTCTCCCAGTCGTCGACTGGTCCCGGAGCCCAGCCTTTGTGCTTTGCGATCGGACTGAGAACTGCCCAGCCGATGATGGCGCCGAGAAGCATATGGAATGTCGTCGCCGGGCCCATGATGATGCCTTGGCCAACATATGCCGGAGATGGATTGAGATCCCAAACCCAGGTGTGTGCGAGATAGGTGCCGAAGATGGGCAACCTGTGGAGGATTGGAAGGAAGTATTGGACCACAGTATAGACCCCAGATCCGGAGAATGCAACAACCAGGAGGCGAATCTGTTTCTTCCAGTCAGCTCGAACGGTCAGTTCATCTGGCTGACTTGTTTGGTCGTCTCGTTCACTAGCTCTCAATAACTCTTCGCGTTCCTCTGTGCCCTGTGTTTCGATCTCGCGATCCTTCACCTCGTCATTCTCCGCTCCGCCATGGAGGACAGAGATCATAAGGGCTGTGGCAGTCCCACTGGGAAATTTTAACCGTTCCCGGATGATGACCTGCTTCCTGAGGGGGACGCCGAAGACGACGCCGAAGAGACAGAGGCCAACTCCCCAGACGAAAAGTCTCCATAAGCTGAGGTCGATAGGTGCGCCCTCGCTCTTTTTCAGCAGAAATTCCAGACTAGGCATGACTCCGACAAAACCCAGTCCCAAGGGCATCGTTCCCACGGCGCCGGCTACCGTCTGCACGAGAACATTTTCTACGGGTGTGAAGGGAAGAGCAAGATAGGGCGAGAGAGCCTTGAAGACTGCAAATCCAATCAAGGATGCCGGCATTGCCATACCAGAAACCCATCCTGTCTGGAGACCGAAGTATGTGTTTGAGAAACATATGATTACACCAATTGCCGTGCCCACCGCAATCCCTCGCAGGGTGAAATTGGTTTCGTCAAGAGCTGAACCGACTGCAGGAGGGCTGGCATAGCAGGCACGATCGGATCGGGTTGGAGCAATGCCTTGTTGACTCGTCTGTGCAAGGACGTTGGACGAAGAGGGGGCGGACAGTTCATGGTCTTCGATGTCAGAGGTGGAGGCGGAGCATGAGTGAGGCCCTCTATCGGGCGCCATGGTTGAAATGGGAGCTGTTGCAGGATAGGGCTTGTGATTCTGTCGAGCATTCCATTGCCATAGGGTCAAGTTCGGTTGATTACTGACGAAGGTAACGTGGCGTAATGTATGTGTGGTGTGGTGGTGTGGTGGTGTGGTGGTATGGTGGTGGGCTAGGTGGTGGGGGATTATTGAGGAAGCCGAGGCCAGGCAGCGTAAGGAGTACTCCGTCCTCCGCAGTAGTGAACTCAGATCTGAGATCGATCAAGCTCGATGTTCAGGGCTGGCATTAGTATTGGAGATTCATCTCAGGCTGGACCCTGCAGCCTGCCACCATGCTAGGCTTTGATTGAAACGGAGGATGAAAGATGAGTCTGGGTTTGTCAGGAAGGCCAAACACGGTAGGTTGACCGGACGTGGCTATTACGGAGTAGTACTACTCGTACGTACTACTCTGTACTGCTCCGTACTCCGTACAGTCCCCGATCACGTGCCTTCTTGGCGCACATCAACTTTATTCTACCTAATAATTACCTCACCTTACTGGCTATGTGACTGGCAGCCCCATTCGTCATCGACCGGTCTGGACTCAAGGAATTCCATTTGTCCCATGTCCCATCCCGCCCTTGCACCTGATCTCCGGGCTAGGCGATGACCCTGCAATTCCAGTTCCACCATGACTGTTCCCATTCTCGCATCGTCCATGCCCGGCTGTGCTGCTAAAGAGGGCCAATGACGGCTCCAGTCCAAGGCCGAGTCGCCACGATGCCGGTAAACATCTCCGTGCTCGTGTAGTTGCTGGCTTGAGTGCTAATCATTCCAGAGCAGAGCCAGGTCCTCCTAGATCGATCTGACCACTATTGCCAATTGTCTCCTCGCGGGAGTCACTCTCTCTGCTCCCTTTTACTGCCCGTGGTCGCGGCCCGGACCTTCCTGTCGCACTTAGAAACCTCGTCCGGATCTTGATCGTCTCACTCCGCTGGTCCATGCACCAGGATGAATGCAAGTGCAGGTGCGCATCAACAGTTAAAAGCCACGGCCGAGAGCAGTGACCGATCGCACTCCGAGTTAGACAGTCTCACTCAGCGAAAGGTGTTGTTTGGCTGTTTGCATCATGGCTCGTGAAGGTGCCCGGGAGCGTGAGATGCACAGGTAAATCGCAGGTTGATCTGGCTTCATACCACCATGCTGACCTGCCCTCTAGGTACTACAAGCCATGGCTTGAGACCTTCATACCCACCGGACTGAAGCCCACGCTGTGCCTACCCCCGGAAAATCTGGTGGAACAGGACTGTCCTCGATCCTGTCGAGATAAGGCTTTGACTGCTTTCGCACAACTAGGCTGTCTCCGTCTCAACGTTAAAAGAGGGGTTGTCACATTGTTGGATAGCTCCAAGCAATACATCATCGCCGAGGCCACCAGATCGCTGTCTCTGTTGGACGATAGCCAGCATGCGCCGGAAGACGAGCTCTGGTTTGGCAACTCCTATATAGAACGTGACATCGGAGTCTCATCCGACGCAATGTACCCCGGATCTTATATCGCCCATGGTCCAGATGGCTCTTACACTGCTGCGGCTCTAGTCGTCGATGACCTGGCCGTCCATGAAAAATACAAAACTCGAGACTACGCTGGGCATGGTATTTCATTCTATTGCGGGGTGCCCATCACCACTAAACTTGGTCACGTTATTGGGGTGTATAGTGTGACCGATGACAAGCCTCGCTCTGGACTATTACCTGCGGAGCTACGATTCATGACCGACATGGCCGTCATTGTAATTCAGCACTTGGAGGTGGTCAAGAATGACCGGGCCAGAGCGCGAGGTGAACGGCTGATTCAAAGCATCGGAACCTTCATAGAGGGCGACGTGACAGAAAAAGCGTCTCAAATCAATCCTCCATTCCATTCCCAACCAACTCCATCCATTGCTCAGTCCGCTGTCCAATGGGATGGCGGTTGTCTCGATGCACCGACCCTCCCTTCTGATGGAAAGCACTCGAAGGCCAACCGACCGGTCAATGGGGACGCAAATCTTGCCCTGGGTCAGGCCGAGCCGCCTGAAACCCAGGCATCAGCCTTGGAAACACATGACTACAAAGCAGACCGCAGAGCGATCTCGAGTGAGCGGCAGAAACTGGAGAAACCAGGGACTGCACAAGAAGCCGCTGTTCATCCAGAAGCCAGACGCCTGGAGGAACGGAAGCGTGCTGCAGCATTGAAAGAAAAGGCTCTTTCAGACTCGTTGCATGTCTTCGATCGTGCTGCTGCCATTCTCCGAGTCTGTTTGAGTGTCGATGGGGTAGTGTATCTGAATGCGAGCTCAGCGAATCTGAGTTCAGGTTCCAGTATGCAGGATCTCGATTCCGCTGTTTCCATGGTACGGCATTCCAAACCCACCAACAGGCGAGTAGACAATCAGAAGACCGAGCATAGCTCCCGGAGCTCGAGTGCAGAAGATGGTCTTCGGGAGTCAACCGCTCAAGAGTCCAGTGATTCCAACTCCTCCACGGCAGCTGCGAGTAACAACGATTCCAGCTACCCTCCGACTACGGATCAGAGGTGTGAGGTGCTAGGGATTTCACAACTTGGTCCGGACAAAGCTGTCAAAATCTCAGAGCAGACCTTGCGTCGATCCGTTCGCCGTCATCCCCACGGAAGTTGCTTCATTTATGACCAGCACGGGAATCCCGCCTCGAGCGACGAGACCTCCGACTCCGCCTCGGCCTCTACCATTCCTACGAAACAAGCACAGAAGGACCAAAGTCTGAGGGAAACACGACACCTGCCTACCACAAAGGCGCTGCTGAAGGCATTCCCGGGCGCCCGGAAGATTGTCTTTTTGCCGCTGTGGGACTTTGCAGCGGGACGATGGCACTCCGGGATGGTGTTATGGACCAACGACGTAAACCGGCTGACCAACATCCAAGACGACTTATCTTACCTCAAAGCCTACAACAATGCTGTCATGAACGAGGTCAACCGGATCGACCTTGCTCTCTCAGATACCGCCAAAGCCACGTTTCTCGCCAACATCTCACACGAGCTTCGTTCGCCTTTGCATGGTATCTTGGGGAGTATCGAATTTCTTAACGACACGGCCCTGGACGACTTCCAGTCAAGTATGGTTCTCGCAGTCGAGACCTGTGGCAAGACGTTGCTTGATACGCTCAACCACGTATTGGATTATGCCAAAATCAACAGGCTGTCGAAAAACGGTCCCCTACATCCACGCTCTCGAGCCATTCATGGGCATGTACAGCCTTCGAGCTCCGACAGCAGCTTGACCGACGACTTTGACATGGCCGTAGTAGTGGAAGAAGCGATTGAAGCTGTATACGCCGGTCAGGTATTTCACTCGGCCAATGCAGATAAATTGTCAGCCAAGGGACGAGGCGGCCAAACTGCTGCGAATCGCGCGATGCAGAGCCGGAAGGCCGCAAGGAAAGACCTCAGTCAAGTTTCTGCGGCGAGCACGAGCCAAGTGCGACTTACGCTGAATATCGACAATCTTGCCAACTGGAAAGTCAGATCCCAGCCTGGTGCCATCCGGCGGATTGTCATGAACATCTTGGGCAATGCCCTGAAATACACGAGCCAAGGCAGTATCAACGTAGTACTAGAAGCAGACGAATCCCAGGAAAAGAGTTCCTCGAATCTACATGTGGTCCTCAAAGTGACGGACACCGGAAGGGGCATGTCAGGAGAGTTTATGAAGAACCATGCATTTGCTGCGTTTGCTCAGGAGGATTCACTCGCCACCGGTACGGGGCTTGGGCTGAGTATCGTTCGCCAAATCGTCGATTCACTGAAGGGCAATATTGATCTATCGAGTGAAAAGGAGGTCGGGACCGAGATCAGAATCTGGTTACGTCTGCCAAAGAGCCAGAAAGAGGAGGATGACGATACGGAAAAAAATACCGTTGCGGAGGTACGAGAACTGACCAAAGGCCTCGAAATGTGCATCATTATGCCCCGTCCTGAGAAGACGGAGGGCGCCCGTGAGGCTCGTACTCTCCGGCCGATGCCGACGGTGGAGGAGTCCTTGCGAGACTTGATCGCGCAGTGGTTCAGCATGAAAGTTCACATTTCTCCGAACATGGAAGGGGACCCGCCCAACTTCTTCGTCTACCCCGAGCCACCACCAATCGACTATCTGCTGGATCAACATGGCCGAACCAAGACCAGTCAAGAGATCCCAGTCATTGTTCTATGTACCAATGCGTTCGAAGCCGCCAGTCTAAGGTCCCATGGCATCCATCGACTTACGGAGATTGGCCGGATCATTGAAGTGATTGCCCAGCCATCTGGGCCACAGAAACTGGCCAAAGTGCTTCAGCGATGTATGCGAAGAATGAAGCTGCTCGGCGACAGTGAATCACCCCGGTCGACGGGTCCCACGCCTCTCTCCATCAAACCCCAAGGGGCCTCGAGTTCGGCCACCGTTGCTCCGGCCCAGGCCGTCAAAACTCAAGGGTACTATCCCGGAAGAGAGCCGCGCGATGATACAAGCATGTCCGACCATGAACCGGCAGCCAGCGCAGTTCCAAAGCCATCGAACAACAATCGGTGTTCCTCTCAGGCCGATGTCGAGTTGCCCGTTCGATTGAAGGGTGAAGGCCCAAGAGTGTTGGTGGTCGACGACAACTCGATCAACTTGCATCTCCTTGTCACGTTTGTGAAAAAGACCAACCATCCACATGAGTCTGCGATGGACGGCGAGCAGGCTTTGGAGGCATACCGGAAAGGTGTTTTGGACGACGGGGGTAAGTACACGTTCAAATACATTCTAATGGACATTTCGATGCCCGTCATGAACGGCATCATGGCGACCAAAGAGATCCGCCGATTCGAAAAGGAACAGCGAGTCCGGACCCCGGCCATAATCATCGCACTGACCGGGTTGGGCAGCGAGAGTGCACAGAACGAAGCATACCAAGCCGGGTTCGATCACTTCTTGAGCAAGCCGATTGTAAGTTTTCCCGCCTCCAGCCGATGTGATTTCCTTGCTGTAGTGATAGATAATCTTGCTGACATTGGGTTGGTGTCGTTGCAGAGATTCAAGGACTTGCAGAAACTGCTGCTGTGATGTGTGATGGCGGACTTCGACCTCAACGTACGGAGGTAGACTGGATCGGAATCATGACGGATCGGCTCTTTTGGGGGTGGCGGGTTGAAGCATACTGTTTGTCACGGGCGATGCATTGGTTTGGATGGACTCTTTGGGCGTTGGACGTAGGATTGTTGGTCACGACCAGCGACCAGCGATTGAGACGAGAATTGACGAGACTTGACGAGACTTGACGAGACTTGACGAGACTTGACGAGACTTGACGAGACTTGGAATGCGGGATACAGGACAACGACATGATCTGGGATGGGTGTTCGTTCATAGGTGTCCAGATCGACGGTGGGCTACCGAGTGGTCCTTCTGATCCCATCAGATAGATGCCCGATGCACCAGCCAGCTCCTATCCATATATCCACAGAGATGGATGGCGATTCACACAGGCAGACCCAGCAATCAAACACCGAATCGGACATCTGCTCCCAGAGTACTCTGTAGAGTGTAGAGCGAGCGTCTTGGAAGGCGATTTTGATTTACAGCATACAGCACTGACGGAGATGAAGGGTAAGGTAAGGAAGGGCCTTAGGCTCCTCTCTAGTAATACGACGTTAGCATTAGACACTAATGGACCTGGATGGCCAGGGCCAAGGGCTAAGGGCTACGGGCTGAGGGCTCCCTATTTCTACTGTAGTGATGGTGACGTTGACATCAGGTATCATTCCCTAACCTAATCATGATGCCAGGCTCTCATGCCATGAGGGATGCCACCGCACCCAAACCAAGGACAGTACACACCAAGTACTCCGTTGCACCCTCCAGCCCCCAGTCGAACGCCCCGGGGATGCTAACCACGTGTTGCACTCCCCTTTGCTTGATCTATTTGTCCGTCTCAACAGACGACACAGCAGTTGCAGACACAGCAGTTGCAGACACAGCAGTTGCAGACACAGCAGTTGCAGACACAGCAGTTGCAGCCCCTTTGACTTCTTGCTGCAGTAGCACTCCCTGCAGGCCGATGCTCTCACGAAGTTGCTTCTCCACATGAACCTTTGTATCGTGGGGCTTCGAACCTAAGTTTACCACGACATTGCGGAGCGTGTGGAAGGGCATGTGGGGGATATCGTCTGGTTTTGAAGGAAAATCATCGATGGCTTTGCCCTTGGGATCGACTAGTCGATGGATTTGGTCAGAAACTTCGGTAAGCAGCGAGTTTCGAGCTTGGGCTAAAGTGTTTGCGGTCCTAAAGGATTAGTATATGTGTTTGTGATCGTGATCGAGGAAGACTTACATCGCCTTTATGTAGACATTGTTGTCTTTGAAACCTTCATCGATCTTTGTGTTTGAAGCTGTTTCCACCTTTTTCAGTTCGGCCATGAGCTCCTTCAAGTTGCCCTTGAGATCTTTCGCGAGCTTGTTGGCGTCTGCCTTGAGATCTTTCGCGAGCTTGTTGGCGTCTGCCTTGAGATCTTTCGCGAGCTTGTTGGCG